GAAGGGCTGAGGTGGCATCTGGCTTGGAGTGGATTTCATGGTCTGGTCCAGCAAGGTGATTATTATGTTTGTTCTCACATGTTTGCCATCGACAGTTGGTAAGGAAGCCTCTTCCCTTCCCTTTCTGTGCTTTCTCTCTATGGTGTGGTTTTCTTCATCTGGAGCCAGTTACTTTTGCAGGCAGCTTTGGGAGTGCACCTGCTCTGCTATTGTGGTGTGCTGTAATCTGGATTGTGTACATTGCTCTGTAGGGGCTGGTGGCTGGGTGGCCCTGACTTTGGGGGAAGGTTTGGACAAGGTGACCTTTGAAAGTGACTTTGGCTTTTGGATTGTGAACACGCCATACATCTAAAGTGCATGCCTTCTTTGAAAGAATCCTGCAAACTGTAGTTTGTTAACGGTGCTGAGAATTGTAGCTCCGTGAGAGCTAAATTACAGTTCTTAAGATTCTTTGGGGCAAGTCACACGCTTTAAATATATGTAATGTATGCATCTGTAGAAAAATGAGGCTGCAATAGCGGTTCACACAATTACCGTTTTCTTATTTGTTATTGCTTTCATTCTGTTTTTCTAATCTTAGTGCTTTGACTGATTCTACATTGCTTCTGAATATTACAAGTGGAAAGTAAATTTGATATATGGGATAATTCCCAGTGAATAGCTTTGGTGATTAAAAAGTCACATTATTCAGCTGAAACCCTCTGGGTCACTTATGGTCAGGGGAATCATTTTCATTATCTAAAAGTTGTTCAGGGTGTTCCTCTACAGCAGATGTGGTAAACACATCCTTGGATGTGATGGGGGTGGAAGGAATCCAAATTTCCCTATTTAAGGCATGAATATTCCACAAAGCCGCCCCTGTTATGTGACTGCTTCCTCTTTCTCACGATTAAAAGGATCATTCCTTTCCCATCTTTCTGTTTGTCTAAAAATATAATTAAGAATAATCAACCTGGCTTAATAGTAATTTAAGACCTTAACTAAATAAACACAAAAGCACGACCCAAGCCCCAAAGCACTCTCCCCTCCTGTGGTTTCCAGCAGCTGTTATGCAAAAGCATTTCTGCTTCCAACCTTGGAGTCAGTACGTAGCCATCATGACTAGTAGCGATTGATAGCCTTTAATTTGTCCAATCCTCCATTAATTTGTCCAATCCTCTTTTAAAACCATCTAAGTTGTTGGCCATTACTGTCTGCTGTGGCAGTGAGTTCCATAGTTTAACTATTCCCTGTGTGAGTGAGTACTTTCTTCCAACAATTATTAATCCACCTCAACAGACTATTATTGCATCTATGACATGTTGCAGAAACCTGAGGAACCCACCAGTCTGGAAGGGCCCTGAGCTTATGAGTAAACTTGAATAGTCTTGGGCTGCACAGGACAGAGGAACTGAAAATAATCAGATGGATAAATTATATAATCTCTCTCCTGCTGGCACAGCAGCAACATGCAATATTTCTTTGCATCACAGTTAGTTCAACAATATTTAAATACCTCCCTTCAGTAGATCAAATGCCTGAGAATATAGCAACGTGGACTGCAATATTAGTTAAGCATGACTTTTCTAAGTACTGCGGCAGCAGCTTTGGGGATCCTTTGGTGTTCCTAGTGCATTCTCGGGCCATTTGGTTCATATTGACAGAATAAGAGGCAGTTAATTGATTCTGAACCTTCACTTGGGAGCAAGAACCTCCTGCATCTCATCTAACAGTTGAACACCTGCTTTGCTCTCTCTAAGGCAAGAGGAAAGGGGCATGTATCTCTTTCAACCTTGTTGTTGCAATTTCTGTTATCTCTCTTGAATGGAGAGTACAAAGCAGACACCATCCATTTGAACTCTCTAATGCTGAACTACAGTTTTGAACCATGTGGTTGCTTCAAAAAACAAAGCCAGCTACAATAAAATGAAGACACCTTACAGAAACTGGATGCTGATATATAAGGAAGAAGAAGTTAAGTTGGATCTAGACATAGTCATACTAAGTGGACTGCACTGAAAACACACATTACCTTGTAATCTGTAGCGGACAGCGTGGTGGGATGGAGGTGATTATCTGATCTCCCAGCAGGTGAGTCATTGCTGCTGTTTATCAGGTTGGAGAAGGATGAGGCAGTGGCAAGGTTGGTGTGGTGCAAACACACTGGCTGAACAAATCAAGCCTTCCTGCTTGTGTGTTTGCAGCACCCTGATTTCACCTCTACCTCTTGCTTCCCAGTAAACTGTAGTGACTCATCTGCCAGGAGGTCAGGTAAGTCCCTCTGCCCCAAAACACCATCCACTGCTGCTGCTAGCATTGTACACTTTACAGAAACTTGTCATTTATCCCCATGGGAATAAATTCAAAAGAATTACTTTTAAAAGGTGGTATTTTTTTTTTACACTGCAAATCTTATTTAAACCCAACACTTTGGGTTGTTTTCATTCATTTCCACTAATTAATATGTATCTATCTTCACGAAGTGTCATATGTTTTCCACCATCAGTGGCACATAATGCATTGTAATCAGTTACTGTTTGGATCTTCATACAACTCTGCTAATCTGGAGAATAATAATAAGACAACACACAGAGAAAAGTGTTTTCAACAAAATTAGTCAAAGCATTAATTGAATGTGCACTTTGGAAATGTGGCAATGATGCAGATTTATTAGGTACATGTAGCAGTCTTCTTGATATTTACTGGAGTGTACTAGAGAAAGCATGAAGTCAAGCAGAAAATACTGTTTTAACATAAAATTTCATAAAATACTGTTTTAAGTCAATGAGATATTGGACTGTGTGCTAATTCTTGGTGGCATTGTTTTGTCAGAGCATAAGTACATCCCGTATTTGTTCTGAGATTACATACAAACACTCCCAAAACCATGGAGTTTGTCTGTGCTGGACCCAGGCTTTAGGAACCTTTGGGGAAGAGGGCACCAAGGGACCCTCCTCCTTGCCACTGTTGGCATTGCCCATTCACCTGACCTCTTCTCCTGGGCCTTATCTCATCCAATGGCTGGTCAAAGGGAAATGCAAGGTGAGTGGAGAGAGCTGCTCTTTCCTCTCACTGTTATCAGCTTCCTCACACAGAGGGTGCAAGTGAACAGACATTATCAGCAAGGAGGAGTAGGGCTAGGGGTTTCTGGAGTTGGCTGGGGCCTGCATGCTGAGGGGTATATGCTGCCTGAGAGTTGTCTTCAGTGCAGAAGCCAGAAATTGTTTGGGCAATGTCTCAGAAATTAGCAAGCTGCTTGAGCAGCATTACATGGGACCCATTTGGCTTCGATGCCCTATGACTCCTTACGATACCTCCTCAGCAGTAGAAGCACAGTAAATCAAACAGGTTCAGCAGATATAGCCAAACAAGAACCTGTCTAGTCACATATTATTGGACTACTACTCCCAGCCAGCATGGCCAACGGTGAGGGATGATGGGAGTTTGAGTCCAACCACAAAAACAACTGGAGGACCAAAGTTTTCCCATCTTATATTTAGAAGAAAGGCTTGTGCATATTCTCGATATTTGCTCCTCTCTAGTGCTAGCTCACTTCTGAAGCCATAATCTTTTTAAAGTAGCAGGATAATGCTTTGTTTCTTTAATATCCTACTGCCTGAATGAAACCTCTGTGTGCAGTTTATCATAATTTATACTAGAAAATGCTGGGAGACACTGTCTCCAGAAATAGATACATATGGTGTGCTTTTCAGGGGGAGTATTTGCTGATGCAGCAATTAATGTCCAATACATCTGATCAGAGCTATAAGTCATGCAAATCCTTTGTGTGCACCTAGTGGAATCCATATCCTTAGAGCCTGATGTGCTGGTAATATTTTGCTGCGGCCTGGGGCTGCCAACTTAACAATGACAGCAACTACAACTAATTAACACTTTACCCAGACAGAGTTGGATTACGAACAGAAGTTTCAAGCTGTAATGAATGCAGAATCATTCCCTGGTGGTAATAAGAACAGATGCCTGAAGTGATAATAAATTAAACAAAAAGAAAGAAAGAAAGAAAACACAGAAAACAACTTTAGAGTACATCTTATTTATCAGTCTTATACCTTGCTTATATTTATTGGTTTGCATGTGTATGACTTCGCCCTATTCAAAGCAATATGCACCTCTGTCCCCTGAAAAACCCCATTATCTATAACACATGTATCCCTGTTCTAAATCTGTTCCTCTGAGATTTTAGTCAAAGACAAAGAAAAGGACCGGTGGCAAGCTACTTCTAAACGTGTAGACTTTGGTAGAACCGGCACTGGTAACAGATGGAATGCACAGCAGTAAATAAAAACCAGATCTCAAACGAACAGCAAGTCTCGTAAGAGAAACAAGTGACAGAAGGGCTACAAAAATGACGGGGAAGATATTCTGAGACACTGGAAAATGCTAAGAGTTCTTTACATCTGAGGAAAGAGATGACAACGTACTTAGAGCCATGTCTTCACAGATCGTTCTAGCACATGTAATTTTCCACAATTCCCTTGTAAGAGGTGTCTCATTTCAGTCTTCACCCACCTGATGCCTTCCAGAGGGATTGCGCTACAACTTCCATCAGCCCCAGCCAGCATGAATTGGGGTGGGGATGGGGGTGGGCGCACCAGGTTGGCAAAGGCTGCATTGTTTCTTAATACATGTATTTTATTAGAAAAGTTGGTTGGCTGCTTTATAAGTGTAAAACTCTCTCAAGGTTTCTTACGGAATGCAATAACAAACACATGGATCAAACACCCTCAGGTCCATGTTTGCCAAAGTCTGTATGGGCACCTGAGCTTTCTGTTGAAATCAGAATCAGAATTGTAGTGTTGGAAGGGACACTGAGGATCATCTAGTCCAGCGGTTCTCAACCTGTGGGTCTTCAGATGTTGTTGGATTACAACTCTGATCATCCCTGAGCTCTGGCCTTGCTAGCTAGGGGTGATGGGAGTTGTAGTTCAACAACATCTGGGGACCCACAGGTTGAGAAAGGCTGATCTAGTCCAACCCCCTACAACACAGGAATAAGCAGTTGTCTCATATGGGGATCGAACCTGCAACCTTGGCGTTATCAGCACCATGCTCTAACCAAGTGACCTACAGATACTTGTATGTATTCCTGAGTAACTTGTTCATAACTCAGAACATTTCAGATAATGCTTACTGCAGTGGCGTAGCGTGGGGGGTCAGGGGGGCGGCCGCACCGGGCGCAACATCTGGGGGTTAGGGTTAGGGGGCGCAAATCCACAGGTTAGGGGGCGCAAATTACTTGCCTTGCCCCAGGTGCTGACAACCCACGCTACGCCACTGGCTTACTGAACCAAGACGTTTCTAAAATTCTATCTGAAGAAGAGCTTACTGGATCAGGTCAGAAACTCATATATTCCAACATCCTGTTCTCACGCCGGCCAACCAGAGAAACCCAAAAGCAGGACTCAAGCATAACAGCACTCTCCCCTTCTGTGGTTTCCAGCAACCGGTATTCTGAAGCATACAGCCTCCAACCACAGAGGCAGAGTATAGCCATCATGCTTAGCAGCCTCTGTTAGCCTTTTCCTCCATGAATTTGTCCTGTCCTCTTTTTAAGCCAATCTTCTTGGTGCCCATCACCATAGGTTAACTATGAGCTGTGTGAAGAAGTACTTTTGTCTGCCTTGAATCTTCCAACCGCCAGCTTCTTTGGATGTTCCTGAGTTCTAATGTTACGGGAGAGGGAGAAAAACATTTCCCTATCCACTTTCTTCAAACCATGCATAATTCTACACAATTCTGTCGTGTCGCTTCTTACATTCTTTAATGTATTTTTAATCTTTGTTGGAAGCCACACAGAGTGGCTGGGGTACAAAAAATAATAATAAATTATCATCATCATCATTATTATTATTACTACTACTACTACTAAAAAGGCCAAAATGCTATAACCTTACTTCACAGGGGAGTTGCTCCATACCCTTCATCATATTGGTAGCTTTTCTTCTGAACTTTTCCCAACTCCACAATTTTCTTTTTGATGTGAAGCGGCCACGACTCAACACAGCATTTCAAAAGCGGCCACACCATGGATTTTAATAGTGGCATTATAATATTAGCTTTGTGCACCACTACTGGTGGAACGATCTCCCTCAGGAGGTTGTGAACTCTCCTTCCTTGGAGTTTTTAAAGCAGAGGTTGGTTGGCTGTCTGTCATGGATGCTTTAGGTGAGAATCCCACAGGGGTCCCTTCCAACTCTGCAATTCTATGATTCTGTGATTCTACCCGCACCTTGAACTTAGCTTGGGAGCTAATTGGCAGCCAGTGCAATTCTTACAGCAGCAGCATAACATGATGGCGATAGTCTGCACCAATGAACAGTTGTGCTGTGACTAAAACACCCCACCTGACATTCTGAAAAGCTTCTGCCAGTCAAAGTAGACAATATTGCGAAAGAGAGAGGATGAAGGAAGCTCCCTATGTCCCCGTTCTGTATAGGCCCAAACTTTATACAGCTTACTGTAAGACTTGGGCTGGGCACAACCCAGCCAAAGTTAGTTGCTATTAATGGTCCAAATGTTTGTGGAACTCTTTTCTCTCTGCCCACAGCCTGGCTATTTGCTTCTAAATAAGCTTTGAGTGTTCCTTATCATCCCTCCACTGCACACAGCACTCAAGCAGCTTCACTTACAAAAGGCTTAAGGGAAGTCTAAGACACACCCTGTACCACAAACAGTTCTGTGGCCATTATGGTTTTGTACTACTAGTCATGGGTGGTGAAGAGTAAGATATTGCATATGGTGCTGTGACTCAGATAACTGGAAGTTTTGTAGGGATGTTTTCACGTTAGGTTGGCTTCCCGCCAGCCTCTAGACAACTTGCTTCCACACCTGCTGAAAGTGGTCATAAAGGGAGAGTGTTTTTTAAAAGTCTAATGTAATATTTGTGTGGTCTTTCAGCATGCATTGGGAATATAACCATCTTTCTCTGTTCATGTATTGATCTGAATATAGGAAATGTGTCCAGTATTCATGATAGTCCACAATATTGCACAGAGCAGTAGTCCATAGTGCATTGACCCATTGGTATATTGTATTGGGTCAAGGGATGTCATGGATCATATGAGATGGAGGTCCTGTTCATTTTGCCACAGTACTCTTTGGTGTGTATCCTAATTAACTGCCTTTACAGGTTGAGAATATTAAGCCATGATAATAAACCATGAATCTGTAGACTGTATTTGGCCTGTTCAGAAGAGTTTCTCTAGTACGAGTTGATTGCTCTTGGGTTGTGAATTGACTAGTGACATCCAAGGTAGTGCAATGCAAAATGTGTCAGGATGGAACCATGCTTTTACTGAGAACACAATTGTGGGCTGCACATTGGACCACCCAGTACTACATACTGCTGAATGGAAAACACCAGGATTGGGAGATGTCTGTGAGGGGTTAGATAAAGCAAAACACTGTGGCAGGAGAGAGAGTAAGGAGAACTCTGTTGTTGGTGGCTAGATCAAGCTTGCAATCAGAGGATAGGATTTTACCAAGTTTTAGCCTCAGTGCTTTGGAAGAGGAAAGCAAATGTGTTTCAGTTCTGATCCCCTCCAATTAATTTTAAAGCTTGCACACGAAACCCATGGCAATTTTTAAAATTTCCCAATAGTGAATGGAGAGGGGGAATTGCTTTGCTTTTCCTGAAGTTGACTCTGCCACAGATCCCGAGCCAAATTGTGCAGCCTGCAAAGTGTTTCAGACTGAGTCAGACTGTTTTCTGAAGCACCAAACTGCAATCTGATCTGAGTCGTGTGGTTGGGACACACTCCTAGCATAAGAGAAAGAAACCTAGCAGTAACATTTCACTGTACTGATGATATTCTTATTTCAAAACCAGCTGAAACCAAAGTTTTCTGAAGCTGCTTCACTATGTTCTCGGACAGATTTTTCAAACAGAATTGGGAGTGACAACTGCACTACCTTTTCTGCTTTCTGACTTTAGAGAAAGTTGTAAAAGTTGCGTGAATCACACGGAGTCTGAAAAAAGCCTGGTGTGTTTACTCCCATATAGCTTTGAGCTTGTGAGCCTGGAAGAGAAATAGAGCAAAATGACATCACTGGATGGTGCCATCAAAAGCTGCCTGTTGGCTGGGCAGACAGACTGAGTGCAAGCTGGTTTTTCTGAGTGAAGCGTTGGCTTAGACAAACAAGACAAAGTCTGCATTGTGTCATGAATATGATCAGAGCTACAGGCCTTATTCCCAGGAGGAAGAAGTGGAAAGGGATGCAACTTTCAGCTCCTGTGAGCAGCTACAAAATACAGTTCAATGACATAATCATTTTTATTGTTGAGAAGAAGATGGGAATGAGCAGAAGGACATTCCTGATGGATTTAGCAAGAAGAAAAGGCTTCAGGGTAGAAAATGAGCTAAGGTATGGGGGAAAAAACCACCACTCCACCCTCACCATTCATTAGATTCTTTTGTATGTAGACTTGGAGCTTAACATCTTTTGCTGACAGTGAAGTCCTATGCATGTCTACTCAGAAGTAATTTATCCCAGGTAAGTAGGGATATGGAATTGCAGCCTTAGTGTGCAAGGATGTGCTTAGATATTCTGTAGCTGTCTTTTAGTAATTTTTCTGTCGCTTAAAAGTTTTGGAAACTGACAGGAAGATAACGAAGCAAAGAGATCTGAATTGAATAATAAGTGGAATAAGTGGGCTGTTTAGCAACATTTCTGTGAAACTTCACTTAGCATTCGAGTTACATATTTAGTTTGATGTCTATATAGCTTCAAGGAAATGAATGTTCAAATGCACTCTAGTTCAACAGAGGTGTATTCTGCGTATATGCATAGGCTACAATTCTTGACTGCTGCAAGAAACTTGTATCCCATAGGAACATAGGAAACTGCACCATACAGGATCATACCATTGGTCCATATAGCCCAGTATTGTTAACACTGGCTGGCAGCGGCTTTCCTGAGTTTCAGGTGATCAAGATGCTGGGGATTAAACCTATACCCTCTGCATGCAAAGCATGTAGTGCCACTGAGCTTCAGCCCTTGCCCAGACGACCTTCATGTGAGTCTTCTTCCTAGCTTTCAGCATAGAATCATAGAATTGTAGAGTTGGAAGGGACCAGAAGGACATCTGCAATGCAGGGATCTTGTCCAACATGGGGTTTGAACCAACAACCCTGAGATTAAGGGTCTCATACTCTACCGACTGAGCTCCCACCTTCCCCCCCTCAATGGACTTCTAGGCCATTTAGAAAAATTATAGGAAAATGTGGGAACCACAATGATAGTGGCTTCAGATTCGGAAATCCTCCTGAGACAAGTTACTGTATCAGTTCTGAAGCAACAAGAGTCCTTCATTTTACATTACTGCTACTCAGTAATTCAGACATTTCATTCTTTTAATGATAAAGGAATAAATTGGTTTCTAAACAATTTTCAGATCACCAGCCTGAACACACACACACTTTATCTTCCTCCGTTTGTTATGTGCCGACACATCCCTAAACTCTGCACCTAAATGTATTTGTAGAGTTCACCCATAAAATCTTTTATCTCCCTTTCTGCTAGAGTCTGAATAGGCAGTTCTTTCATATGCACCTTTTAAGAGGCTGGTGTGCTTTGGAGTTGAACAGATTTCCATTCTGTCATTATTTTTAAATCTTTTCTGATCTGGGCTGAACAGAGTATTGCAAATAAAGGCCTCTTCCTGTGTCTTTTGAGTAAACACAGACATACTTCTCTTTCTCTTCTGGTACATCATGGTCAATGGCATCCACAACAGACTGTGTGCATTCTTTGCCATCATGTGACTGGTGACTAACGTTTGTCTGACCAGTTGTCCCAGTTGTCTGACCTCTTTTGTCATTCCCATGCTTTAGGGCACCAGTGTAGCAAAATTGCTTATAATTTTTGCTCTTAATTCTTTCAAATAGTATCTCTCAAGTCAAGTAGAATATTAGGAGTGCATCTAATTCATCTCGCAATGGCTTTCTGATCTCCTTCCATACCGGCAATGGTTCCTGACCTAACATGATGGTATGATGAAATTTAATCAAACATGCTTGTACCTTATTTACTAACAAATACCAATTGCATATGTAAAAGAATGTGCAGAAATGGTGAAATGGATGTTCCAGATGTTGTCCTACCATCATCCCAAGCCAACATAGCCAAGGATCAGGGCTGTCAACCATCCCTTATTTGGTGGGAAACTCCCTTATCCCAGTGCCATGTCCCACTGCTGTCCCTTATTGATGTCCCTTAAATTTCCCGGGTTTCAAAGGAAGCAGCTCCTCTCCCTCCCTCCCTGCCAGCCAGGGAAAGATTTGTAGTGGTAGACTAGCATAGATGGTCTGATCTGCGGGTTTACTTCGGGCGCTATTTCCCCCCCCCCTCCTCCCGCCCCACCTGATGGAACTGAGAGCTGCAGATGGAGCACGAGAGAAAAGATACAGAACTGCAGCAGCATCTTCGTAGCTTGGACTTTGTTTTGTGCGAAAAGTGGTTGCTGCTTGTAGTTATTTAACTGCAGTGTTTCATCAGCTGGTGTCTTGAGCAGCAACCTCTGGAAATGAAGGGCTAAAAACCGGTGCTGGTCTCCCAAATTATCTGGTCCCTTTTAACTTTGTATTTCAGCTGGCTGACTAAAATCCCTTATTTTGGCTGCTGATCCCTTATTTTCGAGGCTGCTGGTCCCTTCTTTTCAAATCTGTAAGTTGACAGCTATGATCAGGGATGATGGGAGTTGTAGGCCAACAACATCTGGAGAGCCACAGGTTCCCATACCTGCTCTAGTGTGACCAAGATACAGAATTCAAAGCAAACCTATGTTAATGGGGGCTGGGGTGGTTCCTGGAGGCTCCATTAAGTTATTAAGTTTCCAAGCTAGGAAAGATGCCTGTGTGTGTGTGATGGCAGAGTAATGCCTTTGGAGCAAGGAAAAGGTGGAGAAAGAAAATCTTGCAAATATGCTTCATATTGTTAGTGAGGAAATGGAATGCATCGCTTTGTTTTCCTGCATCCGTTCTGAATTCACTTCAGCCAAGACCATTTAACCGTCAATTTTAAAATATTGTCAACAATATCTGTGGAAATCCCGCACTTCTTACATTTATTTATTTTTGCCAAGAAGATGATGCAGCTGTAAAAGTATCAGAGGAAACTGTGGCACTGTTGGCTGAGCTGCTGCTGTTGTGAGTGCAGAAATGGCAAAGTTCCCAGATCGTCAGCTTTATACATATACATTAAATATGCACATTTTATATAAAGGGATATAAACCACAGGAAGCAGAAGTTAAACATCTCTAACTGAAATTTGTTGTTGTTGAGACAACAAGGCAGAACCTAGCTCGGTGTTGATAAGAACATTGATGCACAGTGAATCTGATTACTCAGATATGTTTTTAACTTAGGAAACATATCCCATCTTTCCACTAAAAAAACTGAGCTTACAATATCAATGGAAAAAAGCAATAAAACAAGCAATTAAAACAATTTATAATCCAAAGCAGAAGCAGGATGGCAATTCTTTGGATCCTCCCTTCTATAATATGCCTGACTAGTGGAATTTCAGAACTGGCATTTCAAGATGTATTAGGGTCAAACTGCACATTACCTTCACTGTGTAGTTCTGCCCTTGAGTGCACCATCCCTCTCTCCCCAGTTGCCCTGATAACTGGACTGGGCTCCTACCCGCCTCCCTGCTGCAGCCTGCAGTTTGCACTGCAAACCAAGTTTTCTGTGTCTGTGATAATGAGTCCTGTTATAGGAACATAGTGGTGAGTATTGACCCAGCTCAGGCACATGGTGTAGTGGCAAAGGCAATAGTTGGTTGTATTGTGATGGTTTCACTCCTACCTGCAAGGTCATACTAGGGGGTGGTTCAGTCACCTAATGTTATTCAGTTGTTGTTGTTTAGTCCTTTAGTCGTGTCTGATTCTTCGTGACCCCATGGACCAGAGCACACCAGGCATGTTATTCAGTATTTGTATGTAACTACTGGGAACTGCTGTTTGGCTTTTTGCAGCACCAGGTCATTAGTACAGCTCTGTCTCTCCATTCCATCTGAATCAGGAGGTGCCTGAAATCAGTGACACAGTGCACGAGGACCAATGTACTGACGCTGAATCCTGAAAAGGCAGATGTTGCTGTAGATGGACAGTTCCTGTATCTGGGAATTTGGTGGACAACCTGTTCTGGGAGCGGTTGAAATCCTTCTGAAATAACAGGTTCACAGCCTGCGGGTTCTCTTGGATTCCAGTCATGTCACTGGAGTCCCAGGTGGCTTCGATGCCTAGAGGTGTTTATGGTCATACTAGACTGCTTTGGCAGCTACAGCTACAGTTCCTGGACCAGGGCAGCCAGGGCTTAGTAATCTATGCTGTAGTGACTTTCGTCTGAACTACTGCAATGCACTTTATGTGGGGCTGCCCTTGAAGACTGTCTGGAGGCTGTGGAGAATGCAGAAATGTAATAAATACATAATAATTGTTAATTTTTCTGCTCTGCAACATATTCCAGCATTCTCTGGAAGGCGTTGGCTGGTTGTTAGCTGCTGTGGCAAGTCAAGTCACTGTGCCACTGCAGCTAAATTTGATTGATTGGCTCTTGCTTCCATCTGGTAAATTAATGACTCATCATATATTTCACATATGGCTTATGCCACATGAAATTATGCGAGAAGGTGCTATCCTATTTGGGCGGTAATTTTAGAAACAAGTTTTGGTAAGTGTCTTAAACGGCTTAGCACGCTATCCCTTGAAAAGGACATTTGAAGCACATTTCCTCCTCAATGAATTCTGGGCCCTGTAGTTTACATCTCACAGAGTTATGATTCCCAGAAACCTTTAAACCACAGTGCTCAGAATTCATTGAGGGAAAGAATGTGCTTCAAATATCCTTTAAAGGTATAGTCACTATGCAGTCCCTGCTCTGCCTAGATTAAACCAGAGGACTGGTATATTGAAGATCACAAGCCTGTGGGCATCAGGCACAAGGCTTGTGCTAGTTTTCAGCTGCCATATGTAGAAGCTCAAGTACAGACAGCTTATTGAGAAATACCAGCAGTAGCACTGCTTGAAGGGTTTAGCCCAACTGTCTCTTAACTGTTATGAAGCTCCAAGTCAATGAACAGGCGCACCATTAATTCTTAAGGCTGTCAGATAACCTTAAGGAGGCTCTTCATTGCAACAGCATGTGGGCAGGCCAAATGTTTTCAGTGCTGCAGGCAATGGTGGGGGAAAAACATGTGCCTTAAGGGCATCAATTGATACTGAGCGTCAGAGGACAGTCCAGTCTGAAGGTGTCATCGAAAGCATCGTGGCATCAAATCACTTCCCCCTGTTCATTTTGTAGACAGGAAAATTCCAGGTTATTCCTGATAACTAGGCGAAAGACTTTTTCCTTTTTGTTTGTTTATTTCCTAGTGATTCTGTCACACACATTGTGACGGAGAATAATTCCTGCGCTGAGATCTTGAAATGGCTACAAGCACAGAAGGTGGAGGACAGTGCAAGATTCAGGATCCTGGACGTCTCGTGGTTGACAGCCTGCCTGGAGGCGGGAAGGCCGGTGGATTCAGAGAAATATCGGCTTGTAAGTAAAGTGTGAGATCTCAGTGTGAGATCAACAGGCTGGGCAACATGTTGGAAAAGTCAAACCACAAATAATGGATGATCGGGCCAGAATACTTAGGTGTAAATGGATTTGAAAGCTTGCTTCATTGAATCCAAAGTGGCTGAAATCCAAGGTACTTAACTTGCTTGTTGAATCACAGCCGGACTTGGCTTACCTAATTTATTCTCCTGCCAAAACATGGCTTGGGGTTGTTCTCATTCTCTGTGGAAGCCCCCTGAGAAATATGAAGCAAACAGATAATGGCCTAGAGTCAGTGCTGGTACACATGATCTTCTCTGCCCTTCTGACCACCCACCTCCATAATTTCCCTGATAGCCAGCTGTGATGATATTGGAGCGTATTTGTATGGAAAAGCAGCATACAAATTTAAATAATCAATAAATAATCTATGGCAAAGTACATGTAATTACCAAATGCCGAACTCTGAGTTGGTCAGCTTTTGGGTGCGTAGGGGGCTGCTGCCACTGAGGCCAGGTGATGTATCTTTTTTCTTTTTAAAAAACACATTTTCTGTCATTTATCCACATACAGAGAAGTGGACTCTCCCATTTCCCACCTGGAAGCCCACTTCTTCTCCCAGTCTCTCAGCCTGGGAAGAAGAAGAGGAAGAGTTTGGATCTGATATCCCGCTTTATCACTACCCGAAGGAGTCTCAAAGCGGCTAAAATTCTCCTTTCCCTTCCTCCCCCACAACAAACACTCTGTGAGGTGAGTGGGGCTGAGAGACTTCAAAGAAGTGTGACTGGCCCAAGGTCACCCAGCAGCTACATGTTGGAGGAGCAGAGACGCAAACCCGGTTCTCCAGATTACAAGTCCACCCCTCTTAACCACTACACCACACTGGCTCTCCACACCACACTGGGAGACCCTTTCTACCCTGCCTTTCATGTAGGGAGGGCGGTCATGGATCCTAAGCCCCTTCATTCTGCTGACATGTCCCTCAAAGCAGGACTGAAGACATAGGAGCCAACTCCTAGGGGCCAAGGTCCCTTCACCCCCTCCCCTAAAATATTTGAGGGGGTCAGGACACAGCTAGCCGACAGAACAGAGGACATGGTGGTAGCTTCTTAAAGACCCCCCTGTCCACCCAACCCCCCCACCGTAATATTGCTCTGTTGCGGAATGCTTTCAATGCAGGAACTTTCTATTTGTGTGTGAGCACAACGTTAACTCTCCAATCTGTCTTGAACATTGTAGCACTGTCGTTTCCCCTATAACTTTAGTAATGTGCTTCATGCCACAAGCCAGAGAACCACGCCACTAATTGTATCTGCCCAGCTGAGTTTGCAACTTACTTCCTCCCTGCCCTGCCCAGAACGGCAGCCTCCACCACAAGCAAGACCCTGTTCTTATTCATTTAAGCCTAATGCAGCTCTGTGGATATCTTGAAGAAAATAATTGCTTAATAGGAATTAGGACAGCCCTGCTATTGGAACGCCTTATGTGTAGTCCTCATCCCATGTCAATTACAATGTCCAAAGAATGGGCATAAAAAGCAAGTGCAATTTCTGCCATCATGGCAAGCTCAGCAAGTGCCATCATGACTACAGGAGGGATTGCAAGGCTGTCCAGCTACAAAAGTGAATGCTGTGCTTTAAGAGATTGTGGGTGTGAGCAAGTCAGAGCATAATTACACGGAGAGAACAGTGGCAGCACCGTTAAGTGTGAACAAGCTGTTAATGTATAGTATCACTTCAGTCTTCTTGTTCACAGAACCTGGATGGCTCATAGTTGGAGAATGCTAGCTGGAGCAGAGTTTCCGATGAATTAGCTCTTGTGAGTGCAGAGCCAGGGAATGACAATTGATCAAGAAATATGGATCTGGCATCATCAATAATTTAAACACTCTGCTGAGATGCAAGTCTCTATCACCTGAGCAGATAAAAAATATATATTGCAGTTTCCTAATTTCTTCAGGATATTGCAGGGCCCAGATTTCTTTGGGATATTGCAGTTGGCTGATTTGTTCCGGATATTGTGATCGCTCTGTTCAGTACAGGTGTTGCACACCCTGGATAATTTGCTAAACTTTATTAAGAAGGAACAACTCTATTCTGGGTGAGCCCTAAGCACGTGTCTAAAATCAAGTCGACAATCCAAGTCTTGTGTTAGCAAAATCCACATGTGCCCACCAGATGGTGATATTGCTCTCAGGCACCGGACGTTGTACAGCGCTTATATTATTTTTTTTGTAAAAAAAATATTGCCAATGGATTTGTTGAAGAAAAGAATATAGTCAATACTTTGGATAATGCCTGTTTATGTCAATACATTTGTTGATTTATACAGGTTAAGCTTCGGTATTGGCTTACATGAGGGGCTATGCTAAAAGATTAAAAGCTCAGGGAGAGATGATGTAATGCAGGAACAGGTAATGAAAATCCCTCTGTGTGTGTGTGTGTGCATGCATGTATGTATGTATGTATGTGAGTGCACACACACACACGCAGAGAGAGAGAGAGAGAGAGAGAGAGAGAGAGAGAGAGAGAAAGAAACTCAGTAATATTATATACATTTGCATAACAGTTAAGGGATTTGATGTATAATAATTGAGCTTTCCAAGTTTATGGTAGCAATTTCTCTCAACTGCGCTACTTATGCCCCAAACTACAGGACAGATGTCAAAGATTTGAGATGGTTAGTTCTACTCAGAGTTGACCCATGGATAATGATGGCCATGTATGGTGTGGATCTGACCACAGGCACGTTAATTTCAATGAACCAACCAAGCCCAGGAAGCTTCTGCTTGGTTTAGGGAGGGAGGTGCGATGCAGTGATGGGGTCCAAGAGCCCCCCTGCCCGGTTTTGGGAAAGAGGCAGCAGGGTCCTAGCATTCTGTCAGAGGCCTGGGAAGCTTCAGCCTGGCTTAGAGAAGGAAGCACGATGCTCACATGTACAACATTGTGATGTTCTGATATCGCCTCCCCAATTGCCCTCACAAGCTTGCGCCTCTGTCCCTAACTGCTCGCCTACGAAAAATTTCACCACACACCACTGTTTCCTTCCTCAGGCTGCGGCTTCTCTCAGACCTGATGCAATGCTCTTCCCATGCTTTATGTGCTGCAACACAATCCTTTTCTCTATGGCTTAACACAGGGGTCAGCAAACCTTTTCAGCAGGGGGCCGGTCCACTGTCCCTCAGACCTTGGGGGGGGGTAGACTATATTTTTTGGGGAAAAAGAATGAATTCCTATGCCCCACAAATAACCCAGAGATGCATTTTAAACAAAAGCACACATTCTACTCATGTAAAAACACCAGTCAGGCCCCACAAATAACTCATAGATGCATTTTAAATAAGAGGACACATTCTACTCATGTAAAAACACGCTGATTCCCAGACCATCAGCAGGCCGGATTGAGAAGGCGATTGGGCCGGATTCGGCCCCTGGGCCTTAGTTTGCCTACCCATGGCTTAAAAGGTGCAAATGTTTCATGCTCTAAATGCTTACCCGTGTAGGAACAACTCTGGCTTCGTTCTGTATAAGTTGGCTAATTAGAATCCATCTCAAATGAACTTTTCATAATCAAGACACATATCAAAGCAGTAAGAATTTTAATGAAATTAAAAACAACAACAACACACCAAACACTGAAATTGAACAGAAGGCAGGGAAGCCCTTGCCTTAAGCATGTTTAAAACCAGCCCATGACGTTTTGCTACCACAATGGTCTTTCAGATTTTCTGCTGCCTCCAGGAATAAGGAAGAGTTGAAATAAAGGTTAATTGGTTTTTAAGGGTTTTTCAAATTAATTTTGTTGTAATTTAATTGGAGCAACATGAAGTGGAGATTTGTTTTACAATGATCAGCTAATTTTAGACAAGGGTCAGTGACAAAATAATGGACTCTACTGGAGTGTGGACTCTGCCACTGCAGGGGAGCCCAGTGAGAGGAGGAAAGGCCAGGAGTAGCCAGGAGGTGAGGGACAAGGCAGTGATCTAATGCTACAACTGGGCAGAATGAGGCGGTTATCTCGGGTGGCAGATTTTCGGCAACATTAAGCAATAGCATTAAAACAAAAAAAAAATCATTTGGCTCTCACATCCAGCCACACAATATCCTGGTTGTCCCATTGTGATTTTGCTCTGTTGAAGTTGCACAGAGCTAGGATCAGACACTGGGCAACCATCCCTGTTCCGAGTGGGGCGACCAAGATGATCAAGGGTCTGGAAACCATGCCTCATGAGGAACGGTTGAGGGAGTTGGGTATGCTTAGCCTGGAGAAGAGAAGACTGAGAGGTGATATGACAGCTATCTTCACATAGCTGAAGGGCTGTCACATGGAAGATGGAGTTAGTTTGCTTTCTGCTGCTTCACAGGGTAAGACCTGTGGAGGGTAAGACCAATGGATTCAAATTAGAAGAAAGGAGATTCTGACTAACCTTTAGGAAGAATGTTCTGACAGTAAGAGCTGTTTCAGAGTGGAACAAACTAGCTTGGAGGGTGTTGGACTTTCCTTCTGAAATATACTTGGAGTTGCGTAGCGATTTCATGCTCTTTATTGCAGCTCATCAAAACAGTAAATGAATCCCCCCACCCCCGAAACCATTGGCTTTATATACATTATTTACACAATAGGTCCCGTGTGATTGGCTGATTCTGCTTCCCTCATGGAGCGTGACTGGCCTGCTCCTGCAGGCCAATCGGTTGTTGCATTCTAGGATCCTTTTGTTGTTGTTTAGTCATTTAGTCATGTCCAACTCTTCGTGACCCCATGGACCAGAGCATGCCAGGCACTCCTGTCTTCCACTGCCTCCTGCAGTTTGGTCAAACTCATTCTGGTAGCTTCGAGAACACTGTCCAACCATCTCGTCCTCTGCCGTCCCCTTCTCCTTGTGCCCTCCATCTTTCCCAACATCAGGGTCTTTCCAGGGAGTCTTCTCTTCTCATGAGGTGGCCAAAGTATTGGAGCCTCAGCTTCACGATCTGTCCTTCCAGTGAGCACTCAGGGCTGATTTCCTTAAGAATGGATCAGTTTGTTCTTCTTGCAGTCCATGGGACTCTCAAGAGTCTCCTCCAGCACCATAATTCAAAAGCATCAATTCTTCGGCGATCAGCCTTCTTTATGGTCCAGCTCTCACTTCCATACATCACTACTGGGAAAACCATAGCTTTTACTATACGGACCTTTGTTGGCAAGGTGATGTCTCTACTTTTTAAGATGCTGTCTAGGTTTGTCATTGCTTTTCTCCCAAGAAGCAGGCGTCTTTTAATTTCGTGGCTGCTGTCACCATCTAGGATCCTACCTGCCTATTATTCTAGGATCCAAGCTTAGAACACAACACCTTCATTGGAGGTTTTTGAACAGAGATTGGATGGGTATCTATCAGGGATTCTTTAGCTGTGATTCCTGCATTTCAGAGACTTAGACTAGATGAGCCTTTGGGTTCCTTTGAACTCTACAGTTCTATAATTTTGTGATCTCAGCATCCCCTGCAGGTCCCAGCAAGGAGGCAATTTTCTGTTTCAAGTCTATTTGTGTCTTCAAAAGCTGGCAGAATGCAACTGATGCAGTATTAGTGTAATATAATAAATTGACCAGGCTCCTATCATAAGTCTTCATGCCACATTTTGCACCAATTGGAGTTTCCGGTCACTTTTCAAAATCAGTCCCATGAACAACGCATTACATTAGTCCAATCTGGAAGTGACTGGAGCATGTGCAACTGGCAATTTCCTTGTTGCAAAAATGTAGCATCACTGATTATATATGTTACAAAATCTTCTGTCTAAACAGGCTCTTGGAATTATCTAAAATCTCAAGAGAGTACAGTATAAGTTTTATATTGAAAGGAACTTGTTTAAGGTGATTAAATTATTTTCCAGGCCATGTTGATACTTAATCATGTTGTACCAGGCAAACTGAGGCTATAGGTCATAAATTGCACATAATAGACATATTATTCAGCCTGCTCTTGCATAAAATCATTGAAACTAGAGAACTCAGAAGTTGTAAGTTTTACAAAGTTAAGAGATGACTTAACTTCCGAAATTTCCCACGCAGCACTACTGTCTTCTGAATTTCTTTAGCTGGCATTGGGTCTCTGGCAGCCCATTTAGCTGTGATATGATGTCTGCAGTTTAAAATCCACCATTAAAGTATAATTCACAGATTGTATTATTATCAAGTCTGAATGATTTTGTCGCAGCCTACTGAATCCCTTTGGGCTATTTGCCAAGTCAGGCTCAGACATACGCACACTAATTTTCCTCCTTTCAAAACACACAGCAAAAATTACCAGAAAGCTGCGCTTACTACTGCTATTAGAAATTATCCTAATACGAATGCCATTGAACAAGTAAATGAATTTCTAGTCCCCACTGGATCATATATAATGGCAACTTTTAGATGAAATATTATTAGCGGAAGGGCTTATCTAATATGGCAAAAGTCTTTTGTCCCATATATTATAGTCATGTCTCTGATGTAGACATGGAAGAAAGCTTTTCACGCTATACCTGGTTTCCTACATCTTTGTCCTTAAATGTGTCAATACAGAATGAACCAATCTGGAATGGGTGCTTTCCCCCCCAAACGGAGATGTTCTATAATTTGACTTGGTGAATCATATTTATTAAGAAGGGGAGCAGTACTAGGTGCTCTCAAGCAACCTTAAGAATTGATTCTTTTTCAAACTCTGCTTTTCGTAAGAGGAAACCACTTATAAGCCACTTGTTCTTTGATTCTCTTGCTGGACAGCTGGGATTCAGTTGACAACTTTACCATGTTACAGTATCAGCTCAACATGGAGGCCTGCTTGTCTTTGGAAAGGAGAAAGCAATGTATTTTCCTCATTTGGGTACTGGCTGGGATAAAGAACATGGCATGGAGAAGATTTAATACTAGTCAGAGCATGTGTGGCAATATGACTTAGCCAGTCTAACCCAGGGGCAGGAAACCTCAGGCTCAGGGGCGAAATGTGGCTCTCCAGGTCACTTTGTGTGGCTCTCCCTAGCCACACCCTCTTTCCTGAGGCCACGCCCCTTACCAGCCCTTGATTTACATCCTGCCTTAGTATTGCTTGGTTGGAATGTGTCCTTGAACTCTAATAATGACTCTTGCTGGAGGATAGAGAGAGGTGTGTGTTGCATTAAGAAACCAGCCTAATGTACTACAAAGCTAAAAAAAATTATATTCATTGTTTTGCCCAGTTTTGTCTCTGACCCTCCACACTAGTGATATGTGAATCTGAGAATGTTGCCCAGAAGGGAATGGGACCCACAGGCTGTATGTTTCTCCACCCTTCTGGTCTATCCCTATCTTTCTCCAGAATCTGTGTTTTATGGCCATTTGGTCACCATAGAGACATTATTCATAACAACTTTTTCATGGCAAATGCAAAGTTTGCCCTCTGGGAGAAGGGCTACATGCCCTGGGTATGAACCCTGGGATCTCCTGGAACAACTCCTGGGCAACAGCTGCCAGTCAGTTTAGATAATACTGAGCTAATGGTCTAATCTGATATAAGGCGGGTTCCTGTGTTTCCATGGTAACTCAATACTTGAATAAAAAGCATCATGCCTGGGAATGATGGGAGATAATATGAAAGTTCTATCAGTGGTGTTGGTCCCATTATGGATCCTTCAGACACAGGCCAAATGATGCTGCGGTAATTTGGTATCTCCCATAGCTGGCAGTAAGAGGCGTTTGTGGTGTTCATTCTATATTGGGAGCATCACAGTTTGAAACTGTTGCTGTCAGAATAAGAGAAAGATGGCGTGAGAATATGGCTGGGTTTGTTCAAAAGCACATTGTCTCCATGAGAGAAACAGAAGGGGCTGTTTGCTTGAAATGTTTTGCAACATGGCGAGAAAGGAACGGAATATATTCTATAGAAATAGAAACTTGGCAATCAGGTTTTGAGGTAATTATTAGAATGACAAATTGCCCATTTTCCCCTCCTCTCTCTTTCTAGGTGGGTGAAAAGTGTTCTGCTACTTCATCCATGCAGTCAGTGGATACTTCAGTTCTTGGTACGGAAAGCGTCTCCCAGTATGCCTGTCAAAGGAGGACAACTTTAAATAATTACAACAAAAAATTCACGGTAATATACATAATAACTTTCTTCTCAGAATAGAGGGTCACACTAAACCACAGGCACCTTGAGGAACTAGTTATAGACTAAAAATACATTGTTCATATAGTAATACCTACGCAAACGTCCACCTTGTGTAGCGTCCATTCCGGCAAACATCTGCAAGCAAACCTGGAAGTATCAGAATGACTCACGCATGCGCAGAAGCACAACCGCTCTGTGCAAGTGCGCAGACGTGGCGCTTTGCCCCGTATCCTTTTCGGCTAGTGACCGGGGCTCCAAAATGGATCCCGGTTGCAAAACAAGGCATCACTGTATAGCTGCCCAGGAAGCAGCAACACCTAAGTCGGAGGATGAACAACCATCCTAGCCATATTTATTAAGAAGCCTATCTTGCTTACTTTTATGGGAACTATTTCTAAATATGCACAGAGCTTTGGCACAATTCTAGTTAATGAATACATTTTTTAAAAAAAGCTAATCAATAAACCGTGGGTTTTTTTAAAGCACTTGTTCCTTTAGAATGGCTTCTTGATCTCACACAACCTTGCTGTGGTGTCATGAAGCACTCCTGGTGGTTGTGCGTGGGTCAAACAACTTTGTGGGTAGGGTTTTTCTCAATCAGTCAAGATCTGCACAATCAACTTTTCCCCACATGGCTATTTAGTTCACACACAATTCCCAGCAACATGGGATCATGTCGTGGAGAAGTAATGTAATGTTTCTTGGTTTTTTAAAAAATTGTTTTTGTAATTATTGCGAACTGTTATGAGCCCAACATTTGTTGTTGGAAAAGCGGAACAGAAATATCAAATCAAATCAAGTAATTCCTATGCTGCTCAGTGTGTGTATTTGTTTGTACAGTGGTACCTCGGGTTACATACACTTCAGGTTACATATGCTTCAGGTTACAGACTCCGTTAACCCAGAAATAGTACCTCGGGTTAAGAACTTTGCTTCAGGATGAGAACAGAAATCGTACTCCGGCGGCAGAGGGAGGCCCCATTAGGTAAAGTGGTGTTAAGAATAGTTTCAGGTTAAGAACGGATCTCCGGAACGAATTAAGTACTTAACCCGAGGTACCACTGTATGTGTGAATGAGTGAGAGAGACAGAGAGAGAAAATGACTTGTAAACTGCTTCAAGAATTGCTGTAGCAACTTAATTTATGCTTCCTGATAGACACAATAAAAACGACTGTCATGTGGTTATATAACCATAGAGTTGGAGAGGACCTTGTAGTCCAATCCTCTGTTTGATGTAGGAAACCTCGAGTTAGAGGCATACCATCCCCAGTAGATGGTTGTCAGGCACTTGCTTAAAGGCCTCCAGTACAAGAGAGACCACCAACCACCTAGTGTCTAGGTCCATTGTCATTTTCTCCTTAATGGGTTGGGACAGATGGTAGCTTGTGATTATTTCAATGTGTGCCTCACTGGCATTTTCAACCTACATTTTCTGTCCCACCACTGCTATTACCAATTAACCTTTTCAGACTAGAGCTTTCCTGCCACATGGGAATAAAAAATGGTTCTGTTTTGTGATTGGCAAACACCAAAACAAGCGCATGCCTCATTTCAGTGCGTGGTTAGTTGCAATGTGGTTTTGGTCAGTGAGCTCAGTTTAGTTAAGCAAACCATTCTCTCTCAGCCAACCCCCCCCCCCCCAATTTGTAACATTTGTTGCTGTTGTTAATTACTCTTGGCCTACTTTATAGGGTTGGAAACATTACTGAGGACTGTGTAACCTTTTGAGAACTTGTGAAAAATGCCATGTAAATGTCCTTTTCTAAGGAATCTTTCCCCACGGTATCAATAGCTGGGAAATGGGCTTTCAGATAGTAAAGTTTTTCTGCTCTTTCTGTATTATGTCAAGTGAGTATGAGCATCCTCTGTTAGGCCCTGAGGATTCTAATCATTCTACCAAAATGAGGAACAGATTGGCTATGATGGGCTACAGACTGCAACTGACTCCAGCTGAATGTTGAATTTCATTTTCCTGAGCCACTCAAAATTCAGAGCCTGTTCAAGCTGCTGTGTTGTCCTCCTTAGTTATGAATTTTCCTCTGCAATCATTGGCTGAATATTACCCCCACAATATTATTTCAGATATGCCTAAACATAAAGATTTATTGCTTTGTTTTGGCTTTTTAAAAGTTAAGCTCTTTTGTCATTTCCCCCCTACCTCGTTAAACTGACAGCTCAAAACAAGGGCATTTATTATATAGTTTTTGTGCCTGCTTCATGCCGCATCTGAACTCGCTTGCAGAATCTCCATCTCTCTCATGTCCCTCATTAAAGTAACAGCCATGACACTTTTGTGTTTTCCACAAGTAATACTAAGTCAAGGTGGTCTGCCTAGGGAGGATGGGAGCCATAGTCCAAAATATTGGGAGGGCACTGGGTTGGGGAAGCCTGCTATAGCATAATTTGGAACCATTTATGAGGCCTACTTTGTATGAAGGCAAGCAACTGCTTATAGATATACAGTGGTACCTTGGTTTAAGAACAGCTTAGTTTATGAACAGCTTGGATTAAGAACGCTGCAAACCCGGAAGTAGGTGATTTGGTTTGTGAACTTTGCCTTGGAAGCAGAACATGTTTCGCTTCCTGTTGAGTGTGTTTCATTTGTAAATGGAGTTCCCCACTGCTATGGGAAAGCACACCTTGGTTTAAGAAAGCTTTGGTTTAAGAATGGACTTCTGGAATGGATTAAGTTCGTAAACCAAGGTACCACTGTATAGGTATTTCCAATGAATTCCAGAAGTCTGCTCAGCAGTTAGTTAAGTGGTAATGAGAATAAATGTGAGTAGAAAGTCTGTGGAGGTGAGGAATTACAACCTTCTTGGGAAAGACATAACCCGCCACGAGCCATGCTGAGCTTCTTGACTAGGCTTGCCACCTGCCCCTAGAAAAATGTGATTGTCCGTTTTTAAAGAGAAAAGTGTCCTGTGTCCTGTTTGGATGCCTTTTTTCATGTTTTCAAGCTCATCCTCCTCCTCAAAACTGTGTGGGCAGAGAGTAGGTCAGACTTGGAGAACAAGAAAGGGGGTATGCATGGCTTTGGTGGAGAGCAGGTGGAAAGAGTTTTTGTGTGCTTGAAGACAGAGACTCAGAGTCGGAGAGCTAGAGAGAGTAAGGGCTTGCTTTGAAGTCATTTCTGCACCAGGTAAAGTAATTTTTAGCTCCCCAATTCCCACCCTGACCTGTCCTGTATTTTGCCCAACCAAAGGTGGCAACCCTGCTCTCGACTCAAGTGTCAGACTGGGGAGGTGGCAGAATGAGCACCCCCCCTGCTGTTCTGCCCAAGCTCCTCTTGTGCCGCCTGAGTCCCCGCTGATCTGCATGTAAGTTCAGGACCAGTAAATTAGGGCAGACCGCTTTAAAATGCTGCTGCTGCATAGCAAGCTTCATGTCCAAGCAATGGCCTCTGATGGGGACCTAAATGTCCAAGTGGGCAAATGTGGAGGCAGGTTATACTTCAAGCACCCTGGCCCCAAGGCTGGACATGATTTAAAGGACAAGACCAACACTTGGAACTGGGCCCAGAAATAGGCTGGGAGTTGTTCCAACCAGGGAAGGGCTGACATAATATGCTCATAGCAGCTGTTCCCAAGGAGAGAACAACGTAACTGTATTGAACTCCTTGGAGAAAATGTAGTGTATAAATGTAATAATAATTTGTCTTGGTGACTCGCACGTTGCGTAGGCCTCATGTTCTATGTTTTACTTTTCCTGCCTTGTTTGTTGCCCTCTACAGTGAAGAGGCATTAAATTCCTCCATTGAGAATAGGCCTAATCTTTGTCTTATAAATGTTGATGTCAAAGAAAATATTATATATTTACTCCATCAATAATAGGTCATATGGTTAGTCGGCATCCAGTGGCTACTGAGAATGCTCAGTCCTCATCCGTCTTTCGCCTCCCCCTTTTGGGTTCTCCCCACCTTTTTTTGGTACATTGGGGTTCTTCTAAGCATGCTGATATCTCCCTCTTGTGTGTAGATGTTGCTGCTTTGGCTACACAAGCAGCACTGTCCATGACAGGACATGATAGTGGAAGTGACCCATAATGAACAACAACATTGCAAAACAAGATGATGCCTCTGAGGGGAGGGTATGCCCAGTCAGTCCATTGCAGCTGTACATGCATATAATTTTGATGTCTTTCTTCTTATTTCAAAATATAGTCCAGCTGGCTCTCAAATCCATCACTCTAAAGGTCAGTAAAATTAAACTCTGAAAGGCTGAACAGTGGCAGTTTTAAACAATTGATGACTACACCCCAGTGGGTCATTTTGTAGCACCTCAATAAATCAGATGTGTAGTTTTTTTTTATTTTAAAAAAAGTTTGTGCGATACTTTTTACTGTTATTTTTACTTATTATGTTCTCTTCATTTGAAAGCAGTTCGTTACAAGTAATAAAACTGCATTCTGAAGCATATTTTATTGCTTTGGGATCTCCTGAGCTTCCACTATTCTGAAAAGCTGTGAAGGGGGGAGAGGTCTCTTTCATGGTAGATATAAGCCCTTCACTTTGCAAATATCTTCACTTGCGGTTAAAGTTTCTTAGGTGGACAGATAGTCATTTGCATCATCTGCTAGTGCTACAGCCATCATTGCGATGTCAGATGGTTTTTACCTGTGAACTACAGGGGCTTTGTGAACATCCTTCAGTAGCTAAGTTTACAAAGGTCTTTCAGATGTGCCCCCCAGGTTTCTCCTCCAAATGGGGGAAATATGTGGGGTGGGGGATTGAAGGTGTACTCCCCCCTGGGTGGATGGGAACATACCTTTCTCAATCAAAGGAATAACCAGGAGATTTCAGCTCCCATTTGTTCCTTTGAAGCCCTTAGGTGGGCACAGCTTCCTGAAAACGGCGTGAGCCAAATGAGGAGGTCTGGAGGACCATCTTTGGTCTGTGAGCTAGTGGTTCCTCAGTCCTGGCTTAGTGTGCCATGGCAGAGAGCAAGGCCAGAAATGGGCTTTTTTCCTTCTCAGGAGATTAGATATTCTACATCAGAACAACCAGTCAATGCAGGATAACAGATGCTAAGGCTTGGTCAGTTGTTGACAGATCAACAGATCAACTAGAGGGCAATATAAGAATTAGCACAATGCCCACTTGTTGTGATCCCCTCCCACCTGCATGTTAATTCTACATATGTAATAGCATCTACATTAACATAAATTGATTTTGCACTCCCATGAAACTCTGGGAGCTGTAGTTCTAGGAATCTCAATAGATAATTCTTACCATCTTTGCATGCTATGATTTCCATGATTTTTTTTGCAGTGCAGGAGAGACCTTAACGAGTTAAATAGGTGCAAAATTGCAATAGGTTTGCACAGTAGATATACCTTGAAATGACGAGTAAATTGCAGTGGGACCACTTAACATCTTGTGATGAAGAACAATGCAAGAACAGCATTTACTGGGAGGATTTTCATAGCAATAGTTTTATATTTAAACTTCTGTCCCGCAGCGTTTTTATCTGGGGCCTGTGCTTTGACTGTAATTCATACATTCAGAAAAAAGATGTCCTGAAAGATTATTTTCTGTGCAAATACGGAGCTGCGATGAGGCAGCAGTATAATTTACTTATACAAGCTGTGGGCAACCAACCATTAAATGACGCATTGTCTCTGGCTGAATGCCACATAGCCTGCAAATTAGGTCCAAACTGTCTTGAATTATGTGCTGGTGATAGCATCTTGTTATAACCACTTTATTTTAAGATATAAATATATTGCCTTTTCTTTCCCTTTGTAACTTGGCAATAGCTTTTTTCTTGCTGTTGCTATTTTTAGCTTTTAATGTTAGCACCGCAGTCTGTGTTGGTCTTTGATAAAGACAGGGATTTTTCACTTAGAAGTGACCCCTGGGACTCTCAAACCCCATTTTTGAGCTCTCTTGTAGAATAGCGGTTGCTTTGTAAAGGCAATTAAATGTGCCATTTTCCATACTCTCAAGTCAAGCAAGAAAACAGGTGTTTTGCTAACACCGCAGCCACTCTCATGTAATGAGGCTGAAGAAATCTACTTTTCTTACAAGTCGTGGTTTTCAGCGTCTACTTCTAGGGATAAAACTTGTGCTACGTTACATCCTAAATCATAATTGTCAGGTGATGCCCAGGGCTGCAACATTTCCACACTCCTCCACACTATGGTGTGGACCAGGGCAGAGTGGCCACAAGCTCTAATGCTTTGGATAATAAAAAATGTAGGCCAAGGGACCTCATCAGCCAACCTGACAACCAGATGGAATAAAGGAGGCCAGAGCTACAGGCCATTTTGGATGGCCCAAGGAGAAACTGAGCAGTTGGGGAGGACTGAGAAAGAAAGCAGATATTAATATTGCACAGTTTGAAGTGACTGGAAGCGTAAGAACTGACTCCTATGGGAAGAAATCATGGTTCAGACCCATAAAAATATTATTCGGCGCTCTTTGAAAACAGAACATAAGCATCAAAGATACAACCCAAATATCCAGACAATGTCATGTGCTGTCCAGCACAGGACCAGCATCTTAGAAACAATACACAGCTCCCCAAATCAAACTGTATCTCTCCTCCCCATTCCACCCTGCCTTAGCCTGCCGTGGCTATGCATGGGCTGGGCCTCCGCAGTGGCAGTTTCTCTTCCTCCTTGCCTGCTCTCCAGAAACTGCTACGAGCTGCCCAAGGGAAGAGGTCAGATGATCACTCTCAGCCACTGCCTCTCAGGACAAGTGCCAGCTCCTCCTCCTCCCTGAGCTCAGTGGCGGTGGCACTGCTGGGGTGTGTGTGGAAATGCACATTCTGGGATCAGATCAGAAGCTGGGATGGCTTTCATAATTCTGGGACTGTACCTGGAAAATAGGGGCACTTGGAGAGTATGCGATGGGAGTTGTGGTCCATCAATGTCTGGAGGGCAAAGGTTGCCCAGACCTGTTGTAGACAGATGTGCATGTCTCACACATGAGTGCAAGGTGGATGGGTTTTGAGCAGACCCACCCCCCACTTTTATGTAGCATTTTCAGATTGCTAATTGTGCCTTACTATTACTTAAGTTTCAAAAATGAAAATGTAACTTGTAACCTGTAGGCAGTTCCACAGCAGCCCTATGTGTCTTCTTGCATGATGAAGGATTAATAAATGTCCGAGAGTGTAAAATCACATGGTAGTTTTCAACTGGAGAGTCTTTAATTTCTTTCTCTGCTTCTGTAATAAATCAGTAACATGGTCACCGGCTACCCTCTCTGAGCAAAGGATTCTTCACACATTAAAGCACCAAGACCTTGTTGCCTTCCTGTCTCTTTCCATAAGGCACAGCTCAAGCCTGCAGTGTGATTTTTATGAGCCAAAACAAACATTGTTATTCTCTCCCCAACCCTCCAAGAAGGTTGGTTAGCTTAGAATATTAATACTGAACTGCAATAAAATGCAGAAGGACATTTTTCTTATAGACAAATACAATTTAATTCTGAGAACGGAAAGTAGTTAAGGCTGGCACAAAGGGCGGAGCAATCCTGTGGTTCATTACAAACAGTTTTTGAATTGTACTGGCCTTGGGCCATTACTCATGAGAATAAGAAAGTGGATGTTTGACTATAGACTGAATACCAATTGCCTTACTATATCCGGTATGTGGGTGATGGGAGATTGTTCTTTTTTTCCATTAACGTAGCATTTCATTATTTTGTCCCCATTCCTAAAAGATTCTGTTGTGTCACTGACTTTGGTAAACAAGTAAATTATTTTTAATGCAGTTTAAATCTGACAACTTGGTGACAATATCTTCTAAATAACATTTTATTTGTAGTGTAGAAAGTGTTTAGGGAAGAGAAATTCACAAACTGATGTGTTGAAACAATAAAGTAATAGAGGGGTCTCTGTGAACCTTAGCACTATGTGGAAGTTGCTTGCTCTGAATGTGGAAGGTCCTGTACGAGGGGCCCAATCCACCGGGAAAGTAGCCTATGAAAGAAATGATTGACAAAGTCTTGAGATCTATTTCTGCAAACTTCGATTCGTTTATGGAAAACCTTCCCCCTCTGAGGTATGGTTGGTGCTGACTTTGTGGCCATTTTCTCCTCTGCAGTTAAAAAATATGCAAACGACAAGCATGCAGTTTTGTTTAGTTGTATAGTTAACACCAAAACCAGAAACTGTAATCTTTTTATGGCCAACTTCTAGAGTTGGAGACATCTGTAAAATGCTTTTATAAGAGGTGAAAACTGGATCAACTTTGCAACTAATTAAAATCTCTTGGAGGTGATGCATGGACCAGAAATATTACAGCACTGCAGGAATCTGGGGTTCTCCTCTGTACTAGATTAATGTAAATGAACTGTTTTTCTATGTTGCTTTTAATACACAGTGTGGAATTTTTACAGACAGTAAAAATTATCCGTATCATATACTGATGTGGTATCCTACTAGGATACAAGCCAATTAAATATTTGTTAAATCCAAACAGTTAGCAGTGCTTTCCTTCTCCCTTGATGCTGATTACATGGCAGTGAGAAGAGATAGAGGTGGTGAAGCAGATTTTTATTTTATTCTAATCCTGAGCAAATAAATCAAAACATGCCAAAATGTGTCTTACAGGGAAAAGGCAGTCCTACAATTTCTTTCAGCGTTTGCTGGCAGTGGTTTGTTTAGGGAGGAATACATATTCAAACGTTAGTCTGATTGTTTATTTAAAATGTCTTAATGAGCTCTTGGGTAGTTGGAGAAAACACAGAGTAATGAAAACATCACTGAAATGAAGGCTTTGATGACATCTTTTAGCTGACTGTCAAGAATGTTTGAGTAGACATGGCATTTTAGTTTTCTTCTCAGTTTAAGGCAGTAACACATTTTCCCTCAAGACCTGTCCACCCACTAGCAGAAAGCAAGGAGTAGCCTACCTAAAATAGCAATGGCATTATGCTTTCTATCATTTAACTTGATAGCTTAAGCAAGTGCAACGTGACTGGACCATTGCTTTCCCTCTCTTTCTTTTTTCCACTTAGATTGCCTTTGTTCTTTAAGGCAGCTTTAATTATTTCTTGTGCGAACCATGATGTCCTTTGCTACACCCATCATGCACTGGCATTATTTGAAAAAGTTCTGCCTCTGGATAACTCCTCTCCATGATACAGACATACCTTGGTTTTCGAACAGCTTAGTTCTCGAATGTTTTGGCTCCCCAACACCGCAAACCTGGAAGTGACTGTTCCAGTTTGTGAACTATTTTTGGAAGCCGAATGTCCGAATGGGCTTCCGATTGGCTGCAGGAAGCCGCACTTTGGTTTCTGAATGTTTTGTTTCAATGGATGTTTGTAATGTTAAAAAATATAGAAGAAGAAGAAGAAGAAGAAGAAGAAGAAGAAGAGAGACCTCTCCACAAAGACCGAAATTATGGCTTCTACACACACACAAATCTGACAAGAGGCCCATTTCATTTTAACGGACAGGCTATTCCCCCCCCCCCACCGGTTGGTAATCATAATCCAAAGGGAGAATAAAATTTGTCAGCAATACTTTCTGCTCTCTGTGCTCTACATGAAGTTATATTGGAAGGGGTGACGGTAATATCCTCATTTGCTCAGGAGGAAGCAATCGCTGCAAGAGCAAATAGGAAGATAATAGAGCTCGTGGAAGGTGAGTCAGTAGCAGCAACAGCAGCTGGTGAACTCATGATTTGCCAAGAGCATCTGGCAAGGTGAAGCAAGCATGAGTGTGCTTGGATGCATTTCCCAGCCATTTCTACTTGCGTTGGCATCTGGAGGACTGCATCTGCTCCTTCCTTCCAGTGGCTAGTATAGACAGGGCAGGTCTTTATTACAAGTGTTTCCTCATTAAGAGGGTAATATGTGAATCATTGTAATAATGCATTCCTCAAGGAAAGACCCTACAAATGTTTGAGGTTCAATACACACCCACACAGGCAGTTTAGTTACAAACAGAGGTATTTGGGTCAAAATGTAGCAAGATCAACTTTCTTCTACCTTGACTGAAAGTGCAAAAAAGCAGAGGGAGGCAAATGAGACTTCCCAAAACATAATATGCTCTCTGAGTGAAACATCTGCCCTGTTTTTCTATGATGGAAGTGAAAACAGGTGTCAAATGCGTAGGGGGGAGCCGATTATTTCTAAGTATGTGAAAGAGACAGAAACAAGCTTAAATAAGAGTTTTCATTTTATTTTCAAAGTGTTCTGTAATCTAGTTCTTATACTGCAATTTGCAGAAGTCATATTTTACCATTGAAGGTAAACAACATGGTTTGGATGAATAGTGTACGAGAGCCAAACTAGACATGACATTTGTTATGTTGTCTGCTTTTCTACAACTCATTCTTTATTTTATGAATAGCTGGTGCACTTGGGGCTGGTGAGTTTCCCTCCTATAGGGTGAGGGGTCCTAGTTGGGACTGTGATGGGGCAAAGAGTTAAAATAGAGGTGGCTAACCAATGGCCTTCTAGATGTTACTGAACTACAATTCCCATCATCCTCTGACAGAAGAACATAAGAGACTGCCCCAGAATGAACTTAATTTAGGTTCATCTTACCTGGCAATTATGAGAACTTCTTTTTGGTGTAGTTCAGAAATTCAGTGAACTTTGTGACACTTAAGTACTTTGTTTCAAACACTGATCATCTTAAGAGAAACTAGTATACTTAAAAAGTTTTGAAAGCCAAGGTTTTTTTTAAAGAAACACACACATTGATCTGCCACTTGAACATTTCAGTATGTTATCTAACCTTGCCAGACGTTACAGTGTGCCCTAGACATTTTTGGTTTGTGCTTTTGCTTTCTCATCAGACCTAAGATTTTTGTCATGCCTTGCCTAATATCTGACAAGCCTGGCATTATCTAGGTTATTCCCCCCCCCCCCATGAAAACATAACTCGACAATGAGTGAACATAACATACATTGTTGTCAACAGACATAATGCACCGTCTTAGTCCGGTACACTTTAACAGGAAAGGATTTGACATTTGCGAACTTTCCTTGCATTTCAGTGACCCAAACTGGACTCCCAAATTAGTTTGAGGCGGCAACAAGATGTTATCTTGGCAAATGCATTTCTCCAAACTCACATTTGCCAAGATAACACGTTTACTGAACTGAGACAGCACATTATATTGTCCACTGAGAACAATGGCTGCTAAAGGTCTGTGTAGAAGACAGATCTTTGGTTGAGTTTTCTTGCTTTAATTGTAAAAAAGGGGTCCAACAATCAAGATATCATTAGGCTTGTCAGATGTTATTAGATAAGATGTGACAACACTCTTAGGCCCATTGGAGGACCAGTTAACAAAAAACCATGGTCATGTAGTGGTAAATTTTGAAGTGAAGGTGAAGGAGCTAATAATGAAAGCCCCCCTAACCCCATAACCACAGAGTCCAAAAATGGAAACAGCTGTGTCAAGCCATTATTTATTCACTCCCTTCCCAAACAGCAATACTACATGATAACAACCAATGTATTAGGATCAGAACAACGTCATTCTATGTATAGTTTCCCTGGGAGTAATTTCCACTGAACACAACAGTGCTCACATAGGTTTGACTCATAAAACACATTGAGCTTTAATGAAAGGTCTTCAGCTAGCTGAAATACAGCTTATAACTTTTTGTTAGAAAGTGCCCATCATCTTGCAAAGAAGTGTTTCCATTTAAACTGCTAGCCTGAAGTTGGAACCCTATCAAAGAAAAGGAAAGAAATACCCAGGCTGTGCTTGTTTATATTCCTCATTCCCTTCGTTGGGCACTTCCCTGGACACCTTCAGACTATTACCATTTTGTGGGAGGTTTGTGCAGTTAGTGGATTAAAGCACTCTTTTGTCCTAGCAAAACAAGCCCACTTTAAAAAAAGAAATGGACTTTGTGTGGTTAGGGAGATGATGTGGAAATGACTTCAGTGTGAATGCTCCTTGCCATATAGCCTTCTTGTAAAACAAACCAGAATGCATGCTTAATAAAGACAAGAACTGTGAAAACAGATCAGGACCAGTGCTCAATATATAAGAGCCCCAGATCAATTTTTGTACCTACTGACTCTTCCCCCTCACCCACCATTTCCTCCCCTCAATTGTTTTGAAGAAACAAAGATGTCACACCATGACATACTTGACAAAGAGGATTTGGGCAGATTTCTCAGTATTACAGAAGCTGCAGTATTTCACCTTTCCTGCCTCTGGTGTTTTGGTCAAATTGGTGGTGATATGTCACCTATTCCTCTTTAGGTCAAAAAGCCACAAAGCAGTTCATGGAAAGGTCCTTTTATTAAGTGTACCTAAGAGCAAAATGTCACAGACAGTTACTAGCTACGTTACATTCACTGCTGTCTAAGGAAGTCTGTGCATCAGCTTGCAAGTTTTAAACTTTCTGTGTATGGAATGTATGAGTGTCAGTTTTTTAACAACTCATTCTCTGCTTCTGTCCTCATTCCTTGCCCCCCCCAAGGATGCGTTTGAAGTACTGGCTGAAAACTATGAGTTCAGAGAAGATGAAGGGCATTGCCTTGCATTTAGGAGAGCTGCTTCTGTGTTGAAATTTCTTCCTTTTGCTGTTGTTAGAGTAAGTGATATTGAAGGATTGCCTTGGATGGGAGAACAAGTCAAAGCTATCATAGAGGTAAGTTATAGTGCCTTTAAAAACACACACAGATACATTGTCTTTTTAGTGTTTTGATGTTAGCAGGATTGTCGAATGAAGGTAGAAAACAATTAAAGAACAGGTATTGTGGGATGAATAATAAACCCAATTAAATGAAGGCTACAAACGCTGGACAATGCATTTAGCGATAACTTGATTCTGACCAAGCTAAGCCTCCTAGAGCAAAATATATATAGGAGACTTAGTTTGGTCAGAATTGAGTATACACTTCCAGAGTTAACGCCCAGGCTTTTTAGACTTGTCTACCTATGTCCTATCTGGAACCAAAGGGGGGACATTGTTTGCCAGCTGTAGAATATATTGGCATTATTTTCAGCTCTCCTGACTCCACGACTTAGACTGCAGCCTTCAGGGGTGCCAACTTGGCCCCACGACTGTGCAGCATGCATGGCCCTGGCACTGAAATTTGTGGGTGCCTGGCCCCTTCATGGGGAATTTTGTGGGTGTTTGGGTACCCATGGCCCAAGGAATTGGCATCTATGGCAGCCTTCATCTTAAAAGAAAACTGCCAAGCTTTTAGAAGTTAAGTTTGTAAACATGACCTCATCAGACTTTATTCTCCTATAAACAAACCCTATAAAAAAACCTTTCTACAATAAAGATCTGTATGCATCTCATATATACAGGATATAATAGAAGATGGGGAGAGTCCTCAAGTGAATGCTGTGTTAAACAGTGAAAACTATAGATCAATAAAAGTAAGTCTATTTTGCTCTTTTCTTCTTTTGCACATAGAATTGATCTTCTAGCTTGCCCCCCTAATGTGTTGCCTTCCTTTCCATTCAATGTGCACAATCGCTTGGTTTCAGACATGAAGGGAAATCTTATTATTTCAGTCAATGGATCAAATGAGAAAATGACTGCTTAAGTGTACATGTTCTCTCTATTGAAACAAATGAAATAGCTTTTACAGGCAAAGGAGCATCACATGTCTATTAAAGTTCTCAATCCTGTAAGAATTACTAGATGGAAACTATAAGAAAACAAATATTAAATGTTAATTTAGATTTTTTTAAAAATATATATATATATTTCCAGTACAGTATTTCAATGCCACCTTTCAGGGCCAAAGTTATTCTGAGGTGACTGACATACAAAGTTAATATATAAAATATGTTACAATGAATGCTCAAAGTCTGGTGAATTTTGACATTTACACATAAATCCTGGCTTCAAAGAAGAATTTTATGACTGTCCAAATTATATATGTCAACATTTGTACAACTGAGCAACATTTTCTCTCCTTCTCTCACACAGAGGTTAGTTGGATTTGGGGGAAATGGCTATTAAGAAGAAACTGAGTATAATTTCAAGGTTTTTTAAAATATATATTTAAAAAGATTTCAGAACAATTACACCACACTTATTTTTCTCATGTAGAAAATGTAGATTCTCAACAGTTTGTGGGGTGGTAATACAGCTGTGAAAAAAATCACACACACACACACACACACACACACACACACACGTAACAGAATTTCATTCTACAAATAGTTTACTACAACCAGAAACTGCAAGTAGCATTGCATAGCTTGACATCAGAAGAACAAAAGGAGCAAAAAGATAGAAAGGAAGATGTTTGGATCAGAGAAAAAAGAGAAACAAACAAGCACTAGCCAACTCACAAGACATGTTACAGCCTCACCTACTGTTGGGAAAGAACAAAATATGTTCATAGACAGTATACATTGATCAGTAGTTTTTGTTTTTTTGTTTACCTTTTCTGACCAGGAACTCACCTTTAACCCAAACATGCCTTTGGGACCCATTTCTTAATTTTTTAATCATCTATCTATATGATGGTAGCACTGCAACCAAGACTCACTTTATATCAAGCTATCACTTAATAATAGGTCCCAACCCATGGACTGAAGACCAATGATCTGAATCTCTTTGCACGTTGTAACTTCTTCTGCATCTCTTTTCAATGGTAGGTGTACCATTCTTCTGTAAATTCCAGAGCACATCTGCAATCTTTTCTTCAGGTGGACAATACTGAATGTCAACAATTTCTTGTTAATGCCTGCTAAACCTTTTCAGACTCTTGATTGTGCTTGAACACTGATATTGGTTCAGGTCTATCCCGTCTTAAATTTAATCTAAATGGCTTCTTGATGTACTTTTGCACCTGCGACAAATTATTCTTCCATTGAGGGAGGTGCATCAGCTGCATCCTTTCAACTGGTCCAGCTAATAGTTCCTTCCCCATGTTGATGGACTTGAGAGTGGTGGCACCCCCAGCCTAGTCAGCCTCCACATGTCCAATTCTCTTTTAATCTACAGTTGCTGGCAGTTGCAATTTCGTGTGGATTTTTCCCCCTTGGCTACCATATCCCTGTTTTCACTGCATTCCAGTCACTTTGTGCTCTGACTTTTCCTGCACAACATTACTGCAGCTCCAGCTCTATCCCTATAGATGTAACAGCATCAGTAGTGGACAGTGGACTGGGCTGGGCAGGGTTATGTTGCATGTTGCTGCCTGTTACTGAAAGGGTGACAGGAGAGGTTGTTGTGTGGAGCTTGAAGTGATGCCTACTTCAGCCTACTTCTATGGTGGATTTCACTTTGTTTGAGCACCTCACTTGAGCATTCATCCTGATTTGTTCTGCACAAAGCTTGCATGGAGGTTCTGTGATGTCTGCTCTTCATTGAGCAATGGTTCTGATTTGTTTGTGTGGAAATTATATGACTTTCCATCAATCCATTGTTGTTGTCCCACACTTTCTAGCACATTTCCCCATCAGTTTCCTTGCTTTTTTACTTGTACATTGTAGTGCAAGGGTGCCAGAGTACTTGAACCTACTTTAATTGTGCAAACCTAAATTTGCTGGTATGTGATTGAATTCCTCCCACAAAATAGTTACAATCTGGAGTGGACCTTTGTATCTTTTCCAAGCTGAAATGTCCCAGTATGATTGAGATATTTTTGTTTCCAATTAAAGCTCCTGTCCTCCTTTCCTTCCATCTGGATGCTAGAGTGATTTGTGATGTTTCCCAGGTCTTTCATTTCAAAATGTTGATTTGATTTGCATATTATCCTATCGCTTGTATCACTTTTGTTAAAAGCAAATCATTATATCAACAATGAAAAAGCAGCCCACATATGCCCATTTATTCTCTTGTTTTCTGGAGTGCAAGTTTGGATTGGTTTTACCTTGTATGAATCATTCCTTGGTAAGTACTTCATTTATTTTCTCATTCCGTGCTCCAGCAGCCAGTTTAATTCCATAGACACTCTTTTGAGGTTTACACATGAGGTTCTTGTCCTTTAAATGGGGTGGCTGGTCCATGTCTTCCTTTACGGCACCAGGCAAGAAGGCAATATTTATGCCTAGGTCCTTGATTTGCATCCCCCTTCTGGCTGCCACACTTAGGAGTGCTTTTATAGTGATGTGCTTTACAACTCGGATGAATGTTTCATCATATTCTTTGGCCACAAATCTATAAACGGAACACCTCTTCTGCACTGCGTATTATTTTAAATGTCCATTTACATCCTATAGTTTTCCGTCCAGGTAGCAACAGGGTGAGCATCTATGTCTTATCATTGTGAAGGTTTTGGTTCTCTCCTGCTGTTGCCTCTTTCTGCTTCCTGGCCTCATTGTTGGGCAGATTTGAGATTACTTTGCAGGGTGAAATTTCAACATTTTCCCTCTCTTGGCAAAACCTTTGGCTGTTCCAGTTGAATACCAGGCACCCTCGTTTTTCTGCTTCACGAGAGACGTGACAGTGTGCCTGGAATAGTCTTCCATGAAGGTCACCAGGTATTTGCTCCCACTTGGCATGTGAGTCCTCTTGGGTTCACAAATGTCACTGTGGATACTTTCCAAAGAATGAGTAATCTTGCTTTGGATGCTTTTGGGAAGTAGGGTGCTTTCACTTTTATACAGCACATGCCCTACACTCCAGTGGCATGACAACATCCTTGTCTCCTTTGCTGAATTTTGTTTTGTGAACTCCTCTATGGTCCCTGTAGTTCTCTGTCCTAGGCATCTGTGCCACAAGCGGGTGCTGAATGGTATTTCAGCCTGCTTGTTCTTGTAAATGAATTTGTACAGGGGTTTGTTCACAATTGACTTCTGATTTTTGTTCTTCTGGTAATGGCCTCTTACCTGGTCTGGAAGGTAGGCAGTGGTTGCAGCCCAGCACGGCAGCCCCTCACACACCTGATGGTCAAATTGACTTCACCATGGTGGCCTGCCATTGGAACGCCTCCCCGGCTGGCTGCCATCCTGGTGTTTGAATTTGCCCAATCAGGGGCAAGCTGAGGGTGGGGGTGGAGCCTGGGTGGTGGACCTGAGTGGAGAAGTCTTCACTCTGGCCCGCCTCCAGGAGCTAAAGGCTGACTGGCCCCAAGGATGGCACAATGGAAATTTACAAATTTGTGATAAGATGTACAAAATTCATACTAATCTGAACATCAGGTTTTGGGGAGATGTGCAAGTTTCTCCATCCCATTTTACTGAAGGTGCAGAAAGCAGAAGCACAAGTCATCAGGATTAATTTTTACTTGTGAGTAAGTTTAGTTGGCTCCTTTGAGACTAATTTCAAAGGAAATTTCTTTGTCCTGAAGTGTAAGTGCAGGTAAAACTACTCATTAACAGAAAGACAGTTATCAGTGAATCTAACTTGACTCACAGTTTTAAAAGAGACAATATTCTTTAGAGGAAGAAAAGTTTTTAATTTTGTTTCCTTTTACTATCATTGATAGCCCATTTTTTATATAAAAAAGAAAACCATTCTAATCTTTACACAAGAACTAATACAACTTCTTGGAATCCTCCAGATCCCATTAAAACACTGCTAAGCAAACAAAGTACTAAAAATTAATAGATAAGGATCTAAATAATTTCTGAAAAATGAGATTACAAAATACAATTACTCTTCCTCATAAACAGAAAGCTGCCCACAAAGAGTAGGTAATTTCACTCTTTATATCTTAAATGTCGAGTAATATGTATTTTAAATTGTCCAGGATTTCCATCCCCTTCTTTTCTTTATCATAATTGCTTAAAAAAATAGTCTCATTAGAAAGACAAGATAAAATTAGCATGGACCATGTTTCAAAGGCTGGACTCACTAGGAAGAGAATTATAATGGGACTTTACAGACAGGTCTCAAGACGAAAGAATGACTGTGAAGCATTGAGGAAACACCACATTGATAAAATAGATATAAAAGTGCATTGTTCATGTAGGATTCATATCTGGACATGTTTGCTGTACTTCACTTTTCCTATAAAAATATTACTATAGCAATTGTCAATTAGTCAAACGCATTATTTGGAATAATCCACCAGGACTTTTCTCCTGTAAAAGCTTCAGTGAATGGAAGGAATAAGACTCAGACAAGTGTATGGATGTGCTTTTGAATAAGTCCTGTTAATTCCTGTAAGACCTGTGCAGGAGAAGCTCCCAGTGGGTGGTGCCTATTTCTGGCTAGCTAGCTATATGATGTTTCTTGAATATCTAATAGAATCATAGAGTTGGTAAAACTTTTGAGGCTAACTAGTTCCACCCCTCCATTCAGTGCAAGACTTGAAGTTCTCGTACATAAGTTTAGTGAGTTTTGTTTATTTAATTTATGAGTAACAGTAATAAGAATAAGAATAATAAGAATAATTTATACCCCGCCCATCTGGCTGGGTTTCAACAGCCACTATGGGCGGCTTCCAACAAAATATTAAAATACAACAATTCATCAAATATCAAAAGCTTCTCTAAACTGGGCTGCCCTCAAATGTCTTCTAAAAGTCAGATAGTTGTTTATTTCCTTGACATCTGATGGGAGGGCATTCCACAGGGCAGGTGCCACTACTGAGAAGGCTCTCTGTCTGGTTCCCTGTAGCTTCGCTTCTCACAGTGAGGAAACCACCAGAAGGCCCTCGGTGCTGGACCTCAGTGTCCAGACAGAACAATGGGGGTGGAGACGCTCCTTCAGGTATACTGGGCCAAGGCCACTTGCATATCTTGATGATACTGTCTAAACACCAAACCCTTCCCAATGTTCTGTCTGAGCAAACATTGTAGCTTGCCAGATAGGACAATACCCCCTTTTCCTCTTCCCCCCATGTGCTGTTCTGTGGGCTTTGCCAACACGCTCGAGCCAATGTCAAAGTGCAGGAGAGGGGGCACATGGGAGAGGAGAGGGAGGAAATTGCCTTGGCAGGGCTTCCATTGGCGAGGTGTATTAGGAGAATCCTGTCCCAAGAGTGGCAGAAAGGATTGACACTGGAAAATCTGAAGATCTGCGTACAACAGCATTAAGAGTCTTTGTCATCTCCATAATTCATGCAATCCTACCAGACATGAACTCTGTGGTCATCATTTGCAATGGAGTTGGGGCAATGGGATTGAGACTCTTTCCTTTGTGCTGAAATGCCAAAGAGGGAAACATGGAAGCATTGTTGTCCACAGCTATCCCAAAGCTCCACAGCTCATTAAACTGAGCATCATTCCATTCTATCTAGCTCTTCACTTCTGTTTTTGGAGTGGGACTGAAGACATCTGAGAAGTGGTACAGGATGGGTTTCCGGACACTGGAAGAAGTAAAATGCGACAAGAACTTAAAACTGACAAGAATGCAAAGAGCAGGTAATGTCCTGTTACCATGGAATCTAGGTTAAGAATAGCTATTACTGATGAGTGTAAAAATATGATCTATTTTCTCCACATATGTCTTACATATTTATTGGCTATTCACAGAATATGTAATAAAGCTGAATATTTTTTTACCAGAACATGCTTGTTTTGAAGATCTCTATTTCCCATGATAAATTACAAGGTCAATCATCCTAGGTAATATAAAGAAAACTCTCCTGATTGGTTTTAGGTTGGAAAATGAGATGTTTCATATTTTATCTCAATAAACATTATCTTGATAGAAAGCATTCTCTTGTTAAAATGAAATAAATTAGTATTGCCAACAAATATTGTTCTAAGCCACAAAATAACTGCACAAGAATCACATAAATTGGATTTTATGCTATAAATAAGTCGAATTCTGTTTCTTTGGTAGCTCAGTGCTCAGAGAGAATGTGCCATTTATTTGTTTTATTTGTCTTGATGATAATCTTCTCTTCTTCCCTTCCATCTTACTTAAATGTTCACTTTTTTCTTCAGCAAAAACAAAACCTAACCGTCAGTCCTTCAATGCCAACCATGAGCTAGAAAATAGAGTTCTGGCCTCTGGAATTTTACAATATCTGTCGGTTCAGTTTTCAGGAAGAATTTTAAATGAAACTTCATACTCAAAACTGTTTGACCATCTCAGTGTGTTACCTCTCATTTTGCATAAGATATAAAAAAATGTATACTTTTTACATAATATGTACAACAATATAGACTTATTATTTGAGGCCTTCTGTTTCAGTGGCCCTTTGTCTGGTTTCAAAAAGAAGCCATTTTTGGATTGAGTTTATTCTGTATGAAAACTAATCACTGAATAATTTCAGCCCCTTTCTTCCCCTGTGTGTTCTGCCCCCCAAGGCTCTCTGCTCTCAAATGTTGCAGGCAGCTCTGTGGTCTAAACCAATGAGCCTCTTGGGCTTGCCAATCGGAAGGTCAGTGGTTCGAATCTGGATGATGGGGTGAGCTCCTATTGCTCTATCCTAGCTCCTGCCAACCTAGCAGTTCAAAAGCACGCCAGTGCAAGTAGATAAATAGGTACCGCTGTGGCAGGAAGGTAAACTGCATTTCCATGCAGTCTGGTTTCTGTCATGGTGTTCCATTGCACCAGAAGCAGTTTAGTCATGCTGGGCACATGACCTGGAAAGCTGTCTATGGACAAATGCCGGCCTGAAAGTGAGATGAGCATTGCAACCCCATAGTCGCCTTTGACTGGACTTAACCATTTAGGGGTCCTTTACCTTTTACCTTTACATAAACTCTGTAGTCCTGCTTTGTGTTTTCAGTGTTGCAAGACTCCTAGAGCATGATCTGAACCATGGATCTCATGAGAGTGCCAAGTGCAAGTTCCTTAACCAGAGCTAGCCATCCATTTTCTTTCAGATTCTTATTCCTGTGCTGCCCCCATCCCACTGGCAGTACAATAGGTATAGATAGCCACATTTCCCCCTTAACTGGAAAAATCTCATTCTTCAAGACTTCACTTTTCTGTTTTGAAAACAAGGATGGTCTTATTGCAGTCGACATCATTACCTATATTTTTACATCCTCTTTTTGTGTGGATGGGAGGAAACCTCATGGAGCAGGTTGCATCATCATCATCATCATCATCATCATCATCATTTATTATTTATACCCCGCCCACCTGGCTGAGTTTCCGCAACAGTATAAAGTAGCCAATCAAAAATAATCAGATAGAACTCTGGAAAAGGACAAAACCTGAATAAAACCAGGCATCACTCTTAACAATGCAGTCCTATGCATGCTTGCATACCAAAGCAAGCATCATTGAATCCATTGTACAGTGGTACCTCAGGTTAAGTACTTAATTCGTTCCGGAGGTCTGTTCTTAAACTGAAACTGTTCTTAACCTGAAGCACCACTTTAGCTAATGGGGCCTCCTGCTGCTGCCGCGCCGCCGGAGCCTGATTTCTGTTCTTATCCTGAAGCAAAGTTCTTAACCTGAAGCACTATTTCTGGGTTAGCGGAGTCTGTAACCTGAAGCGTCTGTAATCTGAAGCGTATGTAACCCAAGGTACCACTGTATCGGGAAACAAAATAACACACTGCCACCCAAAGAATAGCAACGTCAGTGCTAAACAAGTCTTTTTTTGTGAAACTTTCCAACGACAAAGATCACTAGAGAAATCTCTACCCACCCATTCATTATAGGAAGCAGGGACTTGTAGAAAGGCTGCATGGCAGATCTTAACATCACGGCAGGTTTGTGTATTTGGATCTGAACCGCCTTAATGGGGAAACCTTCTGGGATAGGCAGATTAAAATATTGTAAAATGGTTGACCCTGTGGAGCTTGTGCATCTTCCAGTGATGTTTAATGGAGCTTTTATTTTGAAACAGAGGACACGCAGAATTGTCACATAAGAAAATAGTCTCCTTTAAAATAAAACAAAATCTTGGATATTTCCTTTCCCCTGCATTCTATTTAAAAATATATATTTTTTCCTGGTAAAATGTCTGCATTTAGTTGAAAAATGCCACTCATTTAGCATAGGATCAAAAGCTCACTGACTCCTGTCGCTTAGGGGAATTTTCTTGCAATGATATCACTACTTTGCAGGAAATTTGACACACATATTTACATTCATGGAATATTAGCCAGCTTTTGGTTAGAAAACAACAATGGTGAATGAACTGTTAGCGAAAGTTATTTATTGACCTTGGTACATTTCCATAATATATTATGATCATTATTCCAAGCCTACGAGGTAGCTAATTTTTAGCTTAGATGGCAAGCAAAGACTGACAGTGAGTTGAGCAACATCCAATTAGTCCCTGCTTCATCTGGGACTTGAACTTAGGCCTCCTAGATTTTCAAGCTTAATATGTTGTCCACTAGACTATGCTCATTATACCAAACTTAAATTGCTTTTCAGGATTCCTGCACTATGAAGACCTTGTTAGCTGTGTATCTAAGGCAGAGGCAGATGCAGCAAGCCTAATTGTTAAGGAATCTGTGCAGAGATTTTCCCCCAGTGCTTTGGTAACTTTGACTGGTGGTTTCAGAAGGTATGTATAATGAACCATGAGCCCTTTGGCCACCTTTGATTTGTGGGACATCATGTCCCAAAGGGTGACGTGGGGGGTAAAGCTCTCTTGGGACCAATCTCACATACTGTCCATCCTCCGAGGCCTCAATAAAGCTGCCCCCCACCAGTCATCCTTCCCCCGCTCCAAAAACCAGGTCATTAAAAGCTTCCATTGTCCAGGTATCTACTGCCCATAGGGTGTTGCATTTGCGTTTTGGGGACCCATCACCACCCCGATTCCAACTGCCTCCTGATAAGAATTCTCATCCTCTGTGCGCATCTAGCTACAACACTGGGGGGATGGGGAGGGGAAGACTCAGAGGAGGGATGGGGAGAAGGACTCTGCAAAAGTGCATTTGAGTTTTTGCATGTGTTCACTTAGAAAGCTCACATAGATTCAACCAACCCTTTCGTGGCAAGCGGCGGGAAGCTATCACGTCTATTTTGGCCCTCAATCTAAATACCTAGCAGTGTATAGAAGCAACACGTACACCTGTCTCAGAGGCAGGACAGATTGAGGGCAACACTCTCGAAGCAGCTCTGAAGGCTGGAGTGACCTCTCTGAGACAGATATGTCTATTGCTGCAATGTTATATTTTATTCAGACATGTGCGTGATTCCTAGGATTGCTTCTCTGTTATTTAAATGATTTCTCCCCTATATTGCTTTTTTTGACAAGGGAATACAGACACTACTTAGTAGCCTGATAATCCCCAAAGTATTAATCTTCAGGAAAATTGATCTGAAGCCCAAGACAGTTTGTTAATGGGTGGATCATTGTTTCCTAGTTGTATTAGAAAGAGGGGCGTGTTTTCTGTAAATCTGCTGTCTTATCAGCACAGTGAAGACGTGATTGCTGTTTGTTTTTCTGTTTTGTACCTTTTGAAGTACATTTATATGAAAGTGAAGCATATATTACTCATCCAACTTTCTTCCCCAAGGTTCTTACACATGCCACATCAACAAAACATGACAGCAGAAGCTAAGATAGTTCTCTGCAATCTGTTCAGCCCATGTGTTGCATTTTTATATCTTGAGGTTTAACTGTATATCTCTGCTTTGCAAAGAGCTGAGTTTTAGCTAAGTGTTTGTCAGAGTTGGAAATTAATGTTTTGCCAGTTGTTCCATGGTGGTACTGACCTGTCATCTTGTTTGTGGTGAAGAAATCCAGCAATAATTTCAGCACTGATTTTAACATTCAACCACTTTCCATGCTATACTATTCCAAAAGTGTCATGTTAATTGTCCCTAAGTAGCGCTGAAGTATGGTTCCTTCTCTTGCCAACATTTCCTTCACATGAAAGGTCACTCCAGAGAGGCAGAGACTTCAGGTGATAAGATAAAACATGGCTAGTTCTTCAACCAGAGGTCACTGCCTTTTAAAAAAGGAGGGAAATGGGTTATTGACAGTAATCTGACACTTTTTTTTTTTTACATCTTTTCACATGAGTCAGCTATCAGGCCACACTGCTCAGTTCAGAAGCCACAAAACTTTTCAGCAGAGGCAATTTCTAACCAAACCAATCATTTCTACTTTCTTAAATGCCTACATACAAAACAAGCTGGTTTTTCACTGACCTGAAGTGAAATGCAGCTTATGTCAGCCACAGGTTAGCTCTTATTCATAACAAATAAAATATGGCAAGCAGATATGAAACACAAATCTATGGACAGTAAATAACACCAAAATAGATTTACATTGAAATATAATGCCTTAATTGGTTTGTGCATTGCAGCCTGAGTCAAGTACAGAAAGCAAGCAGGTTCAAAGTAAATCTGAATCTAGAAAGCTATGTGAATAATGCACCACTTCACAATTCTCAGGTGAAGTATTAATCTTTCAGCTGAAGTCATTGGAACTTACTCCCCAGAATGCATGCTTACGATTTCAGACTTGGGCCATAATTCTGAAATCACTTATCTAGAAGTAATCACTACTGAAGTCAGTGGACTTTACTTCTGAGTAAAGGTAAAGGTAAAGGGACCCCTGACCATTAGGTCCAGTCGTGGCCGACTCTGGGGTTGCGGCGCTCATCTCGCTTTATCGGCCAAGGGAGCCAGCATACAGCGTCCGGGTCATGTGGCCAGCATGACTAAGCCGCTTCTAGCAAACCAGAGCAGCGCACGGAAATGCCGTTTACCTTCCCGCTGGAGTGGTACCTATTTATCTACTTGTGCTTTGACATGCTTTTGAACTGCTAGGTGGGCTGGAGCAGGGACCGAGCAACGGTAGCTCACCCTGTCGTGGGGATTCGAACCGCGACCTTCCGATCAGCAAGCCCTGGGCCCTGTGGTTTAGACCACAGAGCCACCCGCGTCCCTCTTACTTCTGAGTAGACGTGGACAAATATGTCATTGTTGTTTCTTATTTTTCCAGTCCACATTTCCATACCGGCTTGTGATTTAAAAAAAAACACCGTCATGAATATTCATTAGTATTTCAGTGTGAATCTCTCCTAACGTACATATGTTTCATGGCATTTTGCCTAATAATACCCTTTTTTTCCAAAGCAGTTTCCCTTATTACAATGTATTTGTGTATATGAATTTCACTAACATATGCATTTTTGTGCAATCTTTGCCCTAGTATATGCACTTTTGTACACATTATTTGACTGGAGAACTGCATTGCAAAATCAGCGGGAGCACAAATTTTGAAGGCTGACTGTGCTTTGCTTTGCTTATTGTTTCAAAAAGTACGAATTAGGCTGGTTTGCCTTTCAATGCAAACTGAATCTAATCTCCCCCTGCCCTACTTATGAGTAAATGTGGTTGGGATTAGCCTACATGAAAGTTGTACTTTTACTTGTGCATGTGTAGTGGAAATAAAAACCCAGCTGAATTTCAAATGTTCTTTCCCCCCCTCTTGTGATTTGCAACTTTTAGCTTGTGTGTGTCTGGTGTACCAGGCTGGGAGATGATAAAAATGCCTTTCAGCAATCACACTTGTATCTGGGTGATTTTTGAAAAACAAATGGCAAAGCAGAAAGTCTTGTGTAAATTTAGAACAGCTGTGATAAAAGACTAAATATATCTCCTGTTTTTCCACCCACACCGTCAATGGGAATGCATTTTATTGTTTATTTATTAAGGCTGTTGAACAAAGCAGATCAGTGGACACATTTTGTTAAGAATCAGCACATGATTTTATGAGTTATCAATGTGGACTGCCACATATTATGTACTGCTGCTGTAGAATAATAGGTAGGTACCACCTTATCCCAAACAAGAAGTGTAAGACTTTAAACCTGTCACTAAGGAAGCTTTGTTTATTTCTCACTCTTAAAACAATATTAAGGCATCCCTTCTCTTTCAAGGCTAATTTGGAACAAAGGCAAAGCCTAGGACTTTCTCAACTTGGTGCTCTCCTGGTGTTTTGAACTCCCAATTCCCATCATTCCTGGCTATTGGCGATATGGGCTGATGGGAATTGTAGTCCAAACTATCTGAAGGACTCTGGGTTGGGAAAGGCTGCTTTAGAGATTAAAGGAGTACCGCCTGCCATATATCACTCAGCCAAAATAGTATAGATCTAAAGTAAATCGTTGGCTGAAAACCATCTCAGTCAGGGAGGTAAGTCTGCATGGGACTTGGATGTTAACACAGTAAACGATGTTGCCACTTTGTACCTAGCTGTGATTTCTCTACGCCTTTTCCTTTGTCTGAAACATTAGCTGTAATAAAGGAAAAGAGAATTTGCACTGAGATGCTCAAGTGCAAATGGCAGTAATTTTTGTAGATTTCTTCACTGTGCAGTTCTGGGGATGACAGCTGTTATTTCCTGGTTTTTTTGGTGGGAACAAATCTACTTTAAGGGAGCATTGTGGTAATTTTGCTGCATGGATGCTTGAGACAATCAGTTGGTTTGTACATTCTCTAACTTAAACAAATCCTAGTGGGATTTGGCTGTTCTGTGAAGGACAGAGGCTAAGAAGAGCCTTTGGACATGTTCCATGCCCTCAGTTCTGCCTCTGGTAGACGACTCCGCTGCACATCAGGGATTCCCCCCAGGGACCATACCAATCCATTCCGTCATATAACCCACCGAAAATACATTCAGACTCAGTCTAGAGAGTTCTTTGCAGATGCATTTAATAGAACTTGCTGATCTGGTGCGTCTTCAAAAATTTACTACGAGAGAATTGAGTGACATGTTATGCAGTGAGCTATATGAGCAGCATCAGACAAACTCTGAATGATGAGACAAGCTCAAAAGAGACATGTGCACAAGACAAGGGCATGTGCTAATTTGGTGCTTCCAGACCACCTAAATCACATGCGCTCTGTGTTCTTGAGCCGCTGCCTGTTTGAGAGTTGACATCATTGACCTAGTGCAAACAGCGCGATGCACGTTACCTATGCTGCCTTTGTGGTGTTGCCTGCATAGGTAAAGGTAAAGGGACCCCTGACCATTAGGTCCAGTCGTGGCCGACTCTGGGGTTGTGGTGCTCATCTCGCTTTACTGGCCAAGGGAGCCGGTGTACAGCTTCCGGGTCATGTGGCCAGCATGACTAAGCCGCTTCTGACGAAGCAGAGCAGTGCACGGAAATGCCGTTTACCTTCCCGCTGAAGTGGTACCTATTTATCTACTTGCATTTTGACGTCCTTTCGAACTGCTAGGTTGGCAGGAGCAGGGACCGAGCAACGGGAGCTCACCCCGTCGCGGGGATTCGAACCGCCGACCTTCTGATTGGCAAAGTCCTAGGTTCTGTCTCTTTTGAGCTTGTCTCATCATTCATTCTTGAGCCGCTGCCTGTTTGAGAGTTGACATTATTGACCTAGTGCAAACACCGCGATGCACCAAAATGCAGTATTTGTGTGTGTTTATCTAAGGAAAAAGAAAACCCTATCCTAGCACCATTGTCCACGCCAGATGTTGGGAGACCCTTAAGCAAGATATCCTCAGTGAGGTTCCCTCCATGAATGGGTGCATCTATTTCCTACGGTCACTACCTGCCCTCTCTCTCCTGGCCCAGAAGGAGAAATACTTCTCCTTCTTGCTCCTATTACTGCTCAAATACTTAGAGACGACAGGTGAACAGGCAGCAACAGATGGAGTGTTGGCCTCAGGTACTGCTCAGCAATGCTGAACCCTAATGTAGGTCCACACAGCTGCTCATCACTCAGGAACTGCCTTGTTAATTATTGCTAAAAGAATGATAACTTCTGGAAGAAAAATGTGTGTTGAAAGTGTATACATTTAATCCTGGAAGCATGCATTGAAGTTTTCACTCGGCTACTTCCACTTTGCATTTGACACATTACACAATTAACCATGTAAATGGTTGTTGTGATTTGTTTATTGTGGGTTCAGTCTAGAACAGCTGTGTGATACGTGTGATCCTCCAGGGAGAGAGAGACTCTGTGTACTGACCGGCACTTTCATTGAAAACATCCAAGGGCTTATCTGCTCTTCCTCTTGTCCCACTGCTTTCCCCTGTAGAAAGCAGCTCTTTGGTGCTCATTTGGAGCAAACAGCAATCAGATTTTCAGCAAATTACCGGGCTAAAGAGTCTGTTTTCCCTGGGACAGGAGCAGGGCAAAGGAAAAACTCCTTGGACCTTTGCTTTCTAGGCACAGGACAAGCAGAAATTTGGATGAACCCTAAGTAAACTTCCTAGAACTGAGCTTTCCGGGAGGGGGCTGATCCTGGCACCTCTCTTGTAAGAGAGGTGCATTGCACCCTGCCCTACAGCTCCTTCTTTCTTGTCCTTCAGTGGTAGAGAGAAGGAAGTTAAGCTGTGATTCTGCTGGGAACCAGCCAGGATCAGAGTTAAGCACCGTCTTCTAAGGGAAGAGAGAAGAAAGCTGAGCTCCTTTCATTCTGAAAACCCTCTAAATCTGGGATGGGGAATGGACTTCAGCTTCTATTATCCATGGCCATTGGCCAAGCTGGCTAGGGAGCAACATCTGGAGGACTCCAGTTTCTCCATCCTTGTTCTTGGGTCAGATCTTGGCTTCCATTTCCCACAGGAGAGCGATGAAGAACAGGGAACTGAGATTAACCATGCTTTTGCAACCTCTAGTACATCTAGGATTTTCTGTTAGGTATTTAAGTGCATTCAAAATTTATCAGAATCTTATAAACCACTTTGTTTATTGTTGACTAGAACCCAAAGCAGTTTTCATAAAAGTGCACATCAATAATAACAAAATCAATAAAATACCATGAAAATATAATATTAATAAATGACACTAAAAGGTGACACTTTCATCTTCAGGCAGTTAGTACAGGATTCAGTGACTGTCATACTGGAAGCTTATTCCATTTCATACTGGAGAAGTTGCAGTCCCTTGCATGCTAACATAATTCACTGGCATTCTTTAATGCTCTTTGTCACAAGCAAGCTGATAGATGTTTATTACTGCCCAGACGTCTTCAAAAGCTCTACAAGGGACTGGCTGCCGATTAATGTGACCCTTACAAGTGAGACACACACTTGTTGGCAATTATCTTCAATGCATAACTGCCCATCTCTGTGGTCTCCTGTGGCGTCTCAAAGAGTGTTGGTGATGATATGCAAACAAGGATGGCAAAGCAATAACAGGAAATGGAGTGGAGTGAATGAAATGGGTCTAAAAAAAGAAAAGAGAGCTCTCCTTGTGAGTAGTTCATGTGAATGCATTCATCTGCATACCGCATAAGAGCAAGCTGTCAAATACCCACAGGAGCCAATGAAGTTATCACCTTTGATTCTTTCTATAATTTTTCTTTTAAGGTCACGCATCATCATTTTTCCTACATGAGGGCCATCCACTTGACAACTCCGGGCTTCTAAATTATACGGACATATTTTTAGAAAGCCTGCCATTGCATAAAACCAAAATGTTAATGGCATTGCTAAGTCAAATTAAATTTTAATGGCCCTGGTTTAATTTTTCTTTTAGCCCGTTCACATCCTTTAAATAGCATTTAATGTGATTCAGTCGACTTTAATACCGGCAGCTGACCTGAATAGCCTTTTCAATTAGCCTTTTTAGGTGAAGCAAATCTGATACGTTTTAAATAAATAAAGATAGTTTTTATTATTGGTTAAATGCCAATATTCATGGCTCATTTAATCCATTTATTAAGAAGCAATGTCAAAAGAATAGCACTTCTTGTGGAGATCCCTGTTTTAGTGAATGAACTCCTGGTAGGGGGGGAAAGGGATCTCTATGTGTCTGTTGAGTATGCAAAGGAAATAGCCTGTTAAATGTTATTAAAAGAAAATGATTTGCTCAATTAAAATCACTTGACGAACGTGAATGGGAAACAACAAGTTAACAATGCAAAGAGCTGTGATTAGCTTTTCTTTCTTTTTATACCTTGCGTATAGTGCAATCTCAAAACAAAGTTAGAACTTCGCCTGTGGTCTCTATAGCCAACTATTCTGTGTTCATGTAATACGATTTAATAGAATATCTTCACAGCCAATTCAAGCGCTTTAAAGACACATAGGCTTATAAATAATGGCATTATGGTGATACTTTGAGAGAGCAACTGCAACCCTTTGGTGTGTTCAGCACCATCTTTGATTTGTTCACAATAATGTTGTTTCAGCTTTATTTTAATTTCTCTGTGACAGGCTCTCAAAACCATCTGTACAAAGTGGAGACTCCTACTGAGATAAAACCTTCACTGTACTTAGAAGTAGGGATAGTGAGAGAAATATAAGCCTGAATATCAAGCAGGGAAATCAACAACCCTAATTCTGACATGATGGAGTTCTCTCTCTTTGCCTGTGTAAGCATGTCGAAAGGACTATGACTTCGCTGCACTGAAGTCTGACATAATGCCATTTTTGTGTAACTATTGCTATTGTTGTTTGACTAGCTGCAGTAGTCGCATATAAAAACAATTTTTTATAATTCTTATGAATTTCTGGACCTACCAAACCAAGTAAAAGAGCTTTTGGGGTTTTTTTTGGAAATGTATATTTCAACATTTTTAAAATTTCATTGTAAATCACGAAAAGTCTTTTACTTTTTTACATTCCCACCACATATTGCCCTCCTTTTCTTTACATTTCCGACATTTATTATTTGTTTTGTAAATCTTGGCTAGTTTTACTGGTGTTTTACATATATACCATCTGCACATCATTTTCATTATATTTTCTTTTCATGCACTGCAAGCAGTGAAATTTATTCCCTCTTCTTTCATGCTGCCTTTGATCCCGGAGGCAGTACAGAGCCTGATGGTCTTGCCTGCCATGATTTTGTCTGATCCTCCTTTTAAAGCAGCCCAAGTTGGTGGAGCAAATGGAGATGGTGGAGAGTAGAGCTGAAATCAATGGATTAAAGTTACAAGAAATGGGCTTTGTATTGAACATTTAGGATGAACTTTCTGATGCTGGCACAAACAGTTTGACAGTGGGGGGAAAACCTCCACCAGAATGTGGTGGTCTTTTTCTTCATGAGAGGTTTCTAAGTAGAGGTAGAATGCAACCTATCAGGGATGCTACAGCAGAGGTGACAGAAGTTGTGCATTTGTGCATTGACAGAAGTTCAGATTAGATACCCTTTGAGGAACTCTGATTGTATCTGGGATATTTTGGCTCAGCCATAGGAAGAACCCAGGCAGTATTCATGGGCAGCTTCTTATCAACCATGTTTGCCTACACTTTTGTATTGCAATGGAAAAGAAAGTATTCAGCAGGCAACAAGCAACATATCAGCCATGCTCATTTGCTTTGAGACATTTATCTTCTCAGATGTTACACTCTGCTGTTACTTAAACTCACTTGCCCCCAGGCACTATTAGAATGTGTGGTGCACTAAAGGTGGTTTGGTGGTTCTGCAGCTAAAGTATATGTCAATCGTACTAAAACTGAATTATTGAGATGAATTTAAGTGCTAGAATTTCTGTTTCAAATACTGAGTGTCTGCTGATCATGTGTTCCGATAATTTATGATGAGTGACTGCCAAGGCAGATGTGAAAATATCTGAATTACATAAAAATGTTGTTCTTATTTAAAGAGAGACTGCACAAGCAATTGTTGCCTGACATTAAAATGGAAGGGGATCATTCTGAAGAATGTACCACTTTCAAATCTGTGGGAGGAATGTCAAGATGTTCTATACAAACCAACCTCAGCCAAGATCAATGATGGGATTAGCAGTATTTTGCAACAGAATTGTTATCAAATGGTTTTCTAGTAATCTGAAGAGGGCAGTGGTCTTCTGTTCATTTCTCCTTTTACATGCTTGTAGCCTCAGCAGAGTTATTTTGTCTAAGAATGAGACAGTGAGAAATTCTGCAAGTTTTTCAAGAAGGAAAGTGGAGATCCAGAGCTTTTGATTTTTCAGGGCATGCACTTTATTATTTATAGGATCAAATCAAAGACTAAAGATTATTGAGGTTTTAAGCGATAGGCTTACTGTATCTCACACATCTCTTGGATGGAGGGCGTTAGTCCATACAGTGACCAAAGCTCTTCCAGGAGTTCCCATTAAAATTTCATTCAATAAGTAATCTTGGCTGAAAAGGTGTCAGAAAAATGTAGGCCTTTAAAAGTACCAAAACGAAGAGTAGTGGTTGTGGGGATTCACCAGGGAGCTTTTTGGGGCTCTGTGCCCCTTGTTTGACTATTATAGGGTGTGAGAGTGCATGCACAATGTTGTGGCAAGGTTTATGCATACAACTAATGTAAATAACGTAACATAATGCTTGTCTGACAGACTGCAAAGACTTTAAAAGCATAGTCGTGCTCTGAACTCAAACAGCAATCCTATATCACCTACCTGGGAATGAGTCCCATTTGATCATGAGTAGGCATTCATACAATTGCATGTTAAAGTGGTTAAGCAGTCATTCCACTCTTTGGGGAAACCATAACAGCTAAACCTGCATAGTCTTAGCTCAGAGGCAGAACTTATGCTTTGCACACAAAAGGGTCTCAGGTTCAATCCCTGCTATGAAAGACCATTGCATGATATCCTGGAGAGCCACCACTATACCAGATGGAGCTGGTAGACAGCTGTCCTGGACACAGAATTGATCTGCACCTCCATGGACAGCTGTGAGTCCAATATGACTCCCAGGCTGCACACCTGATCCTTCAGGGGCACAGTTACCCCATTCAGGACCAGGGAGTCTTCTGCACCTGCCTGCCCCCTGTCCCCCCAAAACGGTACTTCTGTCTTGTAAGGATTCAGCCTCAGTCTGTTAGCCGCTATCCATCTTCCAACCGCTTCCAGACACTCACACAGGACCTTCACCGCCTTCACTGGTTCTGATTTAAAAGAGAGGTAGAGCTGGGTATCATCCACATATTGATGAACACCCAGTCCAAACCCCCTGATGATCTCTTCCAGCTGCTTCATATAGATGTTGAAAAGCATGGGGGAGAGGATGGAACCATGAAGCACCCCACAAGTGAGAGCCCAGGGGTCTGAACACTCATCCCCCAACACCACTTTCTGGACACGGCCAAGGAGGAAGGAGTGGAGCCACTGTATAACAGTGCCCCCAGCTCCCAGCCCCTCTAGACGGTCCAGAAGGATGTTATGGTCAATGGTATCAAAGCCACTGAGCGATCCAGCAGAACTAAGAAACAGCTTTCACCTAAGAGGACAAATGGTCTGATTTGGTACAAGGCAGCTTCCTATGTTCCATAGTTTGATCCTATACAACTGTAAGAACAGACAATACAATGGAAGATTATTGGAATGTTCCAACTGCTAAATGGACACGGTGGGGGGGAATGAAACAGATTTACACATCTTTGGGTTCTAAATTTGGCAACTGATATTCAAGGTCCTCAAATCCAGGATGGGCAAAAGGTAGATAGATAGGTAGATCTCTGCTGAGTGATTTGCAATAGATCAGCAAGGGTTTTGTAGATCAATAGGCTGTCTCCCAGTCAGGTACTGACTACACCCAGACCAGCTTAATTTCTGCAAGGTGACTGCATCATGTGCCCTCTTGATTCCAAATCAATGGGTTGTATGCAATACAGCTCTAGTTTAAATTCACTTAGCAGTATACTTTTTCCACTGGTGAAATGTTTGGTGCTAGTGGTGAGCAAAAGGTTGCTGGTAACTTTGCTGTGCAATGGATTGCACAGTCTGCTGTGCAGCTAGCCCAGGAATTCTTGCACAAGCAGACCCAGAACGTCAGATAAGGCCCAACATAAATAGCTTTTTTATTTTTTTAATGATTCTCCTCCATGGCTGGTCTTGTGCTAATTGCTTCTCTCTCACCATCGGTACCCCTCTCCTGTAAAAATAAGAGTCACAATTGGTTGCCTTTGACCAAGGCTCTGTGCAGCTCTGCTGGTGAGTCATAGCATTTGCACATGTTGGAATATCTGATGTTAATAATTCAGATGTGGTTAATGTGCTTGTATGTGCAGGCCAACCCAGTGTATGGCTCATGTGGTGCCGGAGGTCATTGGCTTCCCCACCCCCCCGAGCCACTATTATGCACTTGGCTGTGGGTGTCAGATACTGGAGTTCTAGTAAAAAATGAAGTAGATCCTGCAAGCTTGTATCCTGCCCATCCCTGCTTCAAATGGCAATCTTTCCTTCCTTCCTTCCCTCCTCCTCCTCCTGCTCTTGTGCTTTTAGGGGCTGCAAAATTTGCCTTATTGGTAATCCTCAGCCGTGTCCTGGTAATGGGATGATGTGCAATTTGGAGAAGCAGAATAGGAAATGCCACCTTTTTTTCGAGCCAATGGCTCCAGAACCCCATCAGCAGTAGCCTTTAGTAGCAAAGTCACCACCCTTAACATTGTTCTTACTCGCTGGGACTGATTAAGAGAGTTAATTGTCAAGAACGGGCAAACTTAATGTTTAAGTTCCCTAATCAAAAGTAGCAGCAAGCTGGCATCTCTTCTTTGTTTCTGATCTATCTACCATTTACACTTTACAAACCCTCTCATCTTTAAATAGCATTGTTTATTCCTTCCCCTGAGCAATGCAAGCAAAAAGCTTGACATGTTCTTGCTATTCTAGGGCTGTTTTGTTCCTCTTTCATCTTATGTATAAATACATTCCTTCTTCAGTGTCAATATTTTATTTCTGTAGGGTTGTGGAGGCTTTGCAAGAAAAATAGTTTCCTTGAGTAGGGAATTTGCTTCCAACAATAGGCCTACTCAGAGTAGACCCACTGAAATTAATTGTCACAACTAACTTAGGTCCATTAATTGCAATGGGTCTGCTCTGAGTATATGGATGCAACTCTATCTTCCCATGTTTTAAATAGTAAATAGGTATCATAGCCTCAATGGTCAGATTGCTCATTTTTGCTCAGATTTGCCCATAATCACAGCTGGCCTGCCATTAGGCAGAATGAAGTACAGTAGCTACCTCAGGCAGTGGGGCATGGAGAAGTGGAGAGGTGTTAGAGGCTGAGCTGGTGCAAGACACTCTGACACCTGATGCCACCTCTGTCTCCTGGCTGCCCTTGAACACTGTCATCCTCCTTTTTGTCAGGGCCGGCCTTATCGTTAGGCAGAATGAGGCAGCTGCTTCAGGCAGCAGAGGACTTGGGAGACAAGGTGGGATTGAGAGTGGCTGCCTTCAGATGCAATACAGAGCACTGTTAGATCATCAGTGCCGAAGTAAGATTCATCTGCCAGTCCATTTAGTTTCTGAATGTGGAAAGGAAGAGGTGTCACTGTGTCCTTTGCCTCAGGTAACAAAATGTCCTGACCCGGCCCTGTTCATTGCTTTTGTCACTGCAGCAGCACTGAGCGTGCTGAGGCTCTCCAGAGCTTCACATCGAACAGTATCTTGCTGTAGTGATACACCAGATGCTGAAGGATTATTTAAAGCTTAATAGTAGTAAACTATTTACTACTTGAAGCCGTATTTACCATGTTAGAGTGAAGGAGGCACTCTGCTGAGCCACCTCACATATACAGTCATACCTTGATTCTCAAATGCCTTGATACTTGTACATTTTGGATCCCGAACGCCAAAAACTCAGAAGTAAGTGCTCTGGTTTTCGAACATTCTTTGGACCCTGAACATCCAACATGGTTTCCACGGCTTCCGATTGAGTGCAGGAAGCTCCTGCAGCCAATCGAAAGCTGCGCCTTAGTTTTCGAATGTTTTCGGAAGTCAAACAGACTTCTGGAATGGATTACATTCAAGAACCAAGGCACGACTGTAATAGCAAGGAGTGGGTGACCCAGCACCACTAAAAAAACTATGTAAGAGTCCCACTGATCACTTTGATGAAATGGCAGCAGCGTTCCTAGTGCTAAACTGTGGTGGCTGGCTGGCCAGGCAAATCCACTGGTTTTCCCAGTCTGCCACCTGAGCAAAGATCTCTGTTTGATTAACAGGTGGGCCAGCCCTGCTTGGAAAACAGAGCTGCATTCCTGAGCAGGCCTGTTGCCCTTAGGTATGGTTGCGTGAATGCTTTCGTAGTGGCAGTGAAATAAGATACAACTGGCTGTCCTGTCAGTTTCTGTATATGGAAAGGGACAGATTCAATTTTTTCCATTGCTTCCATTGCATTGGAAAATACTTAGCCTGGCCTGGGTCCAACCTTCCACATTCAGAATACAACAGAAACCCTGAATTTTAGTAATGTGTACATGCATTCTGTACAGACACTGTTCTAACTCCCTGGTAATACTTTAAAGAAGGATACGTTCGCGTAAGTTTTGGACATTGCAAATAAGCAGTGCCAGCTTTCTACATGATGAATTCTGCATTCATCTTCAGATATCGCCTGGACAGCTTTGTGATACAAGACCTTTTGGGGATATTACAAAACAAGCAGGACCAGATGAGTGTGGAAGAAGGCTGTTTGCAATATTTGAAACAACTGTACAAAGAGAATAAGGGGGAAGAGAGAATAAGTCTCAAAGAAGTCTTAGCAATGTTTCAGTGAAACCAATTTGCTGGTAGATCCATATGGATGAATTTAATTGTGACCTCCGAGAGCAACAGCAATTTAAAGGAAATGATTCACACAAATCAAATTAGCATGGTGCGGAAGCCACAACAATTACATTCCGTACAAAAATTCACCGGGAGTTCGTTTATCATCCAATGTATGAGACCTAATTCCCAAGTCCCTCCAAAATGTTATGTTATTTATTTATTTAACAACCTTCCTATGCTGCTTAAAACCTCTAAGCTGTTTACAAAAGATATAAAATGTATATTAAAATTGTCAATAAAAATCAACTTTAAAAGCAAAACGAAGAAAATCCACAGTTAAAAGTATACACCGTAAGCTAAAGTTATAGAATAAAACACACATCAGCTTTACCTGTCTGGGAAGGCTTGCCTAAACTGAAATGTTTTTAGCAGGCACTGAAAAGAATACAGCGAGGGCGTCTGGCTGATATCAATGGGCAGGGTGTTCCACAGTGTAGGAGCTGCCTGCCACACTAAAAGATTGATTCCTTACAACTGTGGAATGAACATTTGTGACAGTTCCACAGATTGCAGTGTTTGAGTGGGTCTATATGGGATGAGGTCATCTTTTGATTAATAAGACAGATGTCAAAAAGTTAAGAAGAAGAGCCTTTTGCACCGGGCCATCCAACAATGAGGGGGGCGGGGTCAGAACATTAAACCCCAAGATTGTCTCTCATTGCTCGTTTCATAGCTTCAGCAAGCTTGGGTCTATAGCAGCAGCCAACCACGGTCCCTGGTCTCTCGGTCCCTGGTCTCTGCCAGCCAAAGCGCATTGAGTTCTGCTCACTTCCTGTTCATCCTTCCAAGAAACCCCTGCCCCCCAAACCTCACCTCTTTTCCCCCTGTTGTGACATCATGACCGCTGTTACCCCGGCAACCTCCCCCTTGCAATAGTATTTCCTTCTGCTAACAGTGAGAGAAGAACTTCACCCTCTCCTTGTCTGCTGCTGAATGTTTTGCATTTCGTTAGGGAAATAAATATTCCCACGTTCTTTGATAGCACCCATCTAACCCAATCTCCTGAGGAAGATGGCTTGACTTCAAGCCCCACATTTACTAATTTCAGAGATTATGGGGAAGAACTTGGCACTCAGGAATTTTAGGGGATCCTTGCTCCCTGCAAACCCACAACGCTACTTAGATTGAATCATGAAGTCATTTAAAAGAATCTCTTAAAAAGTAAGATCACCTTCACTGTACCAAAAATGGTGGCCCATTTCTGGAAGTAAAGAGGGAAAAAAACCCATGATGGAGCATATCAAATTTCAGGCACCTATTTATTTTTTGGGGAAAAAAAGAAAGAAAGAATAGGAGTGAAGGAAACAACCCAAAGTTTAGACAACTTAACTTTCCAAAACGAGTCCCTTTCATGTCTCATTGACTTCACCAGCTGTGTAAACAGCTGTGCACTCATTACTGCCATCCCTGCACCAATTCATAGCGAAAAGGAACACGATTCCCATTTTATGTTAAAGGACTGTCCAACCGGTGTGATTTTCTTCATTTGGCTGAATTTAAGTAATCTGTTTTTCACTTCAGAGCACTTTAATAGAAAAGCTGTCATGTTTACATAACTTCTACTACAATTGCGCTGGAAGCCAATAGCAACCATTTTGCTTATGGTTGGCTGATTCTGATGGGGCTGGTCCACTTCAGATGAATGCGAGAGCGAGATTTGTATTTTGGATACCAGCATAGATGTCTAAATATATTCTATATATTCTGCTGGGTTTCCATTTCCATTCAAAAGAGGTGGCAGGACATGAACGCAGATAGATCTTCTCTGTTCATTAAAAGGAATAGGAAAGCCCAGTTACACAGGAGCGCCCCGTTGCCTCAGATCCATCAGAGCATGAACAGGACGATGGATTGACAGCATTATCTTTTGAAGGATTAAAAACAACACTGCTATGTTTGTTGACATGCTAAAATAGACGTGCATTTAAAAAGAGCATATTAGAAGTTTCAGCGGTAAGTGAGACAATGAAATAAATCATTTCAAAACCTTCAAAGCAGACAGAGGGGGTTTGAGTTGAAAGCACACTTCCCCCAGCACATCAGACTGCATTAACCCAGCAAACATTGCTGCCATTAAGTAATTTGTTACTTTTATTAGAGCTTCGATAAATAAAAATGTCTTCCTCCTCCTTCCTACGCAATAGAGTATCATTGCTCAAACTTATTTGTGTGTGTGAGAAAGAGAGATTCTGAGTAAGGAGAATAGAAATATAATTCCAAAGCAAACAACTCTCTTTTGGATAATAAAAATGGGAACTAGTAAATTGAAATTGCCTTGCTTCAAAAAACACACACCAAAAAACCCCTTTCTAGCAGTTGTTTAAAAAGTGCAACAAATAGCATTATAAAACCAGAATTTCAGAATACAGAGCTTTCATAATTAATAACCTGAAACACTGTCCACTTATTTCAGTAAATAATTTTTATGCAGCTGACCTTTCTCTTTTCCACAGCTACATTATTAATGAAAGTGGAGCAATCACTTGGTTATTGTTTGAGCAAATCTGGCTCTTCCCACTAATCCATTTTATAATTTAGTAACTTTGGTTAGCAGATTATGTAAAAATAGTCTTTAAATTAAGGCGTCTGCTGGTGAAATTCTGAATAAAAAGTAATAAAAGCCTTAAAAAGGCATTACTAGATGTGTTCTACCATTCCTTCTAACATTAACAGCAAACTGAGGTAGCAGAGTGCCTAACTGTTTAGAAACAAAACTGGGCCACCATAAAATAAGGCAGTACTCTCCTCATACTCAGGGGACTCCTGAGGTAAGCACAAGTATTTTAGCTGAAAAGTTAAAACACACACTTTTTTTAACCTCACCATAATGAGCTGACAAGGACTTGTGAATTTCCAGGATTTGCAGAATGCTGATGATAATTGAGCCTAGAGAGATTAAAAACAACAACCCTAGAGTAGCATGTCCCACTCCCAGGATACAGAATTCTGGTTTATTTTGCAAGGCACTCTTATGCAGGCCTACTACCCAAGGAGTTCAGTGGGATTTACTCCCAGGTGGGCGATTATTGGAAATGGGAGATGCTCATAGTAAACAAAGGCAAACTCCAGGATTTGAGTGCAGCTGTGTGTTTTGTGTTGTTTAGTTGTTTAGTCGTGTCCGACTCTTCGTGACCCCATCGACCAGAGCATGCCAGCTCTTGTTGAGCTGTATAATTACATGGTTTGAGAGCATGTGTACTTGAAGTTGTTGTTTATTTATCATTACATTTATATCCAACCTTTCCTCCAAGAAAGTAGATGGTTCTTCTCCTCACCATTTTATCCTTGCAACAACAACAACAAGGTAGGTTAGGCTCAGAGACTGGCCCCAGGTCACCCACTGAGTTTCATTGATCAGTGATCCCTCAAATAATTCAATCATCCCTCAAGTAAATGGGTCCCAAGATATTAAGGACTTAATATCTTACTAATCAACCATCAGTATGTAAACCTTGAGCTTGGTCGATTAGTAAATCTGCAGCCTGAGCAGATCTTTGAACAGAACTATAATGTGCTGGTAGGATCTCACTTCTGCCGGCTGTTATGCTACAGAATAATTCTGCATTCTGCACTAATTGGAGTTTCAGCACCAAAACCAAGGGAGGTAACCCAGTCTTGATGTTATCAATGCTTGGATACTGTGGTCAAGCTATCCCAGTCTAGAAATAGCCACAGAAGTTGCACCAGATGAACCTGGTGGAAGGCACTTTTAGCCACAAGGGGTCAACTGGACTTCTGGCAACAAAACTGGATAAAGGAGCACCTCCCAAATTGTGTACCTGCTGCTTCAGGGGGATGGCAACCCCACTCAGGGCAAGCAGCTGACCCATTTCTTGGACACAGGAACCACTCACCCGCAGAACCTGTGCTTTCCCAGTATTCAAACTCAGTTTATTTCCCTTGATTCAGCCTAGCCCTGTATCCAGGCACCAGTCCAAGCCCTGCACAGGCTTTCCTGATTTAAATGTTATGGAGAAACAGAGCTGAGTGTCATCAGCATAGTGCTAGCACCTTGCTGCAGATCTAATGAGCACTCCATATAAATACTAAATAGTATTCATATATGGCTGCATAAAAATAGTAAATCGTTCTGAGGATAAAATGGTGCACTTCAGCTCACAACAGTAATAATAATAATAATTTATTATTTATACTCCGCCCATCTGGCTGAGTTTCCCCAGCCACTCTGGGCGGCTCCCAATCAAGTGTTAAAAACAGTACAGCGTTAGATATGCAGTTGAAGAGCTCTTGACCTCATAGGAAGAAGCAAAATCACTGTAAGACAGTCCCCCAATAACCATCCCATGGAACTGGTCCATGATCAACAGCATCAAAACAACAGAGTGATTGAGAAGCAGGGACAAGAGCTACTCCCTTTGTCCCATTCTCAGTACAGGTAATCCATCAGGGTGACTGAGGCTGATTTGGGCACATGGCCAGGTCTGAACACAGATCAGAATTAATCTGAAATGAAAGGTCTGAATTCTGGATTGTCCAGTCTGTTTTATCATGTCACACAGGACATTTCACCTATTAGAAAATTTGCTGCAGAGCGTGAGGAAATGTGCTGACAGTTATTTTGTGCGTGTATGCAAAACCCAGATAGATGTTTTAAGACTAAGAATTGCCGACTGTATGCTCTTAACATTTCAGCTGAGTACAGCTGGTCCCCGAATATGCATCAATATTCACCGGGGTGTATGTCTTTTATTTATATATTTAAACAAGTAGAAGGTTTCTGCCCCCCCATCCCTTCAGCATTGATTGGCACTCACAAAAATTTATGCATGCAGGAAGTTGCCATGATGTCATTTGAAATGCTTGATTGGAAAGGAATGCAATTTACAAGATCTGCCAAGACAGCAAAAGGAAAACTCGAGCCATGTATTTTATGACTTCATATAAAACAGTGACAGATTGGTATGTTGCATTTCATAAGCTTTAAAAGCTTGAAATTCTGTGGATGGCTTCCAGGTACAGTTGTTTTATTTACATGAACCTGAGACTAGCAAGTCAAAGCTTAAGCACGGTGCTGGTTTTGGATGGTAAAGTACTGGAGAGACTCCAGGAGAATTAGGAATTATCCAGTCTGGATAATTTAGTAGTAGACTGGAGCTTTAGTGTTAAAACTTCAACTTGAACCAAAGCCCAAACAGGAGCAGCCTCCAGCATTAGGCTATAATTAAAGAGCGTAACATTTATATGCTTAAAGTATGCACCTTTCAGTCTACAATCAGCTTAGTCCCAGATAAAATGGCTGCCTAAGAATCCTTTATAATTTTGCATGTTGAAATAAATGTGATGACTTTCTCCAGCTTTTGACCATTTGATTTATAAAAAAGCTCTGGGTGATACCCAGCTGTGGCATCCCCACTTGTGCAACAGCTTACTAGTCTACTAGTGAAAATCTCATTCTTAGCTTAACATAACAGCCAAATCCAATGGGCACGTTAACCCTTGCAAAAAGCATTGTGCAGCTCCTAGTGAGACAGCAGCAATGATTATATTCAGTGACCGTGAAGCTTGCCTGCTCCCATTTATGCAAGAATGTCAGTGCCCAAAACCGACTGCACTACCTTAATGTTGGGTCTTGCCCTCCAGCTTTAGTATTTCCTTTTTTCAATTTCCCAACATTTGTATTCCACTGTGGAAGCCAAGGTGGCATACTTGCCATTTATATGTGGTATTGTTAATAAATACCATATAGTACTCACACGTGTGCTGCCTTGGATTCCACAGCGGAATATAAATGTAAGAAAATAAATAAATAAAATATGACTGCTAGAGGGTGAATCCAGTGTAATGTTAGTGCAGGAGGTTTAGAGAGCTGATGTCATTGTCACAGAGTGCAAGCTTTACTTATTGCTAAGGTGGTATTAATAAAAAACAAATTATTTACACTTAGCTTTTGCCGAGAGGGAAATAACATAGGAGGTGGGTATTTTAAAACTAATTCTAGAAAAAAAAATTGTTTAATGCAAAATTGGTTTTTGATGGTACATTATTGTCTTCTACCGCAGAATGCAAGAGCTGTTAATGTACAGTGGTGCCTCGCAAGACGAAATTAATTCGTTCCGCAAGTTTTTTCTTCTTGCGAGTTTTTCGTCTTGCGATGCACGGTTTCCCATAGGAATGCATTGAAAATCAATTAATGCGTTCCTAGGAAACCGACTTCAGACCAGGTCCGGGGACAGTCTGTCCCCGACCTCTTCTGAAGGCTGGGGGGGGACAAGGGCTTTCTTCCCACCCACCCCAGCATTTTAAAAACCCGGGACAGCGGAGGGCTTCTCCGCTGTCCGGGCGATCTTAAAATGCTGGCGGGCGGCATTTTAAAATTGCCCCGGGACAGCGGAGGACTTCTCCGCTGTCCGGGGCAATTCAAAGCCCCTGGGAAGGCAGGCAGGGGGACAAAGACTTTGCCCCCGCCAGCCTTCAGAAGAGGTCCTGGACCTCTTCTGAAGGTTGGCGGGGCGAAGTCTTGTCCCCCCACCTGCCTTCAAAAGCTGTCCAGCCAAGGCTTCGCGGACCTCTCCGCAAGCAGCGGCAGCACTGCCGCTGCTTGCGGAGAGTTGCCGGCATGCCGAAGCCTGCGCGCGCTGAGATCAGCGCGCCCAGGCTTCGCGGACCTCTCCGCGAGCAGCGGCTCAGCGCTGCCGCTGCTTGGGGAGTGTTGCCGGCATGCCGAAGCCTGCGCGCGCTTAGATCAGCGCGCCCAGGCTTCGCGGACCTCTCCGCGAGCAGCGGCAGCGCTGCCGCTGCTTGCGGAGAGTTGCCGGCATGCCGAAGCCTGCGCGCGCTGAGATCAGCGCGCCCAGGCTTCGCGGACCTCTCCGCGAGCAGCGGCAGCGCTGCCGCTGCTTGCGGAGAGTTGCCGGCATGCCGAAGCCTGCGCGCGCTGAGATCAGCGCGCCAGGCTTCGCGGACCTCTCCTGCCTTCAAAAGCAGTCCGGGATAGCAGGGAAGCGCTTCCCGCTATCCCGGACGGCTTTTAAAATGCTGGCGGTGGGGAGCAAAGCCTTTCGGCCCCCGCCAGCCTTCCTGGACCTCTTCTGAAGGCCGGAGGGGGGGGGGAAGGCTTTGCTCCCCACCGCTAGCATTTAAAAGAGGTCCCCGGAGATTTCCCTATGGGCTTTCGTCTTGCGAAGCAAGCCCATAGGGAAATTCGTTTTGCGAAGCGCCTCCAAAACGGAAAACCCTTTCGTCTAGCGGGTTTTCCGTCTTGCGAGGCGTTCGTCTTGCGGGGCACCACTGTACATGATAATATATTTGTTTGTTCAGGTGTTAACGTTTTAATTTGTCAATGCTGAGTGGAAGAAAATAGCTGCTTTTGACTCTGAAGAGAACAGCTTTTAAGTAGAAGTAGAAATTATGACCAAATTTAATCATCAAATAGAACCACTTTCAGTCATTTTGGCACCCGCGGAGCATTAAAATAACATTTCTGTTTTATTAGTGAAGTCATTCGTGCCCATATTCAGATGGGTTGGTGCTGGTCACTTGTATAGAAAAAGTGTGTGAGCCTAAAGGCAGATAGATAGATATAGTGATTTGCAGCGCAATCTTATTCAGGTTTGCTTCTAAGCTGGTCCCCCCTGAGACTATTATCTATCTATCTATCTATCTATCTATCTATCTATCTATCTGTCATCTATCTATCTATCTATCTATCATCTATCTATCTATTTATCTCATCTATTTAATACAGTGGTACCTCGAGTTACAAACACCTCAGGTTACATACGCTTCAGGTTACAAACTCTGCTAACCTGGAAGAGTTACCTTGAGTTGAAAACTTTGCCCCAGGATGAGAATGGAAATCATGTGCCGGTGGCGCAGCGGCTGCAAGAGGCTCCATTAGCGAAAGCACGCCTTTAGTTAAGAACAGTTTCAGGTTAAGAATGGACCTCCATTAAGAATTAACGAATTAAGTTCGTGTATACTGCTCTTCATCACAAGATTTCATGGCGCTTCACAGAATAAAATACAAGATAAAATACAAGTAAAAAATTAAAATAAAAACAACAAAACAAACCCCCCCCCCCACAAACATTTAAAAGGCTGTAGATAGAATATTAACCAGCCAAAGGCTTGGTTGAAGAGGAACATTTTCGCCTGGCACCTAAAAATATATAATGAAGGCACCGGGTGAACCTTCCTGGGGTGAGCATTCCACAAATAGAGAGAAAGAGGTTTCTCTATAGCATCTAAGTGATGGGAATTCCAAGCTGCCCACCTGCAGACTGCAGTGTTGTTGTTGTGTTTGTTTTTAAAAAGCTACTTTTTATTAAAGATTTCTTGGTTTACCAAAGTATGTGCAAGTGTTGAGGCCAGTAGGGTCTTAAACAATAAAATTATAATTTGTTAAAGGAAGACAACGAAAGAGCAATCAACAATGAATTAAGATGCGTCTGCCACTGCCAATAAAATATTTGACTCCACTGAAATAAACAGAAGTTTAGGCCTAAATAGCATTCTCCACCTGGAAGGGTTCTTTCCTTTTTCTTTGGTACAGGCACAACACTGAAACTGCAGGAAATCTACTTCAGTATCAGAACTCTAAACAGAAGACTGGGTGGAAGGATATGCAATGCTAAGAGAGTCCTGGGAGATAAGTGGGATTTAATGGTGCCGAAGTATCAGGACAGCCTTATTTTCTGGAATGGCCTTCCACATTCATGGGACATATCTAATCAGATGGCAGCAGCTTATTCAAAGCTGACATGTTGTTTCAGCTACAGTATTATGTACTATAAGAGCCACTGCTCCATACCTCTCCATGCTCTAGGCATATAAAACTCTGAACTGCATGTCTCTTCTGTGATAGTCCCAAGCCTACCACAAAGAGGTTTCCCCTCCCCTTGTATAAAGAATGCAGGTTTGAGTCTATAATGAATTATTTTAGACACAACCTTTGTGATGTCTTGTCATTCTGTGTTTTGGTACACCATATTCTCATGGTTCTCTGTAGCTTCTGACCATATATCATGATGAATTATAAAATGAAATCTTGCCTCCGGCTTTGTCATCAATCTTGCATCTTTGTCCCCAGTTGGCAGATGAAGGAATAAAGATCATGCAGCAAATGCTCAGGTGAGCTCAGCGCAGAGCTTATATGATCAAATGCCTGGGATTTCATCTCAACACAATTCTTTCTCTCCTTTTGCTTCCCCGTTCATTAACAAACAGAAAGGGTACAATGGAAGATAAAGCTGGGGAGGAAGAATGGCAACTTTTTGCATTTTGTTCTCTCCCGTGTTTTTCTCCACTGTTGTTCGGACTGACGCTGCTGATTTGTTTGGTTTTGCATTTTAGGGAACCTTTATTTTCTTACTCTAAAAGTATGTGAGCAGCTATTTCACGGACAGCATGAATCCAAATGCTATTTTGAAAAGCTGTCTTGAATGCACATGTGACCAGAAACACCCACACTTAATCTGGCCATTCAGCGCATGCTACTTCCTGTTGGAACAGGAAGTCTGGTGTGGACTTCTTCAGCTTTCCCTTGCAAGAGTCAATGCTTGTTCTTTCCTAATGGAAAAGGGGAGTGGGGAATCTTGGAATTTTCATTTTTCTAGAAAAAGTTACTAATGGTGCGGTATTATGCACCGCTGCTCAGAAATAAGCTTCACTGTGTTGCATCAAACTAAATGAGTCGTGTCCATTGGGTTGTATCCAGTGTGGTGCTAAGCTAAAGTCACTTAATGGTATACAGTGGTACCTCGAGTTTCATACGCTTCAGGTTACATACACTTCAGGTTACACACTCCGCTAACCTAGAAATAGTGCTTCAGGTTAAGAACTGTGCTTCAGGATAAGAACAGAAATCGGGCTCCGGCGGCGCTGCGGCAGCAGGAGGCCCCATTAGTTAAAGTGGTGCTTCAGGTTAAGAACAGTTTCAGGTTAAGTACGGACCTCCAAAATGAATTAAGTACTTAACCCGAGGTACCACTGTACTTGTTCCGCTGGTGAATTTTTTGCCAGACATTGTTGCGCAAGAAAAGCACACAAGGAAGTTGCTAGTAACTTTGTTGCGCAATAGATTGCACAAAGAGTTCCTGCTTGTCCAACTGCTGCATTTGATTCCTTTTTTGCACAACATTGTAACTTACCTGTTTGCTAGTGCAAGAGAATGCTAGCAGAGAATGTTGGGTACAGCTCATTGATTTCAGTGGCTCTACCCTGAGTACAATTTAGATATTAAAAGACAATGAGGCTTACTCCTAGGTAAGCAGATACAGGATTGGAGCCCAAAAGGTTACGAAATGCAAAATACAATAAGGTTAAATACGTTCTGGTTATAAAGAATAAAGATATACTTTGAAAGGTTATTGGATTTTTTAAAAAATGGACTTCAGTAACTTGCTCAGTTTTTAGTTAGAAAGAGTTTCAGAGGAAATAATGCTAAAATAATGAAAATAATTTTTGAGCAGGTTCCATCTAAATAATTTTTAAAATTGGTTAGGAGATTTAAATTCCACCCTTTATGTTATCATACCCAGGGTGGCATACAGGGATTGTGAAATAAATACGCAACACATTGAAAGAAGAAAACATCAGAATGGTGAAAAATAGAAAAGCAGTGGAAATAAAGTAAGTTTTTTAAAAAAGTGTTTTAAAAGCCTGGGATAATAAAATCCTTTACCAGGCACTGAAAAGACTTGAGTGGGGGCATCAGGTGAGTCTCCATGGGGGCGAGGATTCCATAAGCAGGGTGCCACAACTGAAAATGGCCTTGGCAGATGATATCAGCATGTTGGCAGGCTCATGTGGCTGTAGACAGCCCTGTCTATTGCATACAGCCATGTATGTTATTTTTCTTCCAAGAGATCAAGATGAAAGAGACCATCTTACTCACCGCAGAATGAGACAACCCACCAGGTGGCAGGGGGGAGACTGTCAAGTTAACTCCGGCAGTTGCTAGCAGTAGAACTCATTTTATAGGTTGAACCAGCTAGTAAATTAGCTTGTAAGTTGAGGGGGGGGGGGAATAAACTCAACTCTTTAAGTAACCAGTACGAATGACAAGCAATCAATGCCCTCCAAACTTGTGAAAGTTCTTCCAAATTTCCACATGTCTGATTTCATCCTCTTCACTTATCACTGTCTCTTCTAATATAATAGTTCTTTAAAATTCAAGAAAGTAGATCCAAACTTGGCTGGTGTTTGCATGTGAGGCTTTGTACAAACTCTACACATGACATTCTGAGTAACTTAGCTGTTTGAGGTCCTGGCTGATTATTGGCTCCTTTGTGGAATAAATAACTTATTTATTTTTTAAAAAACACCCGTCATAACCCTAAATTATTTCAGCTGCCTAATAGCTATCATTTTCTGAAGGCTATTTTTCAGTTGATTCTCCCTCACCCATCTACTCAATAGGCATTGAAATGATTGAGGTAAAGCTATCTATTAGCACTGCTAATGCAGTTTGAATTTGTGAAATGGGCATGTGACTCCAGATACTGCTCTCATTCTTAGGGTTTTTTAAAAAATAAAATAAAATGGGTGGCTTATAGTTTATAGCAGTGTTAACAGCTTGAAAGCTGGCTCTACACAGTCCCTCCACCACTTGTTCTGCCTCATTCACACATCGCTACTAGAATTACTTAAAAAGAATAAATAAAACACACTGAGGGCCTGTTAGTAATGGGGGTGGGGGGATAGATTCTTTACTTCCAGTTTCTTCAAATTTACAAGGATTTCAAACCTACAAGGTGAGAGCTAGTTTCGTTGCTGCCTCCTGCAGGAGAAAGTGGGGCTGAGGGACAGAGCTTGTGGCTTGAGTAGGAAATCACAACATGCATTTTCCTCTATCTGTTAGTCTCGACCCTGCTCTCAACTGACTGGAGGCATGCAATGTTGCTTATATCTAACACTTATTTCATCATCCTCTTTACTCAAAATGTTATTCATCACCAGCAATCTGTAAACTATGATTCCAGAAGCTCAAGAATAGGGGAGGGGTGTCTGTCAGGTCAGGGACTGAAAGCAACCGTCCAGGCCTCTCTGCTTAGCCTCTTCTGCCTTGCTCTAGGCCAAGCTTCCTCAACCTCAGCCCTCCAGATGTTTTGAGACTACAATTCCCATCTTCCCTGACCACTGGTGCTGCTAGCTTGGGATCATGGGAGTTGTAGGCCAAAAACATCTGGAGGGCTGAGGTTGAGGAAGCCTGCTCTAGACCACTCTCCCCCAGGCCACACTGCCCACTGCCTCTTTTCCACACCCTCCTCAGGTGTCCTCAAACTGTGATCATGCCTATTGCTTGGTTGGATGAAGGATGGAGAAAGCGGGAGCTTTTTTCCGTGAAAACCCCTGGCACAGAACTTTCAACCCAGAATGAGAATGTGGGAACAGGGAGTGCTAAAGTCCTCTACCACGCTGTACCAAGGTTCCAGTTGGACGCAACCCCAGCCCACCACTGGCAATTTGTGGAAGAAAAAGGCCTGCATTCAAGGACAAATGATATGATTTGTGTCATGAATAGTTTGGCCCTAAATGCTGTGATAGGCTCTCATGTCCTTCTCTGTAACCTTTGCAGATGATCATGATTATGATGATGATTTAGGTACCCCCCCCCATCTGACTGGGTTGCCCCAGACACTCTGGGTGGCTTCCAACACATATAAAAACATAACAAAACATTAAAAAACCTTCCCTTGCACTGAACTTATGACACACATATTGTGGGAGCCTTTTTTTGTGGAACCTGGTTCAGCTGCACCATATTGTCCATGGTAAATCCGGCAATTAAAAAGTTCTTTGGTGCCCCCCTTACCTTCATGCCCTAAGTGTGTGCTTATTTTGCTTAATGGTTAATCCAGCCTTGGGTAATCATATATAAGGCTGCAGCCTAAATATAAATCCTCAAATGAAGTATAGTGTAACTAAACCAGACTATTTTAGGAGCAATGTAGAGCATCATGCTTTGTAGTATAGTTGAAGAAAATGAAGAGCATATCCTACATCTGCAGTACAGTGGTACCTCCTGTTATGAACTTAATTCGTTCCAGAGGTCCTTTCTTAAGCCAAAAGTGTTCTTAACATGAGGTGCGCTTTCACTAATGGGGCCTCCTGTTGCTGCTGTGCCGCCGGCGCTTGACTGCTGCTCACATCCCGGGGCAAAGTTCGTAACTAGGGGCATCTATTTCTGGGTTAGCGGAGCTCGTTACCCGAAGCATTCGTAAGGAGGACAGTATGTAACCCGAGGTTCCACTGTAGTAATGAAATACTTTATGATGTATTATTTTCATAGTTTAGTGCTTTCAGATCACAGAAGTCATAAAATGTTTTGATATTGAAGGATGTGATTCAGGGAAGTTCATGAATAGCTTTGGATGCATCTGAAATGCTGCTTGTAGGGTGAAACATTTTTAATAGCACACAAATTCTAACCATCGTGCTAGCATATCCACCATAAATATCATTTCCAACTGAAATCTATAAGCAATCGAAATAGGATATATTGTATATCATATTGAATAACAGGAATATAAAATTGCCAAAATATTTTGGAGGTGCAAAATATGTATTTGTGCAGCTTTTCTTGTTTCTCCTAGCAAGGGCAGTGATCGCTTTCTAGTCGAAATTGAACCTGGCGTGCATAACCCCCCATAGCAACATCTTTAGTTATTAAAAGGAATGGTTAAAAATTACAATTCTAAAACATCTAACTTTCTGAGGGACTGAAATGTCTCAGTGCCATAAGGGGACAAATTAAAGACTGGAACTTTCCAAAGCATCTTGAATTTACTCTGCAGATACTGCATTTTACGTTCTGTTTATGTTTTCTTGTCACATATCTGGTTAATGTAAGCATTTAATCTTGCAGGCCTGTGACTTTTTTTTTATTAGTTCTTTTTCTTACAGTTCAAAGTGTTGGGGGCTTACAACTAACTGATAGTTTACCTGGAGGCAAGAACAGAAATTGAAGTCCATTGTTTCCCCCTGTAAGCACTTGAACTCTATATGAGCATGAAAATTACCGAATAGTTTGCGAGGTTTTGACAGATTGTCATGCTTCACAAAAAGAGTGTTTGAGTTCTTCCATTAGTGAACTCTTTCTAATATGCTAAGGGGAGAAATAGCACTCCTTCAAATTCCAGCTAAATATGGTGAGCGTCTATTCTTTAAACTGCATTGAAGAGATAATTACTTCAGCTTCCTTTTTCATGTGATACTTTCACAATGATGCCTTAAGAAAATGACTTTATATATAACAATGAAGCCTTCACTCTGGAAGCCATCACATAACTAATAAAAATACTTAGCATTTATATAGTGCATTTCAAGAGTAGAAAGTACTTCATATGTCCTGTGATGTATTTAGGTAGTAGGATAATGAGAGTACCTCTAAACATTTTTTTTAAGAAAAAAGCACTGCATACGGGTGGTAATGTGGCTTACTAATGGCGGCAGTGCCAAACCAAGCATGGAATTTCCTTAAATATGTCAAACTACTTCGTGCCTGGTCTGTTATGACTTGATTAGTTAGAGGTTAGGAAGAATAGAAATATATCTGCATTTTCTGGAGGGCTCTTCCTGGTATTAAGAGTTTTGCATTGATCATTCAGGGTCAAACTACAGCATTACCCTTGGTGGTCTTGCGCCTCTGCGTGGATATACCAACTGCAGGTAGCATGGGGATTCTCTGGGGCCAAGGTGTTAGGGGGCATACTTAAAATGACAGTGAGGCTGAGCCTCTCAGTAACACTCTGCAGACGTGTTTGTGCTTCATCTTTGTTCTTCCATGGCAATAGCAGGTGAGATCTGTACTTGGCTACAGACAGGTATATAAATAAATGTGCTTAGAATTTGAGGCACTCCACTAAGGCTGTTATTAATACTGAAACACAAAAGACCTTCATTACTCCTATATTGTAAAAGGAAAGAAATACCTGAATTGTGAGCAGAAAAGAAAGAGAATAAAATTACCTGCAACTAGACACTTTTTTTTGTAATTAAAATGTCAATCAACATTTAAACCAGAACGTTAGATGGTGACAGGTCTGCCAGGCTTATCAGAAGTTACTGCCTTGGATTAATAAAACACGTCTAGATCTGTATCTGTATCTCAATTATTATTTCCTTTACAGAAGACTAATGCCTTCTTTTTCAGGATTAACAGAAAAAGAAGCAACATCACACCTTGCCCCAAAAGATCTGTATTATCTAGTTTGAATAAGAGATGAAATACATCAAGCCCTTTAAATTATTGCTTAACAAAGAACAGTGACAGTCCTTGTAAAAGAAATAGGAGATTTCAATTTGATTATGTTTTAAGAAACATTGCTATCATTTTATCCTGCAAGCTGTTTTCATAAGGCCTGGGTGGGGGGAGTCTTTGAAAGTTGGACTTGGATCTCAGCAAAAAGTTATATGGGTGTTTTTTTCCTCCCAAAGACAGAGCACCTCTGAGTTTTATTCTGCTTTGCTTGTTTGTTATTGACAGGGGCAAGAAAGCTGGACATGATGTAGACTTTTTGATCACAGTTCCAGGATCAAGTCAGGAGGATGAATTGTTACACCTAGTGATTGACTTTTGGAAAAAGCAGGTAGGACAAATTGTCGTAAGATCACTGTGTTCAGCACTCTCAGCTTGATGAATGTAGGTAGATGTTGAACACTTTATCTGCTCCGATCAACACCCCAGAAGTTATTTTCAATCACACTTATTGGCTTGTGCTAATTTGTGAGGGGTGCTAAATAGAAAAGGGTACTAATTGCATTCTGCTCATCTTGCTGTTTCTTGACCAGAGATACTTAATTGCTCATTTGCTTGCCAGAATGACCAGCAGAATCTCTGGGTTGATACATGACTACATTCTTTCTCTGAAGTTTATTTTCTAAGTAAAATCCAGTTGTACAACACTATACCTCTGACTCAGATTGCAGTGACATCACTAAAATGCCTCAGGTCACTGAATGGGGAGCAATGATATGGCTTATAAGCCTTATGGTCTATATCAGTTACATGCATTTTTATTAAAAGAAAAAGGATGAGTTATTGAAAATAAAAGGCAAAGTAGGAATTGAGCAATAGTGGCATCAGAAGGAGGTGGGATAAACACAGGGGATGGTCTGAAATGGCACATGATGCAGCAAAACAAAGACAAATTCGGCTGAAGACAAATCAGAGTTTGGTCAGTGTCTGGATTATGATTTTCTATGAGTTTCATAATACCATGAATTCAATATAAGCGTACCTTAATGCAATTAAAAACAAAACAAAACAGTCATTGTTAGACAATAATACAAAATAGCATACTTCTAAATTGTCCAGATTTTGTTTATTTATTTTTTAATGCCTTTTAAATGTGTTGCTGGGAAGGGGAGGTTATTGGGTTTCTTGGTTTTATTATGTATTTTGTGTTCTCATTTTGTATTTTTATGTTGTGAGCTGCCCTGTGATCTTCAGATGAAGGGTGGTATACAAATTCAATAAATAATAAATAATAACAAATGATGTAACTATCAGATACAGTGGTACCTTGGGTTACATACGCTTTAGGTTACATACGCTTCAGGTTACAGACTCCGCTAACCCAGAAATATTACCTCAGGTTAAGAACTTTGCTTCAGGATGAGAACAGAAATCGTGCTCCGGCGGTGCAGCGGGAGGCCCCATTAGCTAAAGTGGTGCTTCAGGTTAAGAACAGTTTCAGGTTAAGAACAGATCTCCAGAACGAACTAAGTTCTTAACCCGAGGTACCACTGTACTAGGAGAAAGTTTTGTTTTGATTTGCTGTGGAGGCAGCTGCAGCTGGGGAGGGAGGACATAATTAAACCTCCCCTCCCTGTGTGAGCCTCATCTAGATTTGCCCTTTTGCACTTCTGTTTGAGTTTAAGAGAAAAAGCACATGCATAGCTGCAGGCTTGTAGTTTGATACACAGTCACCATTTTAAAGGCATGTCACTTTTGGAGAGTGGCTAAAGGAAATTTCTCAAGGACAGTAGCTTCCGAATTTTTTATATTCTTCTTGCCTTTTGTAACACTGCATTTCTCATCAGAGTGCTCATAAATTTTATTCCTGTATTTCTTGGATGGCTTACCGAGATGAGACTCCTTTCTGCTAGCTATTCTGTTTGCATTGCATTATGAATAGCCAAGGGTGGGATCTCCTCTATATCTATTATCTCTCCTAACCAGGAGAGAATGAATATCACTACTGTAATTCTTCGTTCTCTCTTCCCTCTGGATATCCCCTTTGAAGTGAAAGTTGCTGTGCTTTTTGTTAGAGTCAAGCTGCCCCATTCTGTTGGTCTCTACTGAGACTTAGTGCATCTCTCTGAAACTGAAAACTCGTCTCAGGAGCTGAATCTGCCACTTTAGCTCTGGGTCTCTGATTTTATCATCACATTCCCTGATTTGAGTCTGTAATGGATCTGCTCTCTCTGCTAATTTAGCCCTCAGGTCTACTTTACAGCTTCTCAGTAAGTTGCTTGGGGCTGCTATATATTTTCTTATCAGGATTGTCATTACTCAAATCATTACTTCCTCTTTGAACTCACCTGAACCTTCCACCATCTCAATAATTTTCAACAGATTTCCCAACTGCTCTGTCTGTTAAGTGCTCACCATTTCAGTATTACAAGACTGAACACCAAGTACCTTTCAAAGGTCCTACTGTGTGCTAAAGTTTTTCTCTAATTTCAGAGATCCCCTATTTATTTGAGTTGGGCTCTCTCTGTTTTAGCCTAAGGAATTTCTGGTGCTGCTTCTCCAACAGTGGCAGAGGCAACAGGGCAAGTGGGTTGACCACAGGAATGTAGCATCAATTATGTGGTGGGAATGTGAAAAAATCAGAGAGTTCTGGGACATTGTATATAATGAATTAAAAAAGATACTCAAATTCCCATTCACAAAAAGACCAGAGGCCTTCTTATTAGGGATAATGTCAACTGAAATCAAGAAAGAAGTAAGACCACTCTTTATTTATGCAACATCTGCAGCCAGGATTCTGGTCACAATGAATTTGAAGAGTGAAATTACACCTACAAAGTCAGAATGGCAGGTAAAAATGACGGAATACATCCAAGTGGCAATAATGACGGGGAGAGTTAGAGGGTACTCCATGCAGAGGGTGAATAAAGAATGGATAGTATTTAAAGAATATTTGAAAAACTACTATGATAGCAAAAATCTCCTGGCAGACCTTGAATGATTCTTGTAATAAACTAAATAATTTTTCTCTGAAGGAAATTAAGGAAACAAAGTACAATAACATGATGCTGTGTAAAAAATAACAAATGAGATTCATTTTTTTTGAGAACAATCAGAAGTTTATTTTATCTTTCTTATCTTTAGTCTTTATTTTCTTTCCCCCTATTTTTCGATACATTTTTCCTTTTTCTGTGTAGTGTACATGCATAAATTTTAGCACGGTAAATTGTTGTGTAAATATGTGTTGAATGTTTAATAAAGATTTTTTTTTTAAAAAAGGAATGTTGTATCAGCAACTTCTACCACCCGAGGCGGCTGCTTCTCCATGCCACATTATAGGGCCAGTCCTGTATAGACCTCATTTTAAACTGACTGTAATTTTCAAAGCAGAGACAGATGGGTGCCAACAACCATTGTAGAAAGAATGTGCTTTCAGCACTTTCAGCACAGACTTAGAGATGCATGAATGAAGATTTGAGCTGAGAATGAAATATCCAAGCCAAGGACAGTAAGGCAGAATATGTGATAACATAGTGATCTGTCAATTGGGAAAGTTGAAATCAATTATTCTTCTTGGAATTTCCATGGTTTGTAAAGCATGAACCTGCTGCCTTGCTGCCCATTCTTTCAGCTGATTGCAACCCTGTTTCAGTCCTCTTAAGCCCTTTCCCTACCATCAGGGCTGAAGGAATTGGCTGTCAACAAATATCAAAATGCAAAAAAAAAGACAAAAAGACCTATACTCCCCCTGCCTTTTCTGAAAAGCATCTTTGATTGCTATGCAAATGGAAAGCATGCTTTTATACTTGTGACAGCAAGCCTGTCTCTGTATTCACTCCTTTCCTGCTTTCGTGCAACAACTTCAAAGCCCAAAATGCATCAAAAAGAAAGCCACTAAGGTCACAGTGCCGACTTTCTTTCAGCTGTTTTCTTGTGAAAGAATTCTGCAGCATTTAACTTGTAAACAATGAATAAATCTACCCCTCCCATCAGTTCAGTAGTTTGGGAGCATTGCTTTTCCTCAGCTGAAAGTTTAACATTGTCACATCCTCTTAAAGGCAGTTGAAAACAAATGGGGTAAGTCAGGCCTATGATGCTTTTTGATGTGGCATCATTGGGGATAAGCGAGTCTAGGAACAGAGGCTAAAAAGGGACCTCTCAACTTAAAAGGGTAACAATAAAACAGAAAAGCTGCATTGCAATTGATGGATTATCTTTTACAATAATGTTTTTATAAACATGCCACACGGGCATTATAAAATGACTTTGCTGTGGGCTGCCATCTGGAATGCTATAGACCAGTCATTAGTATATATTGATGCACTTTAAAGCAAATGTTCTTCCACCCAATGATCTGGGAGTTGCCAGGAACTAAGACGGTTGGATGGCGTCATGTACGCCTCCTTCCGGCAACTCTGCAGCCAAGCTGGTGCTAAACGTATTGCTCTGCTTTCCTTTGGACCACATCAGAGAGGCTGAGAGTGGGGGTCTTGTCATATGAGTGGACCTCCGTAGTACTGTCCAGGCTTGCACCCCAGAGAGGTCATTTCAGTGCCGGTATCACAGCAGAAACAACGTGGGAGGCAGCAGTAACGAATTACTGGTCTCTGCAGCCGCAGCAGGCACTGTGATTCTCCAGTGGTTTCACTTCACCCCTGGAGGCACACTCCATTGTCTCTCAAGACAGACAGATGCCAACAACAAAAGCAAAGTTGATAGAGCCTTCATATTTGGTGTTATATTTCAGTGCATAGCTTGGGATAATAACATAGAGGCCTCTAGGAGTTGTTGTCACAGTCAGAATACCCCTCTCGAGGAGGCCTGGAGTAGGAGAATTATATGTCTTTAGTAAAGGGTGGTAGAGAAATGAGAGATAAAAGATCATGGCCCTGTCCAATCTTAGCCCCGACTCTACCCATAGTCGTCATGACCCTCTGATAGGAAGGACCCCCTTGAAAGAATACAGACCTCAAGAGCAAAAATGTTGCCTCTCTACTCCCACTGTCTAGCCATGCTCTCTCTTGTCCTGCTTTTATGATCTGTACTACCAGGCTCCATCGCTCGAAGGAGACATTGATCTGCCTCTCCCCCACTGCATGCTACATATAATGTGCTTCCTCAGAACGGAAATATGAAGCATAATATCCAAAGTAATCACCATTGAAAGTCAATGGTAGTCTTGCATCTGGATAATGTCTTTTGTTTTGTAAGCATAGCCCTTGGCTTCAAATCAATATCTTGAGTCCTATTGGAAATCTATAGGCTTTTAGCTATTGTCTTCAGAGTACTCTGAAAACAACTTCAATTAAATGTGTGTCCATGGAGCTCTTTGAGCTTCAGCGTTGTGGGTTTCCACGTGTCAAAACTGCTGTATGCCCTTCTAAAATCACTAAAGTTATTTCTATGCCACTGGTGTAATATCACCAGGGCTACCTATATTCAGGGCTGAAATAATATTTGTCACCAAGGAAAACTGAATTCATTTATCCACTTTGGGTAAATTTGTATAATTTCTCTTATTTTACATAGTCAGCAATGGTATATTTTGTGTTTTACCTGCTTTTTTATGTTTCTCATATTGTATTTTATTATTTTATTGTAGTAGTAGCAGCATTGATTTGGGCTACCTTGAGATCCATTTTGTGGAAAAGCAGGATACAAATATACATGGGTTCTTGGAATTTTATCCTATAATTGTTTAACTATTGTGATTAAAAAGAAATGCCTGGATTAGCATGGTTTTATCCTTAGTTTTTTTCATCTGTGTGTAAATTGCCCTGTCTTAAATTAGAACAGGTTTTTAATTGCAAACCTCCTTGGGGTGAATGGGTGGGAGGAGAAAGGTCTTCATACCTAACTGAATGGCTGGTCTGAAAATCCAGTGATGCTAAAAACTCTTTTTCAATCATCTTAATAGTTTTGCTAGCACAGACTGAAGGCAATATTTTTTTCCTGCAGCACAATCAATTTTGGATAAAGCTGTAACTTGGTCACTGAAAACAAACTCTTAAATGATAGTTTGGGATTTGCACATTAGATGGACCCTAAAATTATGCAGTTTGTAATTTTTTCCAGCCTAATAATTTTCTCCTGTTCTTGTTGCTAGAACAGTGGTTTCCTGCTACGTGAAACAATTACAGTCTCACTCATGCCGACTGATTTAGCAGCTGTCTAAAGATGGATGCATTTGTGCTTGTCAAGCTATGCTAGAAAGAGAGTCTAGGTCAAATCCTCAGCTGGTCTGACTTGGCACAACGTCTCTGGGAGCCAATGGAACGTTGCCATTTTACACTCGCTGAGGCCTGGCATGCTCTAAGATGTTGTGATGATGAACGATGCCTCTCTAGGCTTTTTTCTTTTAGTGTAAACTCTGCTGGGTGAGGGCTTACAAAGCAGGGCCAGTAGTATATCAACTGCTAATAATTTATCATGTCTTGGATGGTTAATACACCTGCATTTGCTGCAGCAATTGAAATGAAGAGACAAACACAAGGCTCTGGGATGAGAAAGCCACAACTTTATTGAGTATGATTTGTAAGGCATTCAGGTCAAGATAGCCAGTACAGGGAAGAAACTAGCTTGCTCCAGCTAAACCACTAAGTTTCCAACTCAGGCTCACCACATGGGGTCTGCCTTCATAGTTTGTTCCATTTAATACACATTTCCTTTAAGAGATAAGTGAGCATGGGTTTTCTCAGGAGCGTACCTTAGGGTTGGGTAGGTTGGCCCCTGCCAAGGGTGCAGGCTCAGTGTGTGTGTGTGCATGCAAAAACCAAGCCTCTCCACTCTGTCTCAGAGTGGCTGGGACCTCTGCTTCTCTGGGTGGCCAGGTGAGTCATGCAGGCTCCTCTGGGTGCCTTGGTGGAACTCTGTACCAAGGCCACAAGAGATAGTGTCCCCCCTCCCATACAGCTCCTTTCCAAGGGCACAAGGGACCCTAGGATCGACCCTGAAGTTCCAGCTTCACTGCTACCTTGGAGCTTGCTGGATGGCAGTGGCAGAAGGTGGACCTGAGTCCCAGATTTGTCTGTCCACTGGAATAACAAATACTGCTCTTCATTTGTCATGTTTTGGGAGTCTACATCAACTCCAACCTTCTGGCTGCTTTCTGCCATTTCTTTATAGCATCCTAATTGCGACTCCGACTTTCCCTACACTTTGAGTTCTCTCTACCCAATGTCATTTGCTAGTTTTACATTATCTCAACTCCACTTCCCACCCTTTTACTCAATCCAAAGGGGAGTACAGACCTGGTTAAGTTTACATTTTACAAAATTTGTTATGTTTCTGTGTCTTCTAGTATTTAGGATTCATTCTCTTCCCTTAAGTTTCTGTTTCAGTGGTTCTCTTGAACTTGTGAATATTCCACCCCCTTGCATACAGCAGCCCATATCTAAAAGAACCACATTTCTATTAATTAAATCTGTATGTCACCTAAACTGAAGCTTCTAAGTGAGTCACAGCAAACAAAATAGGAATGCAATTTGGAATCCATAAATACGATCACATAATAACATCAGTATGCCATCTGTCCATTATACAACACTTTATGAAATGGTTTTCCCATCCCAAACCTTAAAAATAGACCACAAAACCCTAAAAACATAATACAAAATGGCTGAAACAATTTAAAGTCTTCACAAAGGCTGTAAGGTGACTTGACATATTCTGAATGGCACCCTATTAGTCTAGATAATAAGCTAACCTTGCAGTAGCTTCCAGAATTTTATTCCTCAAAAAATGAGGAACCTTTTCAATGTTTAAACTAGTGCAATTGACACAAAACTGGCAATTTTGACAAACAGTTGGTTCATATAAGAAAAAACTTTTCATTTTTTAATGTTAAAAAGTCTATCCAAAGGCCAGAAATACTGCCTTGTATTAACACTGAGCAGAACAATTGAACTCCACGTTAAAATGGTCTGTATGATAACCTTCAGCTAAAATTTAAATCTGGCATATAGTCCTTTGCAAGTGCAGGAATATTAAAATGGGAGTGGGAGTAGAGAGAGATGCTTGAGGAACTGACATAAGAGTGTTGCTTATTTCATATTCTGTAGACTACAATGCTCAGATTACAGCATTTTAAGATTTTCACGGCTAGCTGCCTTCACAAAAGGCCCCATTTGTAACCTAGAGAAGTGCTGCTTCAGCTGTGTTATGTGAAACAAGGGTATTGTCCGGTGCCTCGTCAAATTAAGTTAATCAGAAACATTGTCTCAGTGGATATATCCTAGGCCTTGATTACTGTTTAGAAGTTGCATTCTGACTTTGAGTCAGATTTCAATTGCTTGCTGAAGTCAGCATCCGTGTAACTGTTGCCTAATTGCATTTTAAAAAAGAAAAGAAAAAGAAAAAGAAAAGCAATGATATGGTTATTTGCAGGTTTCTAGCCTTTGTGTGTTCTTACTTACTTCTACAAATTGCTAAGCCATTTAATGATAGGGAGGCAGTAAAGAATAACTTAGAGGCATTCATTCTCAAAATGCCTTTCTCATCATATTTGCCACACAGCACCATCCGCAGATTCTGAAACCGTATCCACTTGAGTTTATATTATTAAATCAGCAAGGGAGAAAGAATGTTTCATACCTATGTTTTATTGCTAACTTATTTAATGGCCTATAATTGCCTGGATTAAGGGAGTGAAGTGCTCTCTGGAAGGGTCCAAGCCACAAAACTGGAAGTGAAGATTCCTGTAATGAATGAATCATTTCAGGGGTTTCTCTTGGTATCTGCAAAAATGTGGTTAAAATTTAAAATCACAGTGATGGGATTTTGCACCTGGAACAAGTGGGAAGACTCAGATTTGTGGGATCTGCTTTGTTTTTTTACTGTCCAGAGTCAAACCAAAGTACAATGGTACCTTGGTTTGCAACCGTTTTGGATTACAACGACGTCAAAACTGGAAGTGTGTGTCCCTTTTTGGGGGGGATTACAACCAATTTTTGGGGGGAGGAGGCCCCATTGGCGAAAGCACGCCTTGGGTTACAACCTTTTTTGGTTTACAACCAGACCTCTGGAACGGCTTATGGTTGTAAACCAAGGTACCACTGTAGTGGGTTGGGACAGAACCAGGTGCTACTTCAGGGGATGGCGCTACTTACATATTGCATTCCATGAGCATAAGATTGGAATGATCTGCATATATAAAATTATGAACCATCACCTACAGATTTGAAATCTAATTTAAAGAGGGAAGGGGTGGAGCGGGGAAGAGCCGTTTGTTGGCAGGAACATAGGAAACAGCCTTATGCCATTTGCCCATCAAGCACAACGTTGACTCTTCCAACTCCCCTGGCAGCAGCTTTGCAGGAACACAGCAGCTTTGCAGAAACACAAGCAGAAGAGAGATTGCCCATCTGAGGCATCAGAATGCACTGCAACATGTCACAGGAACGAGATTCAGAAAACAAAATTCAAAAGCAACAGCAACATTGTAGCAGATGACAAAAATGGGTAGAAATGGCTCAATAAAGGTTCTCTTGAAAACCCCACACTTAGAGCACAACTTGCATCCTGCTAGTAGAATAGTGGTGGTTGCCAATATGCAGGTGATTGGCATGGATGTATTGTTCTCTCTTTTGTAAACTCAAATGTGAGAAATAACAAAGTGACATTCGATAAGTTAAAGGGCTGTAAAAATAAGAAATGCATATTTTTATTCCCCCCCCTCTTTTCCACCACCACCTGGAAAACTCCCCACGGCTCCAAAATTTCCAGAAAAGTTGTGTCTCTAGGTCAGCGGTTCTCAACCTGTGGGTCCCCAGATGTTGTTGGACAACAACTCCCATCATCCCTGAGCTCTGGCCTTGCTAGCTAGGGGTGATGGGAGTTGTAGTTCAACGACATTTGGGGATCCACAGGTTGAGAAAGGCTGCTCTAGGTGGTGTTTGAAGAAGGGAAAGGCCCCTCCATCTGGTGGGAACTAAATGGTGGTCTAGACTGTTGTTCTGCTTTCCCTCTACCCATCCACTCAGAGCGAGATGGTCCTTATGGTGATGGTTGGAGGAGGAAGTGACCATCTCAGCTGGAACAATGGAAAGCTGGATGGAGAGGCACCTCATTAGGCTGTTATGTCTTCTCTTTCTCCTTCTTTTGGGGCAAGATGACTCTTAGATAGTCGTATGGTGGTCCTAAGACTTGCTGTCCATCGAGCATTAACCTACATTGCTAGTCTTCTGATTTCAGCTATTAATTAATTATCTGAATTGTGTGTTCTTTCTAGGGATTGATCTTATACTATGATCTCATTGAATCTACATTTGAGAAGAAAAAGCTGCCGAGCAAAAAAGTTGATGGTTTAGACAATTTTCAGAAGTGCTTTATAATTTTAAAATTACCCAAGGGAAAAGTGGACTTTGGCAACTCTGTTATATCAGTTGCTTCTGCTGAGGAAGGAAAGAAGGACTGGAAAGCAATTCGCGTGGATCTTGTTGTAAGCCCCTTTGAACAATATGCATTTGCACTCTTAGGATGGAGTGGATCTAGGGTAAGTAAGCTCCTTTCCTTAATTTGAAACCTGAGCCGAAATTCTGATATTTGCAGCATAATAGGAAGATCCATATATCTGAACAATATTTCATTTTCTAATTGTTTCCCATTGTCCACAGTGGGGGTTATTTATTTTTAAATGTGTATCTCATTCTTCTACCAAAGAGTTGAGAGTGCTCTTTTATTTTCTGAGTAGTCTGAGAAATAGTGACCTGACCAAGTTTTGTCATTGAGCTTTTCAGTTTATTGGGGATTTGAACCCAGATCACCCCGGTGCAGGTTCAGTTCTCTGTCCTTTACACAGTACTGGTTCCATACTAGGTTGTGCTAGGTGTTAAGAAATTGCTTATATTTTTAGAAAATGCAGTTGTTAAAAAATCAGTCCTAATTTTAAAGTTAATCACGAATCTTTGGCACATTGGGGATTTGTGGAATTTGAAATATTTCAGCAAATGATGAGCCAACTGGGACCATTCTCTAGACATTTCTTTTCCCTGAGATTGTAGCTAACATTTCCCAAACATTCTCAAACAACCATGAGAACTACAAATGTACTTCTTTGAAAAGACAGCTGAGTATTGTTATCCTTTTAAAAATGGAATTTCTAGTTTCTAAGACCCCTTAATGAAAGCACCAGAACTGGAAAACCCTAATGTCTCCCTTTCCATATTGCATAGTATTCATGCTTGTGACAGAGAACCTGATATGCCCCGTTACTGCTCCTTTCAAGAAATAACAGATATTAATGAGCCCCATCAAACTCTATGGGACTTATTTCTGAACAGACATGCACTGGAATGCTATATAAGCCTGAAAACAATGCTATGTTCAGTGTGTTCCTTTGGCAGCAGCGTGAATGCCTTTAGGCAGATAGCTGCAGCCAAGCACTTTGCAAACTTCTGTGCTCACTGGAAAAGTGCAAACACTTAAGCTTTTTAGACTCAGACAAATTGTGTGAGTCACAAGCAAATGGAGTCCAGTATGTGTTTAAATTAAACTATCTCTTCTTATAAAACTATAACAATCGGCAAGGCAGTTAGTATCAGACAAAGCTAATGTGATGTAGTATTACATGTCAAAAGACAGTCCCTCTGGGTGAGCATCCATTATGGAGCTCGCATGAACTGCAGGCTACATTCATTACAGAGAAGAGGGTAATGTATGATCGCAATTTCATATTTCTTAATGTTATCTGTACAGTAATGGGATCCTGACAGACTTCCTTGTAGACGGCGACTTTGCCTTCCCCATTCTTTTAATGCCGGCTCTAAAGGATCAGTCTTACTCCAGTATTTCAAAGTAGCCGAAATTGATGGAGATCTGTTGAATGCATCAATTTCAAGTCAGGGAAGTGTGTTGCAACACAAGCCTTTGGTAAATCGTATGCTGTGAATGCATTTCCCCCCCTTTACTGAAATCGGAAAACACCATTTCTTCTTAAAAGGTGTCATTTCAGCGAGTTTGAATTTGGAGATTCATTTTGGCTTATTATCATATCGTTGCGACTTTTCTGTCTGTGTAGCAATTTGAACGTGACCTGCGGAGATATGCTACCCACGAAAAGAAAATGATGCTGGATAATCACGCGTTATATGATAAAACCAAGGTATTGTCTATCTCTCTCCCCCCCCATTTCAAATGGCATTGTTGAATTCATAAAGCTTCCCTTATGTTGTGTGCTGTCTGTCTTGGCTCAACCCAGTCGTATCAAACAGTGGCATCCAATTCTTTCAGTAAGAATGTTAACTTCCAGAAAACTCTAATGGCTGCCAATAGACCTCTTATTGCTAGGTTAATTAAAGGTCAGTAAGCAATTACTGTGAAATATTTCACAAGAGCAGCAGTATGCAAAAAGTGCAAATAAACTATATATTTTTATTTATGTTTGCTGATGCAATGGCCACACTTCAGTGATTTCGCAGCGTAATAAACTGAGATATGAATAAACCTCCTGCATCCACATGCAGATGATTCACTCATCCCTTAGCCAAAGAGGGAAACAAGTCAGAAAGCTGCAGTTAACTATAGTCTCCTGCTATACCGAAACTTGGAAATTATGGATAATGGCTTCCAAATAAACCAGGATATGAAGCCATGGTTTAAAGTTGGCTGGATAGCCTGGCTTGTTTGGAAGCCATTAAGTGTTGTTCCCAGTTTTGGATGCAATGGGAAACCATAGTTAACTAGAGTTTTCTGGCTTGTTTCACTGCTTCTACAAAGGGAGGGGCAACACAGCTATGTGTGGGTACACAAAAATCCTTCATATCTTGGCTACCTCTGATGAAGTCTGATCATCCAAATGAAACCAGCGACTGATAGCTTTCTTTCTTTCAAAAGTTGGACCCGTGTCTGTTTTGCCACCCACTTCTAAAGCATCAGTTTGATTTCATGTTGGGGAGTGAAGCTCCCCATCAGGAAGTAATCATAGTTTGGAAAGTGATTGCTTTGCCCATCACGGATAAATTTCACTTAGCCAACCTATGGAAACATTTTCATCTGATTTAGCTAAATGGATTTGAAAACCAAAGCCTTGCCACTCAAACATGTAGTTAGATAATAATAGCTTTTGAATAGAAGCTGGAGCCTGAGAGAAGAAAAGGCCCCCATTCTCATTTTCCTAGTTTCTTTAATCCTCAAGAGAATATATTATATGAGCTTACATTGTTCTTGCAAACAGAGACTTAAGTAATTATACAAACCTCACACAAAGAAGGGAGATGTACTCTCATAAAAATAGAGCAAAGCCTAGAGAATATTCTTGAAAGGCCAATAGTGCAGTTTGGCTGTTGAAACACAGCTAGTCTGAGAACCAGAGGTAACATGCTCTGAGGAAGAACAGAGCATAACAGAACTTTCCTCTATAACCAGACCTTTGGCCTTTAACTATCTATGACCATTTAGAAGTTGGCAGGATGTTTTTAATGTGTTTCTTTTTCCTCTTGGTTTTAATGTATCTATGTGAGGTCTTTTTGGTCTGGTTGGTTGGTTGGTTGTAAGTCACTTTGGATTTCCCTGGGCAAAGTAAAATGACTAACAAATTCAGTGAATAATAGTGATGGCAATGATGTTTTCTATAAAGATTCTATAAATGTTTACTTCAGAAGTCAGTCTCTCATGATATTTACTCATAGGAAAGTGTGCATAGGGTTGCAGCCTTTCTCTAATATTAATGAAAGTAGGCCACATCTCACTTAAAACTTGAAAGAAGCTTGTAAGAGGTACAGTGGTACCTTGGTTTTCAAATGTCATCCGTTCTGGAAGACCATTCGAGTTCTGAAATGTTTGAAAACCGAAAACTCAATAGCCAGCAGCTAGGTCACAGGATCTTGCATTCAGCGGAAGCCGCGTGGCATGTTCAACTTCTGAGGTGTGTTCGAAAACCAAAGCATTTACTTGCGGTTTTACAGCGTTCAAAAACCAAAATATTCGTCAACGGAGACGTTCGAAAACCGAGGTACCACTGTACTCATTTGGGTTGCTCATAACTTTAGAAGACAGGATGTGTTTTGCATCACAATCTAACCTAGTATCCTTTCAGGCCTCATCTTGGCCCACATTTTACGGATGAATCAGAGCAAATGACAACCTATGGAAAATCCTATTGCCATTTGCTCCAATTTAGCAGTAAAACGCAAGTTTTCCCAGGAAAAGAGCTGGGACAAAGGAAAACAAAAACCCACTCTTCAGACATGGAGCTTTAAAGCTTGCACTGATGCCTAGAAGGAAGTCTGGATGAGCCCTCTATAACATCGACCAGGTAGATTTTTCTGGGTTCATGAGTATGAAGGACAAGTAATAGCTGACTAAACTGGATGTCTAGCAGTGAGACATTTAGGGAGAGCACTGTTCTTATGTCTTCACATAGAGATTATACCCTCCATGCGCTGCCTCCAGATACTGTAAAATGTTTATTTCCATTCACAGTGCAAAATTGTATACTCTAATTCCTTCTCTCTGTGAAGGGAGGTCGTTTGTTCCACTGCTGCTGCTATCCAGTGTAACATTTGTTTGCACCAGATTACCAGTAGTTTCATAGCTTTGGGGGCGGGGAGCATTTACTTTCAACACTGTAGGACCCAAGGTTCTCCCCCCCCCCCAGTTAAAAGAATCATAGGTAGCAGAACTAGGACCTTGGGGAGTTGCTGGCTTCTTCTGTGTAAGATAGATTCATATATGCCATCTGAAACTGGTCCTCTGGCTTGTAACGTATGAATATGGCCTGTAACTCTCCAAAAGGCTCTTTGGGTTCCAGGAGGTGTTTATATTGCTTATCTACTATGAATAAATAAATAAATAAACAAACAAATACCCCTGCATTTTTTAAAGGCAGTTGCCTTTTCGTAGAAACACAGAACATTTTGTTTCATACTTGCTTTTATTACAAAGAAACTCTAGAAGTGGATTTGCTTGCCAAGTTAAAGAGGGGCTTTTAATGGTTCTTTGCAAAACTGGATGCTCTAGTCTAGAGTTTGGCAGATGCTCAGCTAAAATTATTTGGTGATAACAGAGAGGCAGTCAGTCTTGAGAGAACATCTTGATGAATTATACATGGTACATCTGCAGTGTTTGCTTTAGATGTCTGCAGTAATGACTGGATTAGCCATAAAGTAAACATAAAGATTCCAAATTTATAATATTGATTTCCAATGTGATTGGTGTTGTTCACATAGTCATTACTACAATTAAACACTGAGTCATTGTAAACAGATGCACATTCTTTCACTTACTAAGTGCTTCCCCAGCTTTTATCTCTCTGGGCAGAAGAGCAATTTTGCATTCAACTCTGGGAATTTGTTTTTCTCTGCACCTGGCCTGCTTTAGAAATCAAGTGCTCAGATAATCTCAGCTCTTCCTCCCCAAAAAAGAAAAAAAAAAGAATGACCATGCATTGTTTTGCATATTAAAGCTTTCTGCACAGCAATCCAGTTGGTAACTTTAATTGCTAGAGATTCATAATTGATAGGTCACTTTTACATGGGCAATGTACAAATCCACTTAAATCTGAAACTAATTAAATTACTTTGCACACAGAATTCTTAGCTGTAGTGTTTTCGCTTAGGATAAAAACATAGAAATCCCATGTTCAGCACAAAAGGTTGTGATAGAAGCACCTGTGAAACTGTGAAAATGTTAACAACACAAATCTAGATAGATAGATAGATAAATTTTATTGTCATTGTCCGTATATACACAGTATACACAACAACGAAAATCAGACACCCACCCAAAGACCGGGTTCACATACACATTTGCACGTATCTCCAACACTCTCATCCTATTCAGACATAATCTATAAAAACATGTCATACTCCAGAATGTAACATAACCTATTAAAGGCATAACATAACCTAAAAACCTGTCTCATTCCTTCCTACTCCCTGCTTGCTATTTCTTGCAACTGGCCCTGAGATCATTATTTAGTGCAATCAGAGCTCTTGGATAGAAACTATTCAGAAGGCGTGTGGTTCGTGTTTTCATTGTCCTATATCTTCTGCCCGAAGGCAACAGTTCAAAGAAGTTGTGAGCAGGATGGGTGGGATCTCTCAGGATATTGTGTGACTTCTTCAAAGTGCGAGACAGTGAAGATCTCATCCAGGGTTGGTAGTTGGAGCCCAATAACGTTCTGGGCAATTTTAATTATTCTCTGTAAAGCTTTTTTATCCGTTTCAGAGCTGCTCCCATACCACGATAATATACTATAGGTTAAGACACTCTCGATGGTACTGTGGGGTGCAATCAAATGTGTACAGGGAATAGAGAAAGGGACTTAGCACACATCCCTGAGGGGCTCCTGTGCTTAATACTAGAGTAGAAGAATAGTAAGGGCCCATTCTCACTGTCTGCGGCCTATCAGTCAGGAAATTCCTTACCCACAGACAGATCTTCTGATGTATACCCAAATTGGTCATTTTAAGAAATAACCTGTCTGGCAGAATTGTATTGTGAAATAAAACACAAATCACTGAATACCGGTCTTCGGAGTGCCGAGCCGCTGCAAGTGCTTGCGCCGCCATCTTGGTGTTATTGCCAACCTGTTAGCTGACAAATCCACCAATGTGGTGGGCAGTATAACTTCTTATAAGAGCCTCTGCTTCTGTTTTGTCTACTTGCCATGTTTTCACTCCAGCCAAGTGATTCTTTAACGCCAATAAAACCAAATCAGTTCACCTGGGGCTTGCAACAGGCTTTCACATGTCACAGTGAGCCTTCATTCCCTTTACAAGTCAGCCAGCTATGACTGCCATGGCTCAGATATTATGGTGTTTGTGATATCATTGAACCATGGGGACACACAACTGACTGTATTGGGGCAATGGATTGTGTGTTCTGAGGTCCACGAGCAACTTTTGTATAATTAAAGTTTGCTGCTGCGTGTTGATACCAAGGGGATTCTGATAAAGATTGGTTTAAAGAGCCTCAGAGCCTTTTGCTGTAAAGGGACAGACTTCTCTAAGCTGCTTATAAAGTAGAATAGCTAACTAAAACACTGCTTCAGAGTTACAGAAAAACAGTAGCTCTCATATGAATACTGTATCTTAAAATGTTTTACCTATGCTTTCCTTTATCTACGTGCTATGAAGCTCTGAGGTGCTAATACTCTTGTCACAGTTGGCATTTTGGGGTAATTTATCTGAAAGTACATCTGAAAAATGGTTAGATAATTTCATCATGATCATGGGCACAATCCAGTGCAGTATTTTGTACCCTTCTGAGTTCAACAGAATTTAAGTGCATATAAATGTCCACGGTTAGTATCCCATGAGTATGACTGTGTCCTATACCACAGACATGTTGCCATTGGTTTGCAGAGAAAGACAGCAACCGTCTTTATCTTTGGTCCATTTTTTGTCAATTTGTTTACTTGTTTATTGATTTGTACATGACCCTGGAATCTACTAGGGTAAAAAGCAGTGCATAAATATTTTGAATAAACACATCTTAAACTTTTCATTCCTTCTCATAGAACAGCCTTCTATGTGGCATCTACTGATCCTACACTAGGGCTTCATCTTTAAGAAATAGCTAAAAACATGCCCATCAGATGTTTGGTGAAGAAGCAGGAGCTGAAGCCATGTGCTTTCCCTTCCATTGGAATTCCAGCATTCTTTGAACAATTGAATATGCACAACCCTGGCTTATTGGCCTAGAAAGAGGAAATGCATGTCTGATATCTGTTTACATGCACAATTGTGTATTGGTCTGGGATATGATTGTGCATGCCCTTGGAGCCTAGCTGGACTGGGCCATGGATTTTACACACAACTTTTACCAGACTTAGGAAAAGGTGACTCTCATCAGATATATTAGTTTATATGGGATTTGGGGCACTATTCTTCCCTGCATAAACTCACATGCAGAAGGATACCTGTATGCTTATTTCTTCTCCCTCCAACTTTGCACATGCGCAGTCAGCTGACCAGAGTTGCCTGGGGGAATGAGAGGCCTACACATACTCCCCATATTCCCATTCAGTCATCCACCTCTTCTAAACCAAGTTTCTCATAACCATCTGCTGCACTCTATGTGCTGAGAGGGAGGAGCAAGGAGCTCTATTGCATTCTATGGGAATTCCTCTGCAGGCACCACATCCTCCCATAGGGAAATACTATGCCCATGGGATTATATAACAATATAATATAAATATGGTGAGCATATAATCATTCCAAAGGAACAGGGGAATAAACCTGATGTGCTTGCAATATTTTTTGCCAAGCAATTTGTAAATACTTGTTATTTCCAACATTTGCTTGATAAATTAGTTTTATCTAATAAGCACATTAGAGGTGATTTTATTTCATAGGATAGATATCACAAAAAAATCATTTATAGAAACATATAGGGCTTCATTAATTTATGATTCTAAAACTTGTCAATGATCAAATGAAACTAGGGTACATAATTCTGGTTCATATTTGCTTCAAAGTGTATTCATGCTTAGACTGCTTAGAATAAATTCCACTGCATATTTTAATACTGTTCCTCATGATTTTTCTCAAGGGCTTTGAGTCAGTGGCTTATGTTCGGAAAACTCCTTGTTCAATCAGAGTTTGTTATAATGTCATTTCAAAGAGTGATGGTTTTCCATCTAATTTATTTGTCGTTATATTTGTAGCTGGATTAAGGATAGATTAGATCTTTAAAGCATGCACTGTAATGCGAATATTTCTACAACAAAATGCCAGTTAAATGTGGAATTTACATTCGTTGTATAATATAAGGCCTAAGGCATGTCAAATTGTTTACCCCTGGAGTCTGTTTTATCAAAGTGAACATATATAAATATCTCATGTACAATACAGTGCAAAATTGCCTCTTCTCTTCTCCCGTCCAACACAAATTTCATGCCGTTATCTCATTTGCCCTTTCAGACTTGACCCAGTTTGCACATAACAATAAGCCAAATTTTAGCAAGTGTGCTGCTGCATGGTGAGAATATTTTTGCCATTTTGTTCTTCCTCTGGTCTTGGTCTGCTGCACTATGGTTTGGCTCAGCATTACATCAGAACGTGGATTTGTAGTTTGTCTTCCTCCAAACAAACCACAAGCTGTAACCAAGGTTTGTTCTTGGCTCACCAAAGTGGCTGAGGTTTTCTCACTGTACACCAGCACACTTGCTTGTTCACACTAAGCCACAGTTCATGCTAAGCAGACTCATTTTTTTCAACACGTTAATCATTTTGAAGATCAGGAACTTAGTCCTAAATCTGTCACATCATCCACTTAGCAAATAAGCTTCAATAATTGGGTACAATTTTTGCGCACACCAGCAGCCGGTATAACTTCTGGGCAAATAGCTATGAAATAGACGAAGGTATGTATGCTTTAAGATGTCTTCTGAACAGGAATCTTTTACTTTCTTCATTAGTAAGTTATTCATACTGATGTCATTTAATAAATGAGTATCAGTAAAGATAAATTTGATAAAAAGTGATACTGCAATCCTCTTGGGAAGAAACGTATTTCCTGGTTTTCTGTATGGCACCATGCACATTGATGTTATGACCTCATCATTATCATTATCATCATCATCATCATCATCATCATCATCATCTCAGGTACAGCAGCAACAATAGTGTTTAGAGTTGCTACTCAAATATTTGTATTCCATCTAGCATTAAAGAAGTTGGGTAGAGCTTTCTGCAATCTGATTTACAAACTTGCATTATGTTTAACTCAGCATTGCATCCATTAATTCACATCCCAAGGTATTAGTAATGCCTTTGTGGTCTGAATTTCTCGTTGTTGTTTTTTTATGATGTTCAGACTTCTAGAGGAAGAAGGTGCTGTTCTTCACAAAGCAGGGAGATTTGCTTAAAAACTCTAGCTCTGTATTATTTCTGGTTTTCTGACACAATTTTCATGTAGTTCTCAGTTACAGATTGCCAATGGAAACCTTTAAAATATCTGTTTTTTTAAAAAGGGCTTGCTAATCTAAAAGGCATAAAATAAATGATACAAGACAAAGCTAGCTTTTCAGCTAGAATGTATAAAGCAAGCAAGGGATAGAGGTGGGAGAAGAGAATAGGCAAGTTCCATAATAAGTGGTAATCAAATGAGTAGTCCTGAGCAGTAGCCAGACCAATATATATGACATGGGGATCCAATCAAATTATGTTCCCACTCAGTTTTATAGACAGAAGCACTAGATCTGTCTTACTGGATGTTGCAGCTGTTTAATCTGTGTTGTATCCTCTGCAATTGAATAAAATGCGTAATAATTGGGGAAGTCTGTAGTTCCGCCTGATATTTCAATTGAAGACTAAGTATTGATGTTGATATTTGTGCAGTGAAATATCTGAGAAGAACATTTTCATCTTGTTGGCTTATGCTGTTGGGCCAACATACCTTTGAGTCCATGCCTAATTTTTCACCCATGATATTGCCTTGTCTAGAGAATTCTCCCTCCCCCAACCCAGTGTGTCTCTGCCTCCTCAGTAGGATATTCCATTCTGTGCTTTTATTTAGGATTATTCAATCCTGAGCGCTTTAGGAAGATGCTGCCAAGTGCTGCAGACTCATGGGATTGGGGGACGTGTAATTGAAATCGATAGGAACAAGAAAATAATCACTTAGAAGTGCTATTTTGGGATTTGTAGAAACGTGAATGTCAATAAGATGAGCATCCAGTTATTTGTGCTGTAGTGTTTGTTTTGCTGACATTTGATCACTTAGTCCATTCAAACTCATTTCTGATTTACCCATCTTTGGGGGGAGTCAAAAGTGTATGAACCAAACACATCCCATTTGATTAATTACTAATTTTCTTTGGACAGCAATAAAAGACTGCATGTAACTCCTGAAATATCTCAATGTTAAGAATGGGGGAAACCTTCAAGAGTGTTTGGTGTTGGGGAGATGTTTGGTGTTGCCTTTGCTGTTAATTTAATCTGCTCAAGGCTTCCCTATCTTGCATGATATAATGTGGAACGGAATCTCCCTTTACAGCAGAGTGGATAGACAAAGGGGATGATTGATAATTGGTTATGCCTCCTCCTCCTCCTCCCCCTTGTGATGGAAATGACATTGGTTGGGATCTCAAACGCAGGGGAGACCCCAGTTAGCAGTGGAAACAGTTTTGTGGCACAGTGCCATGCTGTCTCGCCAAATGCTAGCTCCAGCTACAGAGAAGCCAGTAGGAAAACACTTCAATCTCCCAGGACATTCAATACAAGATCTCAAAGCAACTGTTTTATCACAAAAGAATTTCAGAAACAGACTTGAAAGTTGCTGAATTACAACTTATCACTAAATAGAAAACTATGGAGAGACCTGGTCTTAATAGAGATATTGGATTCCTGTCTCGTTACATATGCTAATCATCTGCATACTATCCCTTGCTTTTTCCTGCAGTCGTTAACAGTCAGTCGTCAACAGGTTTACCATACCCATTGAGTCAATCACCCATCTCCTACCACCCTCCTGAGAAAAACCCCACCCCACCCTCCCACTATATATAAGGGTCTGGTGACTTCTGTTTTGGTGTATCTGAAGAAGTGTGCATGCACACGAAAGCTTATACCAAGAACAAACTTAGTTGGTCTCTAAGGTGCTACTGGACAATTTTTAAATTTTTTAAAAATATATTTTGACTGCGTCAGATCAACACGGTTACCTACCTGAATCCAGATACCTTGTAATCAATAACATTGTGGCCTGGTTTAAGCCCCACATACATTTCAGCCTTATTGTTACCCAACCTTTGACTCTGGAGCAGGTTAATGTGCCCACCCCACAACTCTCATAGTCCCTGACCATTGGCCATGCTACCTGGAATCCAAAACATCTGTGGAGCACCACTGGCTCCCCCTGCTCTAGGCACACACAACCACCCATTCTTATTATAGAACTTCAGCTGAAATCTTATATTCACTTACCTGGCAGTGAGCCCCATTGAACTCAGTGGGACTTCTACTTTAAACTAAGCTTAGGGCTATGATGCAGGACATGGGCTACAGAATGGCATTTGTCAACTTGGCTATCTTTCTGAAGGCTTGTTTGCCAAGGTTGACTAATTGGCCACACAGCTGAGGGGTTTAATGAAAAAAAAAAACAGCTATAAAATTTACTTTTAATACCAAATTATCTTTTAATTCTTTGAGATAAATCCAGTGCTATGGTGCTTTTCCATTTTGCTAAATGTTTGGAACTCTGCAAGTTCATAAACCCAGGAATATTAAATTCCAAATGCAATGTGTGTGTATGGTTTTTTTTTTTAATCAGTTCTAGTTTTGGGTAGATGTTTCCTTTGTGATGGCCTTTCCTGCCTGAACTTCCCTTTTTGGTGTGTGTGCGCCATTTTTCAATATATGTCTCTTCTGCTGTGTAAGATTAAATGCATAAAATAATCTGTACTCTTTTCCGCATCTGGCATTGCTCAGAACTTCACTTAAGGACATCATTGTTTCAGGCTCAGCATTCAATTGGCATTTGTATTTTAAGGCTATATATACCTGAATCACACCTGCATGTATATATATTCTGAGCCTGAGAATGTATTTATTGATTACATTTCCCATTCAAGGCATTCTTTCAGAAGAAAAGATTAGGAATATGATCAGCCAAAATTGAACATTTTTAATTTCAATGGGTTTCAAAGTTTGACTGCAACTTTTTGAAGAGTTAAGTGCATGTGATCTTGGTTGGATCATGTTCCTATCTTCATTCTCTTACACTTCCCCCATTAACTGTGACTCATTAAACTAGTAATTAAAGTATAACATATATACTTCTTATAATTTGCACACTATCATTAATAAGTCTGTTGAAAGTGAAATTATAATCCACATATATATGGGTCTAGTAAGGGGTGATAGAGTTGTCTAACATTTTCCATGGAAGAAATAATTTGTGCTTTATTGGAATGTTTTAAATATTATTGTTCACTCATGGAAAATTCTCCAAAAGGTGGGCTATACTTTTATTTATTTATTTGTTTAAAAGTCAAAAGGACTATGCAGATTCCTAATGAGTAAGAATATATGCCACTGCATTTATATGAATCACTGCTGTAAGGCTGAATTTTCTCTGAGGCCCAAAAGCTACACTCAGTGGAATTTTAGCTCATAGGAACTAAGGCACCAGGTAAATACATCTTTCCAGACCGGATTCCACCCCCACTGGATTTTATCCAGATGTTGTTCAACAATGTAGGAAACGCTAAGGATGATAGCCATTGTAAGTGAATGTACTGAAATCAATAGACTTCCTGTGGGAATGACTTACCTGGAGATGGTTGCTGAATCCTTGATTCCTTGGTATCCTAAAAGAACGAGCATGAAAGAAGCCTGAGTGGAGGCTGATGCCAGTAGTGTAAGAGAAACCCTCCTGGATCTGACCAAAAGCCCATCTAGTCCAGCACCCTGTTTTCTCCTCTTCTTCACCCTGTGTCCTTTTTTTGTGTGCTTCAGAATTTCAAGCCTGCTCTGCTCTGCTTGGTTTCACAGCCCAGGTGATTATTCTGTTTTCCTGGGCTCATTTCCTCCAACCTTGGATGCCTGCCTTGTTGGCTCTCTGGATCCAAACCATTCTGAGAGCTAATTAACAAGCATTGAGTTTATTGCATCTGACTAGTGACTTAAGCCTTGTTCTGATACTACATTGTACATGTGGTTCTCCTGTTTTGGGATAATGCAGATGTCAATGGCTTTTTGCATTTCCCCACATAAATTAGGAAGTGTCCACAGTTCTGCATCGGAATGACTTGATATGAATGAATCAGAAGTTTGGATGGAGAACATCAGAAAACGCAGATGGATTGGTGTTAATGCTGCAATACATGCTGCCAATTTTCATGGTGCTAGGACTAAAAAAAAAAGCTCCTTTGAGAGTGTCTCTCATTATCGGGCACTTCATCTACATAAAACTGAAGTTCTTGTCTCAGATAGAAAATCCATCCTAGCAATTTCCAGCAATGAACTGATCGTGATAATTGCATTTGTAACTTGAGAAATGTGCAGTCTGAATATTGACTTTAAGACAAATGCACAGTGGTTTGTAGCTTGAGGAATATGTGCAGCTTTAGGTGGCAAAATATGAATCTGTACCACCCAACAGCATGTAGAATTTCAAAAGAAAAATATTTTATATTGAAATGGACAAGAGGGCAGTTTGACTGCTCTGTGTGAAACTTTTCATCTGTCTTTTGGTTAATTTAGTTGAAAGTTCTTTTTCTGTCCCCATCCTTTCTGATTCTGCCCATCTTTGCTGCCCACAGTACATGTAAGCTCAGAGTAGGGTCTACTTGAAATACAATCAATAAAAAAGGGACCCAAGTTGAACCCTGAAAAAGAGTGTTCCTTGTTCCACAGGCTTTTTGGGATAACAAAAAAATGGCTTTCAGTTACACGTATTTCATGTAATAACTGTTGGCCTGTCAAGAAAAACCTCTATGGACTGTGGCGATGTTTCTGGGATTGGCTGCACAAGTGTACTGATACATTCAATAAATATCAGTGGGCTCTTGACTTTATAGAACCTTTTGAGCTCTGGTACATCTATCTCCTTACAAGTGTAAAACTTTCTCTGGTGCCTGCCTTATGATGGCATATTTAACATGGGCTATTCCCCCACCTCTTAGACTGCTATGAATTTTGAGCAAATGTATCCATTCATGTGATTTCAACCACATATCATTGTTGGAAGCAGCAACATTTCTTCGTGGGTTTGATCATATTCTTGCTCCCCTGATCCAATTTAGGACCTGATCAGACCCTTTGAAGAGGCCATGGAGATTTAGGGCCAAGCTGGATCTGGGCTCCGAACCAAATCAGGGGTTGGGAACAGTCTTTAGTTAGGCTTGAAAACCCTGGTTAAACATGTGGTTGAGGGTGCATGCATGCATCTCCCCCCTACCTCTTGCTCCCAGACATAGCCCTCTCTTTGGCAGCCCTGGATTGCTCCAGGTGTTCCTGATCTGATCCAGGGCCACCTCAGCCTGCTCCAGCCTAATCCAAGCTCAACCAAAATCACCTCAGTTTGGATCAGGATTTTCTTGTGCACAAATCACTCAACTTGCTGGTTTTGCTTTATGTTCTGCAAGCCGTTTGGGGGTCGCTTGTTACATAAAAGTGGGGTACAAATTAATGTTCATCCATAACAATAACAAGTTCCTAGCAGAGGCAAGAGTCAAACCAGAGACTTCCCAGTTTGTAGCTTGCTCTCTTAGACCCATGCTGTGTCCTCTGAGATGGTAACAATAATATATGGGCTCTAGGAGAGGGAGAGAGGAGAAACTGCAGGACCTCTCCCTCAGCTCTGCTGAAAGACCAGCAGCTTGAGGCTCCTCATCTCCATGGAAATCTTTCCATTTCAGCTGGCCATGACAAGAACTCAGCAACTAAGAAATAGCGCCTGAGTTTGCTTTGTTCCTCCTCTCCCAACCTCCCTTCCTTTTGTGTCATGCCTTTAAGATTTTAAGCCAGAGAGTGGGGGAGTCTTATCTTAACATTTGTAAGCCCCCCCTTTTTTTTGCCCGAGGAGCGTGAGAAAAATGTTTATGTTGTGTATGTAATAAAGACAACAAGCATGAAGATTTTTTTAAAAATGGATCAGGATCTGGGATTTGGCCCAAACAACCATAGCAAGTACTCATTGTTATGATGGGGGGAAGATAGGAAGAGGAAGATGAGGTCAGAACCAAGCTTGTCTGGCTTTTTCCTAGGCCTGTGAGGTAGTGCCTCTTTGTGTGCTCCACAGAGAAAGAGGCCTTAGACTCTCCTTTTAGCAGAATTGGCTGTGTTTGGGGCAAGAGAAATATCCTTCCTCTTCTAGAACTGCCTCTACTGTCACTGCTGTCTTGCTCTTAGGGAGGCAAGCTAGCGGTAATGGGAGATGAAGACCAAACTCAACTGTATGAAAGGGAGGCCTTCCTTTTCTTGGTGTGCACTTGCATACCTCTTCCTGGCTGATTTTTGCCCGGGAAGGCAAATCCAGTGGTGAAGTTCCTTTGTGCATAAAGTGTCTCTGTGCCTTCTACAAACAGAATACCTTTTCCCATTATTATCTGAACTACTCATGGCTATTGACTTTGCAAGACCCAGCCTTCAGAGCACAATAGGCAGATGAAACCACTTTGTTCCTTCATCTTTATTGTGATTGACCCACCTGCATGAATCTTGAAGTGCTTTCAGGAAGAAATGGTTTCATTATTGCCCTTTGTGCAGAGCCCTATTGAAAAGGAAATCATAGAATTCTATGATTTCCTTTTCAATAAGGCTGTGCACAAAGGGCAATATTTGGGTTCAGATTTGTAACATTAGTGCTAGGAAGGATCCCCGTGCTCTGCTCCAGCTGTCACCTCTCCCTCTCCCATTGAGATCCCAGTTTCTGCTGTCACCTTATCACTTTCTGTATTCAAAGTGGCACCACTTAAACTTGTGAGTGAGGAGGGCTTGGGTGAGAAAAGCAGGTGGAGACAAGGGGGAGGAAGTTGGGACAACAGGTGAGGGACAGAGAGGGGGTGAGAGATTGGACTGAATGTGCACATTTTCTAATTTCAATCTTTCTTAAAGCTGTGCACAGCACTTAACGTTTAACTTACAGAGCCAGATTGTTCAGGGCAATTTAATTTTATGGAGTACCTTCTAGGAGCCATTTACAAGAAGCTCAAAGACTTGTTTAGAGATGCAGAAGAATGGAATGTCCATCAAAACATTTTATATCTCAGAGTGAAATCACAGCACAAGGTCGTGTAAGCCATGCCTAAATGTTGATGCGCATTTCACGAGACGTCAAACACGTGAAGCGTGTTATCAGGTCATCCTTTGCTTCGGGGCTCCCAGGTTGCATGTTGGAGAGACACCTTTTCCCTTTAAAACTTCTACTTCATTGGGAGACTTGGGCACATTCTCAATCCTGCATTCTGTTCTCCTCCTCGATCCTATGTAATGCAACTGTCCCGATATATTATGGTTGGGGTAGGTAATAGGTATGGGTAGGAGAATTTGTGGCTGCCTTATGTCTCAATTTAGCAGTGATTTAAAGCTCCTGGTCGAAAGAGCACTGGATGTTATATTTAGATTATATGGAAAAAAATATAATAACAAGAAAATTATCATAACTGGATGAACAAATACTCAGCAGTATATGCTACAACATGAGACAATGTAAGCTAATGAGAATAATGTAGAAGAACAAGAAAACACAGTTAAAACCATAGTAGATAGGAAACCAAGGAAAGAGTGGAAGGGAAGTAAAAGTAAAGATATATAGGATTTAAGCAGCTTGGAGGAATATATATATGTTACTATTATTATTACATGTTTATGTTATATATTTATGTTATCGTGCTTCTTTTCGGTTTGTGCATGAATGTAACAGAGTATGTGTTGATGGCGAGATATAACAGAAAAGCAAATAAAAAATATTTGGGGGATGGTTCTGGTAGAATAGCAAGATCAGAACCAGTGGGAACAAAAAGTAGAAATCCTACAGCTCTGGGTTATAAATGTATTTAACTGAATATATTTATAGCTCACCTTCCCAGCCAGTATGCCATTCATTCACAACCTAGTTAATGAAGGGCACTTTGGAAAAAGTGCTCAGCAAAGATAATTTGTGAATTTAAGATTTCTCTTGTATGTCAAATCATTTTGGAAAAGCTACATTTGCAATATTAATAGAACAAAGCCAAAACAAGTTATGAGTTAAAAGGTGGTTTTGAAATCTGATCCTGGTGCACTAACAAAGATTCATTGATTAAAATGTTAACGAAGATCATTCACTTCACGCTTCACATGTCTTATTGATAATTGAAACCAGAATGAGAAATACAGCATTGCAATTCATAGACAGAAGTCATTTGCAAAACAGCCATTTTGTATTAAGTGTAGTTAATGGTCATGTTAGCAACCATAAATGTCATATTTATATTCATTGAAATAATTGCTCAGTTAAGATAGGGAGTGAGTTCCTGCAGACACAAATAATTGATCCTGAGTTACAAAAATATCATTACAAGCATAAAGAAAAGCGAAGCCTCTGTATTTTTGCGTTTCCGCACACTCTATGAAAAGTTAGTTCATTTGTCGGTCCAGAAAAGGATAGCCCTTCATTAAGAACATGATGATGAATTTTCTGGTTCTTTCTGATGAGATCAAGATCAGTAGTATCTCTGTGATTCTCTACCCAGTTCCTTGGGAATCACTGCACTGAATTTGATGGGATTTACTTCTGAGTAAGGGACACGGGTGGCGCTGTGGGTTAAACCACAGAGCCTAGGATTTGCCGATCAGAAGGTTGGCGGTTTGAATCCCCACGACGGGGTGAGCTGCCCACCTAGCAGTTCGAAAGCATGTCAAAGTGCAAGTAGATAAATAGGTACCGCTCTGGCAGGAAGGTAAACGGTGTTTCCGTGCACTGCTCTGGTTCACCAGAAGCAGCTTAGTCATGCTGGCCACGGAAGCTGTATGCCGGCTCCCTCGGCCAATAAAGCAAGATGAGTGCCGCAACCCCAGAGTCGGCCACGACTGGACCTAACAGTCAGGGGTCCCTTTACCTTTACTTACTTCTGAGTAGACATTTTATAGGGTTGGATTATAAAATGGCTAAGAATGTTATTTCAAATAGAATTGTGTGTTTTTTGTTTTCAAAAATTATTACCTTCCCAAGGCTTATGCTGCTCTCTTTTTCATTTTTACAGAAAATTTTCCTGAAAGCTGCAAGTGAGGAAGAAATTTTTGCACATCTTGGTTTGGATTACATTGAACCATGGGAAAGAAACGCATAGAGTGACTTGTTAGTGCTATTACGAATTCACAGCATTTATTATTATTATTAAAAACCTCCCACATTGTAGAGGCGCATTTACCTGACAAGCCTGTCTTTATTATTTAGAAAGTCACATATTAAATATACATAGATAGTCAGGTGTAGATGTCATTATCCTCTGAATAGTTAAAAGAAAGACGATTAATTTAGTGCATCTGTACATAAACTGTCACATTTGATTGTATTTTTCATCTTACAAAAAAAAAAAAACAGTGTTGAAGAAAATGTATTGTACCGTACTTTTCCGTGTATAAGGCTAGGTTTTTTTATTTAAAAATTATGTTCAAAATTGTGGGTCGTCTTATACATGGCAGCATCTTATACATGGAAAAATACGGTATACAGGTAATATTGACACAACTGAATCAGGAAGGTGAAACACAGATTAAGGTTGCACTCCTTTACTGATTTACCTGGGATTAAGTCCCACTGAACGCAATGGGGCTTACATATGAGCAGACATGCACAGGTTTGTTACCTTAATTGAATATTGTGCATTTGATTTCTATAGCATTTAAGGTGGTGTAGAGATTTTGGGGGTCTGGTCTCATGGATCCTGCAACTTGCTTCATAATTCTCTTTTGGAAGCTTGAATTATTCAAGGTGACCAACCGCCATAATGTTACCAGCAGCACCAAATGTTACCTGAATAAAAACTATTGAAAATGTTGAGAATGCCTTGCAACTGTCTGGGACATTTTGCATGTGCTTTAAGATGAGGAAAGGAGCTTGCTCAGAATCAAGGCTATGCATGTCCCATAATTAGGAGAATAGAATCGTAGAATTGGAGAGTTGGAAGGGACCCTGTGAGTCATCTTGTCCAACTCAATCTCAGCTAGATCATACATAACAGATGGCCACCCAAACTCTGCTTAAAAACCTCCAAAGAAGGACAGCCCACCATCTCTTGTGGAAGGCTGTTCCACTGCTGAATAGCTCAAAGCACAAGGCACAAAACTAGCAGGCTTGTTCCACAAACAATACAAATTCAGAATGCTCTGCCGCTGTCCCTTGAGCTTCACATCTGGGTCAAATGCAACCACCATTGCCATTTGCTTTGGTTTTTCTTTTACATCAATCCATACACCATGCAGCAAACATTACTGGGCAGCTCCAGACTGGAAGTATCAGGCAGTAGTCTTTATCCCGATTCAGCTAACCCCAGCTCAACTAAATACATGTTCTATGCACTCCTCCGCACAGATCAAGAGAAGCTTGTGGTATGGTTACTAATTGACGGGTGTCTTTTCTCTATGAATACTGATGTATAATTACATTGGTTCTTGCTAAACAAATGCTATTGCTTTGATTTAAATAAAGGATTGTGGGCTTGAGTAAAGGTGGTGTTTAACATGATGCCAAAAGCTCTTGTATAAGTATATGATTACTTTTTGGTGCTAAGTGGTTTGAGCAATGGGGCCAGATGTCAGCTAGCTGAAGTCCAATAATGGTGTCGGCACTTAGATGTAGGCAGAATGACTAGCTGCAGTGAAAATTACTGGGGTGGTAAGTGGCACATTTTGTCCTTTAATATTCTTATTCGGAGCAAAGACATTACTTTATCCAAAATACGAGGTTACAGAGTGATTTCTAAAGTGTTACTGTAAAATTATGGGCATTTGAGCCCATTGGGTTGGGACTGGATAAGTACTTTCTTGTTAGCTGCATATTTTCTTAATGCTCAGAGAGGCTTGTTTCCTACAGTTTCACAGTGGGAATTCAAACACTTGAGGGATCCTGCCCATCAAATTATCCCCAATGTTAATAACAATCCATATTTAAATATTCCATGGCAACACTAGACTTTAAAAGGTTTCTCATATACAAAAAACAAAACAAAAAACAACAACCCATGGCATTAATGGAAGGATGATTTGAAGTGTGGCTCTGAAAAGTAATTAATATCTGGAATTTCTTTCTTTCTTTTTGAAAAGCTGCTCTAGAGAAGTACTGCTGTGTTAGTAAACATGACTGTCAAAAAAATCCTTCCAGTACATATTTCATTATGCCAAAATTTGACTCCAATTTATTTTTTAAAAAAGATAGATAACACACTGTGTACTTCTGTGAAGTGTGACCTCATTTTAATGAATAAGAAATTCCAAAGATCTTTCGTAAGAATGAAATCTTGGCACAGTTACTTTTTTAAAAAAATTAAAATTTATTGAGATTTAAGATCACCCACCAACACCCACCAACACCAGTAAAACATCAAATCTTATTACATATATCCTACTTTATGCTCCGTAGAGCTGTTGACTTCTGTCCTTCCCTTCCATCAGTTTTCCTATTCTATTCTATAGTTCACAGTTTCTTTGATTAGATATTACAACATGACATAAGATTTATGCCAAAGTTCTCAAATTTGCACAGTTCTCACTTATATAGATCAAAAATTTACACCATTCTTTTTGGTACTTTGTCTCCTCCTGATTGCGAATTCTGTGTGTCAATTTAGCCATCTCAGCGTATTCAACCAGCTTTATCTGTCATTCTCCTATTGTCAGCATCTCCTGTTGCTTCCACTTTTGAGCTATCAGAACTCTAGCTGCTGTTGTTGCGCACAAATATAATCTTTGATTATATGATTTGAAGTGTGGCTCTGAAAAGTAATTAATATCTGGAATTTCTTTCTTTCTTTTTGAAAAGCTGCTCTAGAGAAGTACTGCTGTGTTAGTAAACATGACTGTCAAAAAAATCCTTCCAGTACATATTTCATTATGCCAAAATTTGACTCCAATTTATTTTTAAAAAAGATAGATAACACACTGTGTACTTCTGTGAAGTGTGACCTCATTTTAATGAATAAGAAATTCCAAAGATCTTTCGTAAGAATGAAATCTTGGCACAGTTACAATATGGCAGGTATGGAGGAAGCTCTGTCCTGTAACATTCACTTATGAGAAAAACAGCCAATTAGTTTAATGGACTTGTTCGTGGAACCAAGGGTCTGTGGGAAGTGAAGAACAGCTGTGGTAAAATGTACAGTAAATATACAAAAGAAAGAAGAGTGGTTTGTGTAGACACAGTTGGCATATGCAAACTTGGCTAAATAATTCAGCTCTAAACCCAGGTAGTGGATGAGTTCAAGTGGACCAAGTCTTAAGCCAAGGTTGAACTCTTTGTACTATGGTGTTGTCCCATTTTAAACTTGGGGCTGCCCCACCATTATTTCCTGTTGAATTTAATTAGACTTGGGTAATAAAATGCCACTTTTGATTGTAAAAATATACCTATAATTTAATTTATATAACTGCATCTAGGCTAAAATGAAAGCTCTTTAGTCATGAAAGGTCTGATTGCCATCAGTGCTGTTCTTCTAGAAAAAGAGGTGCTGGAACTCACCATGAACACCTCCCTCATTCTCTTAGAATGGCAATGGCACCCACCTGAATGGTGCCAGAACTGAGTTCCTGTGAGTTCCCTCTGAAAAAAAAAAAGCCCTGGCCATAATAGAACTGTGAGTTGTCTTAGGTTTCAAGACTCAGGCTTCTGAATGACTAGGCTGCCTTGGCTGTTTAGAAAACTTGTGAACCTGAAAACCACAGATAAGAGAAAAATGTAACAAATCACATTTTAGGTGATGCTATTTTGTTAACTTTTACATTATGTTGATTTCATAATAAATGAATGCCAAATTGTTAAAAATAATCGTATCTCTTGCTATTTGCATGGGTTCAGTGCTTGAAGTGGGGTAGAGGTTGTGTACACAACCACCTATTTAAAGCACATGACTCGCCCTCCCTGAGAATCCTGGGGACTGCAGTTTACTCCTCACAAAACTGTTATTCCCAGCACCAAGCTGCAATTCCCAGGATTCTCTGGGGGAAGACAGATGCTTATAAACATGTGATGTCCATGCAGCCAGGATGGCATGGGATGCCATCCCATTTCTTTTTAGGTGAATCTAAAAGCACCCCTCTTCTTTCCAATAGTCATAGAACCATCTCAGAGTGCTGTACAGAAAACGGTTACACCAATACTGTGAAATGTCACTAGATCCAGGCCAGAGCTGTTTGTGGAGCTGGGAGAGGCAGATACTAGCAAAGGCAGTTTCATCTTTATCCAACAACTGCAATCTCAAATCCATGAGAGCCTCTGCTGAGTTTAGAGCTTGTAGCCCTCCATATGTTGCTGGACTGTAACTCCAATTGTCCCTGGTGATTGGCCACACTGACATGGGCTGATGGGAGTTGTAGTCCAACAAATATTTGGAGGGCCACAGGCTCCCCACTCCACGGTTAGAAATAGGCCAAATACATGAGAATATCATGACATTTTTTTGAAGGAATGTCATCATTACTAATATTAAGCCATAATCACGAAAGGTTTGACTTTCTTTACTGGCAACATTCTTTCCCTGGTGGGCTGGTAGTGATGGCTAATGGGCCGTAGCTATTTCAAAGTGTGAATGTACTAACTCAAACTTGCTATCAAATACTTTGCATGGTTATTAAAAATGGTGAGAATGGCTTTGTTTGAAATGAGACTGTTTCAGTTTTTTTCTCCCCACCCACAAACTTCAAGCGCTGCATGGAATTTAAGACCTTTCCCCCTTTTGGAACATTCTTGACATCCATCACTAGTGATGTGTTTGTCATGCTGGGTGGGAAATGCTCGTGAGTTGCAGGCCCTCGATGAAGAGGCATCATAAACATATAAGGTTTATGTTACCTTATGAGGAGATCTAAGTGAATGCCATGTTGCTGGGCACCTGGAGTAGAGGGCATTTCTCATCTCTGAGGTCACCAGAGTTGGGTGGAGAGCAGGTTGGGTTCACCAAACCCACTCAAATGATGAATTAGAAACATTTAGTTTATTCCAGGAACTGTTACAAAGCAGCATAGCTGCCTCCCTGCACCCACAGAGATGATTTAATGTAACTAGGTTTCCATCAGTCTAGTGGTAGAAAGGTGGTTAGAAACAGATCAGACTCAATGAGATTTGAGCTGGAAGCAA